CAGGGCGGGCCTGGGCTGGCGTGCTGAGGCCTTCCTGGGAGAGTGGGCCTTCCCAGGAGGGCAGGGGTGGCTTTGCCCCTGGGGTGGAGGCTCCTTGGCCAAACACACACTTCCTCTGATACCCCAGGTGGTTTTTTTTTTTTTTTTTTTGTGGCTTTTTTAAACTTTGTAAGAAAATCCTTCCCCTTCAAGGCCAAGCATGAGTGTGGAGCTGAAAGTTTCTCCTCAGGAGATGCCCTAGTATCTTTTTGGTTTTGTTTGCTGTTGACAAAAACCATTATTTAAAAATCTAGGAGTTATAGCTACGTAATTTTACTTTGTGAATCCAAGTCAAAGGGGCTCTTATTAGGTTCTAGTCCAGGCTGGTGCTGAGCACAGCATCCGGGTGCTGGGTTGGGGTTGAAGCTACAGGTGTCTTTTACTCAGGTGCCCAGCCTGGCTTGGTCCAGCCGAGGAGGCCCTGCACACTCTTGTCGGAGGCTTCCCAGTTTGCTGGTCTCGGCCTGCGATCTGCTAGAAGTTAGCCCACTCTGTCAGCTCTCCAGCTGGGAGGTGGCAGGGCCAGAATTTAAGTCCAACACACCCAAGCAGGTGGCCACCCAGGAGCCCTGGGCTGCTGGGGTGGAGATTCTCAGTGCTGAGGCTCCAGTGTCCTGGGCAAATGGAACACTCCCTTGCTCTACAGTAGAAGTGCCTGCTACCTGGCGGCTCCGCTGAGGGGGCAGGTCTGCCGTGGCTGTGTAGCCAGCAGGGAGCGCGGCCCCCTGATCAACTCAGTGTGTGTCCACCGAGCCGTCCACAGGCACGGCTCTGTGAAGCAGCGGCCCTTGGAGTTTTCGCTCTTGCTGGAGAACATTGCCATGTGCTTCCTGGTGGGTGGGGAGGGTCCTGGGAAGGGTGGGCCGACTCTGCAGAACCCCGATTTCACTCCCACCTTGTTACACGTTTTCTAACACCCGTCCTGTGCCTCTGGGGAACCTAGCTGGCTGCCAGAAGTGGGGACCAGCCAGCACCAGGCCTTTGCAGCTTATCTGCTGCCTTCCAGAGCTGCACTCCCTCAGGATGTGTCTCTTTTCAAACAAATTACGTTGGCAGGAGCCCCGCTCAGCACACCGTGTGCCTACACCCCCTGTAGAGGGTTGACACAGGGGCCCCATCACGAGCCCCGCTGGGGTCAGGGTGAAGGCAGAGGCCACCACTGGAGCGTCAGGTGTCTGCACGTGGTGTGGAACCTGGCCTTACGCAGAGGGGACGCCACGGAATGCTCTGTCCGCCTCTTTCTTTTAAGCATACTGAGCCCAGTTAGTGCTCTGCCAGTGGTCCCAGAAGTCCCCTGTGGTGGCAGTGCTAAGAGGACAGTGGATCCTATGACCCTTCCTGCAGGGGGTGGGGAGGGCAGCATGTGTGTCCCCTGAGCCGCCGCTGCCCTATGCCAGCTGTTCAGTGCGTGTTTTTGGAATTCGATTTTTAGGCCTGTTGGTCAGAGTCACATGGTGACCTTGTAATCATTTAATTACCCGAGTGTGCGTTGTGTGACAATGGGAGAGGTGTCTGCTCCTCTTTCTCCTGTGGTCTGTTCATGTCCGATGTGACACTCTTGCCGGGTGCAGAGTCGCTGTGGAGGTGTCTGCTGTTCAACAGGTGTAAATGAAATCCATGTTCCCAAGTGATTCCTGTAGAGGACACAGGCAGCGGAGGGCACCCGCCGCAGGAAGAGATGGCACGTGGCGGGGGTGCTGACGGCGACAGCAGAGAGCTGCTCCCTTTGAGCGGGTCCCAGAAGGCGGGGGGAGCCAGAGAGGAGGAACAGGACTGGCTGAGAGGTGTGTGTGCAGAGTCACGTGGACAGATGTAAGATGAGACACACCCTGGCTGGGGACCGAGGCAAACAGGCAGGACGGCCAGTGGGGTGGCCCTTTCTTGTGATCCCCAGGGCCCCACGTCCCATTGAGTCCTCTCACCTGTCTGCACTCTGAGGCTGCAGAGTTCCTTGACCTGCCCTCGTTCCCCTGTGTGCAGATCATTGAGGGATCTGGTTCTTGGAGACGTCTGAGAGCCGGAGTGCCACCTCCTGAGCCGGACCCTCCAGGTTGGAATCCCAGCTCTGCCAAGTGACATTCTCCATGTGCCTCAGTTTCGCCATCCCAGAATGGGACAGCACCTGTTCCCTGAAGGGCTCCCACGTGCGTTGAGTCAGGTGACCGACACAGCATCCAAACAGCTCAGGGCAGGAATTAGCTCGCAGATGATCCTGGACGCTGTGCGATGAATTCCACTTTGGAGGGGTGTTCCCAGAGCTGAAGACATTTTTCTGAACACTGAAGGGCCTACAGGTTCCTGCCTGGGCTTTTGGCGTTGACCCTCACTGCTGATGCGGGTGAGAGTGGAGCGCGTGGGCTGGAGCGAGGAGTCCAGCTTCTGGTCCTGACTCTGCCCAGAGCTCCCTGGGAGGCGGTTTCTCTGGACCTGCTCTCAGCTGCCACCCCGGGATCCAGGCTTGGTCAGGTGCTATTGGAACCTGTCTGGCAGATGAGTTTTACCATGTGGCTGTTATTGAAATTCTGTCCAGAGATTCTGTGGACTTGGGGTTCTCAGGAGGACCATGCAGGTAGTAGCCCTGGGAGTCTGACGACTGTGCCTCCTTGTGACTGAGGAGGGAGAGTCGTGAGCGTGAGCCTGGGCGAGGAGCTGGGCTTGAAAGAGGGGCGCGTCCTGGGGCGACTGAAGGAGGGGACCCCAGGTCCTCTGTGGAGCATGGGCTCCTTCTGGGAAGACACCTTCTTCCTGGCAGATGAGTCCTGGTTCCATGACAAATGTCGATGGCAACCTGCCCACCGGACCTGTGCCAAGGGCCTGGGGGTCTCTGCTGCCTGTTCTGTCCCTGTCTGAATGCCTTCTCGTCACTGTCATTGCTCTTCTGACTTGGACGCCCCCTACTGAGCCTGTGTCTCATGCAACAAAACACCCCCAGCCCTTTCTGAAAGGGCCTCTGACTCCCAGCTGCCTGCCTACTGCTGCCCTACCAAGGGCGGCTTGGTACAGGGGGCAGAAGGTTCAGGGCACTTTGTATTTGGGAAGACAATTTCAGAATTTCGCTGTTGGGCTGTTGAGGAGGGCAGCCTTGAGCCTGTGGGTCTTTCTGGTGTGGCCTGCTCTGGGCTGTGACATCTTCGCCCAGCTTCAGTGACGTGCCAGGGGCAGAGCATGCGGAGGCAGGTGTGGTAATGTGTCCACCTGGCCCCGTCATCAAGAACCTCCGCTTTGGGATTAACAGGTGGCCCCAGTGAATCCTGTTCCCTGCCCTGATTGTGTGACCTTGAGTGAGTGTCACTGCTGAGTCTCAGCTGGTTGCTCTATAAAATGGGGGTGTTGCTTGAACGTGGCTTTCATGAGACTGTGTGTGTCTGTGTGGTCAAAGGCGTCTGCTTGTGGCACGTGGGGTCACTCGGCGAATGGAGGCTATACCAAGGGACACGTCCTGCAGCCTGGGCAGCACAGGGCACCCTGCTCAAGTGCCTGCTCTTGGGCTGATGCTTCCTGGTACATTGTTTGAAATGCTTAGTGCTTTTGAGCCATGGTCTGTCCTGAGAATGTCCTCTAAGTTCTGCAGGCAGTGCTGCTGCGCTCAGCTGCCTGACGCCCGCCCACCTGCCTGCATGCTCCTCGGCTCCCTCTCTGCCTCCCTGGCCTGCGCCTCCTCCCGTGCTGCTTCATTCCTGGCCTCGAGGGTCTTGGTAGAAAGCAAGGATTCTTGCTTAGGGGAAGAGCAGGGATTGGCTCTTGGTTGTGGCGGTCACAGATGGAGAGTCTCGTTCTTCACTGTCAGGAGTCATTTTCTTCTTTTTTTGTTTTTTTTACAGAGAGAGAGGGGCGGGGAGAGGGAGAAAAAGAGAGAGAGAGGAGAGAGAATTTTTTTTTTAATATTTATTTTTTAGTGGCGGACACAACATCTTTGTTTGTATGTGGTGCTGAGGATCGAACCCGGGCTGCACGCCTGCCTGGCGAGTGCGCTACCTCTTGAGCCACATCCCCAGCCCAGTGATCCACTTCTTAGCAAGAGTCACTTCTAAAGCCAAATAGTGCGAATGACACGAGTCTGTGCTGTGAGTGGCCCGATGCTGGCATTCAGGGGAAGGTCTTGAACTGGGCTGTGCATCCCGTGCCCTCCCCGCTGCCTGACCCCCTGCTCCTCATCTGTCTCTTAGTAGATTTTTCAACAACAGGAACAGCAGATTTTATAGAAGAGAACATAGCTTTTGTTTCGGGTCTGGAGACTGGAGCGGGCCATCCAGGCACACCTGCTGGGTCACCTGGGCCCTGATTAGCAGTTGGAGCCTTGGGTTGTGTCTAGGTAAAGCCATGTGACTTTGGAGAAGTCCTCCAACCACTTGAGGGCTCAGTGACTTACGCAGTTGTGCGGGTTTTGTTCTTAGCACACAGGTCTCTTACGAAGTAGGGATTTATGACAGGGAAGTTCCTTGGAAAATGTCAAGAAGGCCCAGGGCGTGTGGGACCAGATGGATGGAAGGATGTTACCGGCCAGGATAGGAAGGAAGCCCTAATAAATGTTCTCTCTGGGGCTGAGCAAGTGCAGTAGGGAGGCGGCCGGGCAGGCTCCTGGAGACCCCGCCCGGCGTTTCCACCGTGTTAGGTGAACGTGGTGTCGGCTGGAGCCTAGGGGGAGCGTGGGAGTGGCGCTGGAGCTGGGGATGTGTGGAAGAATACCGGCTTCTCTAGGAGGTCTGTGGTTGATGGGATGGCCTCCTGACCACTCGTAGGACACCCGTCTGGGTAGTCACCTGAAATGGCCCATTGCTCCTTTGGCCACGGGCTGACTTCTCATCTGGAGATTTTGTGGAGGATTTGTCCCCTGTGGACGTTGGTCCAGGGCCTTTGCTCTTCTGGTTGTCAGGGGCAAGCCTCCAGCTCTGGCGTGGGCGACCCCAGGCCTCCCGGCCCCCTCCGGCGTGCGTGCTGACCATGCTGCTTCTGTGTTTCAGGTGCTCACGTCCTGCAGAGCCTTCCTCCTGACCGCGCGCATCCCCACCAAGGTAAGCGTCCGCAGGCCCCTCCCCACATGGGCCCAGTGCATGGTACACACGCACACACACGCACACACGTACGCATGCACATGCACACACACATGTACACAAACACACACACACGCACACACGTACGCATGCACATGCACACACACATGTACACAAACACACACACGCACACGCACACACACGTACACAAACACACGCGCACACACGCACATGCACACACGTACGCATGCACATGCACACACATGTACACAAACACACACTCACACGCACATGCACACACATGCACATGCGCACGCACACGCATGCACACACACGCACACGCCCGGCACTCTTGTTTCCTGTGCCCCCCGCCCCCAGGCCCCTGAAGGTGCTGCGGATCTCTTCACTCCCTTCTCTTCTCTTTGCTGAAGGTGTCCCAGGGACCGTGGTGGGTGTCTCCTGCTCCGTGTCCTGGGCGCTTCCTCTCTGCTGGGGCTTGGTTTCCCCTATTTCAAGTCTGCTCTTATTTCCTTCAGTCTTGGGGGCGGGGTGGGGGGAGGTTCCAACCAGGCTTGACACGTGGAGCTGTCTTAGGAAGGTGCTCGGGCAGCTTGCCTCTATCCCCACTTCCTGACTCGTCTTCCTCCCGCTCCTGCCTGTGATTCTAATGCACTGACCTTCCTCAGACTCGGGGTGAGCTGGAGTGGACAGAGAATCAGTTTTGGGGGCTAGGAGCAAAAGCCTGATCAAAAGCCACAGATGAGATCAGAGAGGCTGATTTGAACTTGCATAGATGCCTTTGGGGGTGTCTCAGAGACTCACTCCCTCTGCAGTCCTGAGAAGGACCCAGGGTCCTGGCTGTCCGTACCCTGGGCAGGCATCCCCCGCTGCTGGTCCATGCTGCAAGGCCCACTCCTTTAACTTTCTGCTTCCCTGGTTCCTCCTGGTACCTCTGTGTCTTTGCAAATTCTTTTTCTTCTGCCGGAACTTCTCTTCCCTTTGTTTGCTTAACAAACCTGAAGTCATCTTTGAGTCATTCTCTGGGACCCAGCTGAAATGCCACCAGTCTTTCCTGGCTCCCCAGCGCTTCTCTGTCCCTGCAAATCCCTGGGGTAAGGTGGAGCATCTTAACTGCCCTCTAGTTAACCTCACTAAGCCAAATTGACCAAAGGTGCGCATCTCTGCCCCTGGAGAGGTCACTGCTGCTGGCTGCTGTCATTGCTGATGGGCAGTGAGACAGCAAGCCTGTCTGCACCTGCTCCCACCCGTTGAATGAAATGCCCACTGAGGGTCAGCTCTTCACTCCCAAACCTGCTTATAGCAGCTACATCAGAATGTTTTTAACGGGATATTTTACATTGCAGTGAAGTCTGAGTGCAAAAGGAGAGGTGCTATCAAACAGTGAGCGTTAATACAGCTAGTTACTTAGAAAAAATTGCTGTCTCAGACCACTGTTTGGGGAGAGAATGAGAAGCATGATTATCTAGGAAACTTGTGCCCTCCGGTTGCTTTGCAAGCATCTTTGACTTCTCCATTTCCGATGAGACCTGAATAATGGAGATTGGAAGCCCAGAATTGGGGTGACTCAGAGAGGCCCCTTGAGGGTCCGCTGGTGGGCTTAATGCAAAGAAAACCTTTGGCCCTGCTCAGAAGAGCAGGCTATGAAAGTATGTTTATAAGTTTTATATTAAAATATCAAAGGTAGGTATGTGTTCTTTTTACAAAGCCATTCCCTGATTTAAATGACTTTTCAAAACCCAATCCAGGCTCTATCTTGGCAATGACAGGTAAGAAGACTCCTGCTGTAATTGGATGTTGTAAAGTACGTGCCGGTGAGGATGCACTTAAGTCCTGGAGAACAAGGTGCACGTCTCATTCCTCTTCCCATGTCCAGTGCAGGCACACAGTAGGCTTTTCATAAATGTTCATCAGCAACTCAGTGAATAATGAGAGACTGGGTTCTCTCCTCGTCCCCAGCCCTGCTCCTCATGTGTCTTGAACTTTAGCTGCAGAGCATGAACTTCTGCTCTGGACTTGCCTTCTGGTGACTGTGGTGCCACATGCCTCCCAGATGTGACTCGTGGGGTGGCATCTGCATGCTTCTACCCTCTCCGTGGGCCACTGTACCCACGGGTTCTTCATCCTGACTGACCTCTATATATGAGTGTGGGTGGAAGACAGGGGAAGAGAGTCCTGTAGGTGCTCAGAGCATCACACAGCGTTTAGAATGTGGGGACATGCAGCAGGGACTGTGTCCTCATGTGACTTCCTGTCTCCTTTTTGTCCCTCACATGCTAGGCTAGTGCCGTGCCCCTGAGCTACGTCCCCAGGCTTCCCTTCTGTGACTTTCCAAAGCGACATTTTGAAGCCGAAAAGGGAAAAGATGATTCATGTTGTGTGAGCATTTCTCAAGGAGTCAGTAGTGGATTATGAAAGCTTCCCCTTGGGTTTGTCCCTGGATGAAGTGAGCAACTTCCTCTCAACCCTTTAATAAGAGGAATGACGCTTCTGCCGAAATATGATAAATCATGCCCCTTTCTTGCTGAATGGAAACATTAAGCCAGTTCACCCTCAGAAGATGCCTAAAAGGTTCTTTGCCCTGGAATGGTCTCTGATTACAGCACTTTACTTTGAGTGATGTGTGTTAAGCCCTCCTTACAGGTTTCCCCTTCTCTCCCCCTGCAGCTGGAGCTCACCTTCAGCTACCTGGACATCCATGGCGTCTTCTGCAACAGGCCAGCCCAGGTGGGTGTGAGTGGCAGGAGCCGGCCACAAAGGTCATGACCTAGTCCGGATTCCGGAAACCCTTTGCTTTCACTATTGAAGGCTTCTTGAGATGGTAGGAAAACAAGATTAGGGAAAGTGGGCTTCTCAGAGTGAGGGCTCCACAGAGGCTGTGTGCGAGCAGTGGGGGAGTGGTTCTGATAAGGAAGTGGAAACTGAAACTATGCAATTCGCTCTGTTAGCTGACTGTAGGAACGTGAGAGTCCTACTCCTTAGAGGCTTTCTACGGCAGATCTTCACACTCAAAGTTCACGTACTATGGAAGGCTTTTCCTGGAGAAGAGTGGCACATACATTTTCTAGTGTGATGAATTAGATTTAGTGCTGGGGATGTGGCTCAGTGGTAGAGCACTTGCCTAGCACGTGTGAGGCACTGGGCTCCATCCTCAGCACCCCATAAAGATAAAGGTGTTGTGTCCAACTACAACTAAAAAAAAAAAAAAATTTAAGAAGATGAGATTTACAGAACCCAGCTTTGAGCTATAAGTCACTGCATTGAAGTGCAAAATCCGATGGCCTTCGATGGCCTTTGACACAAGTACCCATGCACAGTACACCATGGTTGCCACAGTGAGGTCGCGAGTCCAGCCGTGGCCCCGAGGGCCTCCTGCACCTTGGCAGCCCATCTGCAGCGGTTCCCTGTGCTCTCACGGGGGTCTGCGGCCTGTGTGCCCTCTCACTCCCGTGGCATGTTGAGACCTGTCTTGTTCCGGGTCCCACATGGCTGAGGCTGCTCCGCTGTGGGCTCCTGGCGGTAGGTGGAGCCTCTCTCCTGGTGGGACGTGGGTTTGTTTCTGGTAGCGAGTGACAGATGCTGCTGCTCCGAATGCTTACGTTGAGTCTTTGGAGGGTGCTTTCTTTTCCCCTGGGGGAGCCCCTTGGGCGCCATGGTGGACTCTGCCCTGGGTGCTTAGCTCATTGAGTGTCAGCCTCTTTTCCAGGGAGGGTTCTGCCCACCTGCACGTGCAACGTGGAGCGCTCTTCCTCCCCGCGCTCCCGGGTGCTGGTGAGGCTGGTCCTGCGATTCCAGTCACTCTGATGTCTCTGTGATGCTTTTCATGGTGGCTTTCGTTTGCGTTCTGAGGACTAAAGAAGTGGACGTCTTTTTGTTTCTCTATTACCACTACGTGTCTTCAGTGAGTGTTAGTTCAGACCTTCCCCCATTTTTAAAATAGGGTTGTTGGTTTTCTTAGTGAATTTTAAGAGTTCTAAAAGAAATATATTCTGGGTACTGACCCTTTGTGCTTCGCGTGATTCCTGCCCACTTTCTCTCTGCGGTGCTGGGCTTTCCAGGCTCGTCACGGCCTCTTCTGCTCCACGAGGAGCCGAAGTCTTAGCCTTGGGTCACACGGGTGCCTGCGTGAGCCTTGTTAAAGGAGCCCTTCTGCAGAGAGCACTGTGGGCACGAGCTCCTCGTCCCTTTCTCTGAGCAGTGCGTCCGCTTGCCCAGCGCCATGGTGCGGAGAGACACTGTTCCCTCGCCGAACTGGATCTGTTCTAACTGTCCGCGTCAGGGCTGCTCCACTCTGGCCTCCGAGGTGGCCCCCTTGGCCTCAGGGTCTCTCTGTGCCCCCCACACACTGTGGATGGCAGTGGCTGAAATCGGGTGGGGTTAGTCCCCCAGCTTTGAGCTTCTTTTTCAGAAAAGGATTGTTTTATTGATTCTGGGTCCTTTGCGATCACTGCTGAACTTCAGAATCAGGCCGGTTTCGGTGTTAGGGTTCCCTTGAGGAGCAGAACCAGGAGGAAAAAACTACATGTATCCGAGGGGCTTATGAGAGTGGCTCTCATGGTCCGAGACTGGACCGTGCCACGGTGGCCGTCTGCAGGCTGGAGAGCAGGAGACCAGTAGTTGCTCGGTTCAGGAAGCTGGGGCCTCAGACCAAGAGGGACAGTGACACAGCCCTGGTCCCAGGCTGAAGTCCTCGAAGCCTGCAGAGAGAGAGCGAGTCCACCCCCAAGGGCTGAAGGACTGGAGCACCTTCTCAGAAGCGCTGTGCTCACGGGTGCTGGTGGGTGGCCTCCTTCCTCTGCTGAGTGCACCCCTCCCTGGCTGTTGGGTGGTGCCACCCACATCCAGGGCAGGTCTCCCTGCTCAGTGTGTGGGCCCACTCGTCCCTGGTGCCTGGAAACACCCTCACAGACACACCAGAGTGTCTCTGCCAATTTCCTAGGCAATCAAGTTGACAGTCAGTATTGACCATCACGGTTTCTCTGTAAAGCTGGGGTTTTGATTAAAATTTCATCGACCTTGCCGTCTTAATAAGATGGAGTCTTCTGACCCAAGAAAATGGAATATTTCTCCATTTATATGGGTCTTCATATTTCTTAGCAGTAATCTGCTGTAACTTTTAGTATGTGTCTCCTGTCGTATTTATTCCTAAGCGTTTCCTATTTTTCTTCTGTTGTAAATGGTACTGTTTTTAAGGTCCAATCTGAAATGCAGCTGACCTGTGCATGCTACTGTTGTGTCCTGCTGCCTGGCCACACTCACCGAGTAGTGCCCGCCTTCTGGTGGATTCTGTAGCTCTATGGAGGTGGTGTGATCTGTGACTGTGAGTCCCTGGGTCCCTTCCCGTGAGCACCCCACATAGGTGCAGGCGTCCCTGGGCCCCTTCCCGTGAGCACCCCACATAGGTGCAGGCGTCCCTGGGCCCCTTCCCGTGAGCACCCCACATAGGTGCAGGCGTCCCTGGACCCCTTCCCGTGAGCACCCCACATGGGTGCAGGCGTCCTTGGACCCCTCCATGTGGTGTGTGATCTGAGGGCCGAGCCATCTGCCTAAGCACGGGCTCATTTCTTCTGTGCTGCTGGTGACAAAAACCCTGGGCCTCTATCTGACCGCAGAGTCTCCTATTTTCTGCCAGCGTTTATGAGACTGACCAGGCTAACTTAATGGCTTACCAGTGAGGTCAGATCAAATCTCAGAGCCCGACAGCCCTGGCCAAACCTCCAGGACAGGGCTGAAGGGGCCTCAGCCCTAACCTTCGAGGGAAAGCACCTCTTCTTTCCATCAGACGCAAAGTTGGCCACAGGTTTTCAATAGATGCCTTTTATCTGGTTGAAGAAGTTCCTTCTTATTGCTAGTTTTTTGAGAGTTTGTCAGGAATTAGTTTGACTTTTTTTTTTTTTTTTGGGGGGGGATTTGTTGGGTTTATTCCTCCCACCTCCCTCCTTAGCTTGTTATAAGTCGCTTCATTACATCTGCTGATAGTGAGCCGTCTCTGGCTCCTAGGGTAAACCCCACTTGGTCGTGTGCGCCTTTATCTGTTGTTGGTTCTGTTGTTAAAATTTTGTACAGCGTCTTTCTCGCTGACCTTAGTGACTGCTCTCTCCTCCTTTTTCGAGGTTTCTTTGGCCGGCTGCTTTTGTGTTGACACCGTCACAGACTCACAGCATGGATTGGGGGTGGAGTTGGTGTGGGTTCCTCCTTAGATGTTTGTTGAATTTACCAGGGAAGGTGTCTAGACCTTGGTAATGTCTGTCCCCAGGTCAGCCTGTGGCATGGGGAGGTGTTTAACCTCACAGTCTCTTCCTCCAGTAGATGTGGGGCAGATTCCATTCATGTATTTCTCTCTGGACGAGCTCTGGTAGTTTGTATTTTTTAGGAAACGTGTCAATTTCATGTAAATTGTGAATTTGTTAAGATAGAGGCGCTCTTCATTATCTGTCCTGTTATTCTGTTAATACCTGTAGAACATCACTGTGGATCCTGAAAACCTGGTTTCCCCTGTCCTCCAAGTCTTGTTAGGGGTTTCTCAGTTTTATCCGTCTTCTCACAGAGAACTTATTTCCTTGACTTTTCTCTGTTGATCTCATTGATTTTTCTATTTTATTGATTCTTGCTCGGATTTTCATTATTTTTTTATTACTCTTGTTGGCTTTTAGAATTAAAAAGTAGCGTCTGTGTGTTTGTGGGCAGTGTGTTGGGAGTGCTCCTGAAGACTCTCAAGTTGTCACTTCACGTGAGCTGAGGCCGCGCCGGATCCTTGGTGCTTGTCGACAGTTCCTTGCGGGCAGTGTGCCCTCCATTCTCCGGCCCTGGAGTTGGGAAACAAACCACAGCAGCATTGTTTGCCCAACTGGCCAGACGTGGGCAGGGGCCTGGCCTACAGGCGGCACCTCTCGGCCCTCCAGGGCCTCTCGCTGCCTCAGTTCAGGAAGGCCAGGGTTGTGGAGTGCAGTCAGGACGAGCAGAAGGCCCGGGAGGAGTGTTGGTGCCCCTCATTATGGCTCGACCCTGGGGTTTAACTGAGGAAGGCCGTGGCGGCGGGAGTGGGGCTCATCAGTCCTCCTGTGGCTGCCCTTCAGGGTCCCGGGAGCAGAGCCGGCGGCCTCAGCCCCCTGGCGTGTGGCATTGTGAGTTCCTAAAAAGCAGCTCCCCTTGGCACACAGAGGCTCTTATTCCAGGGCGTGGACCTGGAGATGACCGAGTGAAACAGTGGTTCATGTGGTTCCACCCCAGGGCCAGCGGCCCAGAGAGGGCTCCTCCCTGCCCTGGAGAAGTTCAGCATTCCTGGGTTCAAATGGCCGTGATGGTTTTAGAAGTACAGACTGTCCCCGATGTCACCACCCGTGCAACACACAGCCTCACACCGAACAGGTAGGGTCAGTGTGTCAGAGGACACCCCTGCCTCACCTGGACAGCGTATCTCTGGACCCTTTTTGTCAGAGCAGCCGTTGATCCTCTGAGTCCCGACGCAGGAGAGGAGTGCTGTGCACCTGGGGTCTCTGCTGCCCGTCTCTGATCTGCTCTCGGGTTCCGTCACAGGGATGGCAGGGTCTGGGCTTCTCCCAGCCTGATCTTGATTAGAAGTCTTTCTGCTGTCTCTATCTCTGTGTTAGTTTTGGCCATTATTTAATCACAGCTGGGAAGCTGGGGTGACGTGCCTGGGACATGAGGCATGGCCTTCTGTTGGAGGCTGGAGAGTGAATGCCCTTGAGTTGAGAGCTGGGACTGGGCCTCGGTTCCTTCCCTTGAGGGATCCTGGGCACCTTCTCGGTTGCCAGGCCTCAGCGTCTCACTTCTCTGGAGCCCGGTTCCGCCTCCTGGTGCTCAGCAGAGGCTGGCCGCAGTCCAGCTTTGGACTGCAGCTGTGGCCTGCCCTGAGGGTGTCCCTTCCCCCAGAAGGTCATTTGCTGTGTGCTGGAGTGAGGCTGGCGCACTGACCTGCTGGGGTGGAGTGGAGCCCTGCTGGTTGGAGAAGTTGGGTTCTACCCTTCAGGGACAGCAGAGCGGGACTGCAAGTTGGGATCACAGCTGAGGCGTGGTGCCTTCCAGCTCTGGTTAGTGTTTGGTGTGGCTTGGGAGCCCAGGGCTCTGCACATGCTGGGCAGGCGCTCTTCCACCCCGGGATGGCTGGCCCCTCTTCAGTATCGATGTACCCGGGGGCAGAGGTAGGGGCTGTGTCCTGCCGGGCATTGAGGAAGCAGTGTTGAGGCTTCTGTCTCCTGGATGGATGGGGGCAGACCAGACCGCTATTGACAGGAGCCCTTTTTGGCAAGACGAGGCTGCGCTGTGGGTCCCTTGTGCAGAGATGGTGGCGATGGCCTGGCAGTGGGTGCTGTGAGGGACTTCACTTACAGCGGGCCTGCAGGCCTCGCCTCTTCCCCAACCGCCACCGTTTCTCTTCCCTGTCACTCTGCACAATGAAGGGTGACTAGGTGTGACATTAAGTGGAATTAGAGTAAGCTAATCACTCATTGCTGGCACCCAAGCTGTGAGCTGAACAGCTGCACTGGATGTGAGGGACAGGGAAGGACCCTGTGGGGAGGAGTGCAGTCCCCCAGGTGGGAAGGCGGCTGGGCTGTCCACCCTGGGAGCAGTGGTGGCCCTCTGGCTTCTAGACGTGTCTGTGCTCAGATACGTGCACACGGAGCTCACGAATCCCAGCACTGAGCCGCCCCCGGGTGAGGTGGGACCTTGCGTGGGCGCCGTCTCTGGCTGGGGCCAGGTACAGACCCCCACTTACGCTACGGTTTGGTGCCTTTGGTGTTGGGATAGTTCTGGGGCCACCTTGCTCAAGACAAATACAGATTTGCCTGAAGAATTTTAAAAGCTTTTCCTTTAACTTCTTGAGGCGTATGTTGAAAATCAGGATTAAAAATAATGATTTTTTCTCCCCACACTGCTGACTGCCCGAAAGTGAGATTGAGTTGGCAGGCCCCTTCAGGGGTTTCTATGAGAAAGTCCCAGTTTAAGGACTCATGTCTCTGTTGTCCTTCTCTTTGATCTCTTTGTTTTGATAAATGTCATCTAACCATGAGTATGTTGAACGACCTAGATTATTATTATTTTTCAATTTGGCTAATTTCAGGCAGTCTGAAGTGAATCCTACAATTGGCTTTGTTAATCCAGTTGGTTAGTTACCATACAGTTTAGTGTCCCCAGCCAGTTTTTGCATAGGTAAGTAATAAAAGGAAGTTCATGTGTAAAGAGGTTTCAATGCAGTAATAACGCACAAGATTGCATTTTACATGAATATTTTTTACAGTCAGGGTAGTGGTATCTTTAAAAAAAGAAAGTGATTGAAATTGACTTTTTTTCTGTTCTAGGATAGAACTCATGCATGCTAGGCAAGGACCGCACCGCTGAGCTGCACCCCCACCCTGTTATATCACCTCAAGACAGGGTCATGCTGTGTAGCTCAGGCCACCCTTGAATTTGCCTTCCCCCTCCTCTGCTTCCCGAGTTGCTGGGATTAGTTGTGTGTATCACAACTAATTGTGTGTATGTTTGAAGTCGATTTTTTAAAAAAATGTGTCCATCTTCAGCTTGCTGTCCCTCTGCCCCCTGCCCTCTTTGCTCAGGTTGATTTAGACTTTTTACAGGACCAGGTGCATGGCCCAAGTCTCAACACTTCCTGGTTTTGCTTAACATTAAAACTAACACTGAAGATTTTTATTATGCTGCTGCTTTAATAGAATCCTTTCCAAGGATCTTCTTTTCTTAGGTTGAAATTTCATAAGCACTTTTTTTTTTTTTGCCTTTTCCTAGGCAAAGGTTTTAAACATTTTATTTAAACATCTCGTAAGCTTCCATATTTTTAATACATGTTAAGAAAAGGTCTGGGGCCGTAGCTCCACGGGGAAGTGCTTGCCTAGCATGAGTGAGGCCCTGGGTTTGATCTCCAGCACCACCTAACAAATCACATTTAAAACACATTAAGAAAAATAAAAAGTAGGGGCTGGGGCTGTAGTCAGTGGTAGAGTGCATGCCTTGCATGTGTGAGGCACTGGGTTTGATCCTCAGCACCACATAAAAAATAAATAAAGATACTGTGTGTCCATCTACAACTAAATACATATTTTTTTTAAAAAAAAGAAAAATAGAAAGTACCACCGGATTCTGCTGTGGTGTTCACAGAAGGACCCAGAGAGGAGCAACAGGTGCTCATCAGGACAGATGCGGGGGGAGATGTGTCCACCACACGGTCAGGCCTGGGGACCTGCCTCTGTCCCGGGTTTCCGAGGTCCGCCACCCTCTTCCCAGGCTGGTCTCTGAGGAGGTGCTTGGGGTGACTGCTCGCTCGGTGGCTGTCGGCGCCCTTGCTGAGGTGTCCCTCCCGCGCTTGCAGATGGTCGTGGAAACCGAGAAGTGCAACGTCTCCATGAAGATGGCGTCTCCCGAGGACGTGGATGACGTGCTGGCGCACATTGGCTCCTGCTTGCGGAAGATATTCCCCGGCCTGTCTCCTGTGTGAGTTCCCGGGAAGGGCCAGGAGGGAGGGAAGTGCTGTTCCCCGAGTGGCAGTGCCACCTGCTTCCCTTCTGGACGTCTCCTCTGAGCAGTGGCCACGGGAGCTAACTCGGACCCTGGGGTTTCACGCTTGAGGGTTTCTAGGGTGACCTTATCCAAACGCTGAGTGGTGAAGGGTTTGGTGGTCTTTAGCGTCCACTTGTGAGACGAAAACAGAAACCTCTTAAAAATATGTCCTCATGAGTGCGTTGTGGTCCAACACAGCGGGGCTCATCTGACATGGTCACACGCACGGGGTGTGACCTGCTCCACTCAGTCCCCAGGCTTCCTCTTTTACTCCCTCTTCCCTCTCTGCAGGTTTCCCCTCTATTTATTTCTCGTTTTTTAATGGGGTTCATAGGCAGGCGTAAAGGTGGAGCGCCCTGTGGCACGTGCCTGTGTGTACGCAGCGTGGTCTGGTGATCTCCCCCGCAGCTCCTCCCTGTCTGTCCCTCCTTCCTGCCCTCAGCCTCCTCCCCCTCTACTTTCATGGCTGGGCCCCCCCTCCTTAGTAAGCCGACTTCAGGACTGTCTCCCTGTAGCTCCAGCTGGGCCCTGTGTGAATCCACTCCTGGTTCAGCAGAAGGCCGGGGGAGCTTTATGTCAAGGCGTCCATCAGAATGTCAATCATGAGCCCAGCTCTTCTTTTACCTCAAAAACAAACAAACAACAAACAAAACCCCCAAACTAAACAATCAATCAACTGCTCTTTCATTTCTACTGAGTTTTCTGAAGCACACAGTAGGGTGTCAGTGAATTCCACCGCACACCCCCAGGCATTTAGTTAGGCCTTTAGATCAGGACCGAGCGAGCGCCTGGACCACAGGCCGTGGGGGTGTGGGGGTCCTAGAGTGGGGAATGGGCCTGGTCCAGATGAAAAGGCTGAGACACGCATCTGTCAGAAAGCAGGAAGGGCCTGGTTCTCAGGTTGTAGGAACCCTCCTGAGAGAGGCTGGGGAGCATGTGGGTGTGTGCAGGGTGGCATGTGGCGGGGGATTTCTGGGACTTCCCCCCGGGAATCTGTGCCTACAGTGTCCCAGGGGCCCACTGAGGGCTGGAGGGTGGCTCTGTGGACTGGGAGCACCCTGTCCTCTGCCCTCTGGGGCGCTGCTTGTCTGTCTGCGCGGCAGCTCTGCACTGGGCCCTCTGGGTGACTATTGGGGAGCTGACTTCTGAGGGCACTGAGTGTCCCTGGCTTCCTGGGGTTGGGGGGCAAGTCTGGCTGGAAATCAGGTGTCAGGTCCCTTGCAGGTAAGTGCTGGCTGACCTCCGTGGACTCTTGAGAGAGGTGGTGTGAAGAAGGCAAGGGTGCAGGTGACGGGCACCCCTGGGGGATGTCCAGATTTGGAGGAGAAGGGGGGGATGGGTGGCTGTTGACATGCAGGAGCCAAGTGGGAGAAGGGAGGGTGAAAACAGTGGAGGTGTCCTCCGTGTGGCTCTCCTCTCGCAGTGCAGCGTCCCAGTGAGCTCCTAGCACCCTACGACACCTTGTGTGCTCTTCCTCTTGAAGTTCTGAGGTGCTGTCACATGGTTCACAGGAGAGATGGACAGTGGGTACTGGTTATTGCGTAGAGAGGGGGCAAGATGCCTGGCTGGACCCTTCCTTCCCAGTTCCCAGTGTGCCCTGAGTCAGAGCTGACAGGGAGATACTTCCTGCGTATAAATAGCAGGCAGCATGCAAAATAAAGTTCATCCCTGTGACGTTACAGGTGGCTCAGAGCCAGTGGAGGACATGGAGCTCTATTTGGGATTCTCTGGCCTTGGAGTCCTTCATCCCACCCAATGCAGGAGCCTGTTGCGGAGTCCTTAGGTCCCCAGCCCTTGTCCCCTTCCTTGATCAGGGGCCCTGGTGCCAGGGAGGGTGGCAGGACAAGGTTTAGGGACCAGGAGAATCAGGAGGCAGAGCTAGAGTCACCCTCGGTCCTCAGGGTTGCTTTGGGAGCGCAGTAAAGCAGGACCCGACTCTGAAAACAGTGTCCAGGATCAGAATCAAACACATAAAAAATGTAAAAATAGCTGCAAAATAGAATCAGCCCTCTTTCCATCAAGAGAATGCTGGTAAGGAGAGAATGAAGAATGTCCTTTGGATGCATATTCACAGGAGTATTTTCCTCCTCAGCTCAGCTCTACAGATACATATTAAGATGTTTATTTTTTCTTCCCTCTCTCCCTTCCAAAATGACTTTTTTATCTTTGTCAAATAGGAAAAGGTTATTTCGGGACGTAGAGAAGATTTAAAGAATAAATCATGAACTGACCTGAAACCCAGCCCTGAGCAGGCCACTGGGCCATGCTTCTGGCCCAGCTGCTTGTCATTCTGTGCCCAGCGCTGGAGGCCCCCCTCAGGGACTGCGGGGCTGGGCTCGGGGTGCTTACAGCCAGGGGTGCGCATCTCCTCCCATCTCAGCTTCCTGCAGTGACTCTCCACTTCCCAGAGCTTTTATTTATTTTTTTTAAATGATCTGAAGCTTTTTAATATCAAAGAACCCTGTTTTTTTTTTTTTTTTTTTTTTTTTACATGAAGCTAATTTATTTTAAACATTAAATGAAGTCATCAGAACAGGTTTGAATTAACTCAGAAAATGTCGATCCAAGAAGCTCCTTAGGCATCATAGAGGAGTAAACCTTGGACAGGTTTGTAAAAAGCTTCTGCAAATAATAGAGGGAGGAGTGTGAATCCGGCACCCTCCAGAGGAAAGCCCTGTTCACCCAGAGGCAAGCAGATGACATTTGGCTTCTGTTTAGAGGAGGGCTTCCCCCTGTGTGAGAGGGCCCTGGAAGGTGCTGTGGTTAGCTGCGGAGGCTGGAGGCTGAGGCTGGGAGGGAGTGGGTGGCAGGTGCAGGGTCACCTGCAGGTCCTTCTGTGAGTTGAGAGTGAGCCTCAGCTGTAGAGATCTGTGAGGCAAAGCCTCAAGGTTTGGCACTAGGGAGCTCGTGAAGGATTTGGAAGCTTCGACCAAAATGACGGTTATAGTTTTGGTTTGAATTTACCTTTTGAGGCACCTGTTCTCCTAGCAGCCCGTCCTCAGAGGTGCTGGATTGCAGCCTATGTGGTGAGAAGGAGATCAGGGGTACCTCTGGCGAACTTCTCTGCTAGTTATGATTTCTAAGATTACCTGGGAGCCAGGTGCATTTCTGTGATGTCGTTTCACATTTGGTGAGATGTGGTTCGTGTCCTCCAGCTGGTAACCACGTGACTTCTTCTTCTTTTGGCATGCTTGATCATTCTTTCATGTGAGACCTCTGAAAATGGGCTGAGGTTAGAGTTGCTGAATTGGAACGACGCTTCTTTACAGCAGCAATAAAAATGACAATGCAGATCCCTTTATGAAGCCGAAAGTTGACTGAGGCATGAGAACGTGGTTATGCTGAGATGCTCGATGGGTGTGAGTGAGAGACGGCTCCTGCGTGCAGCCCCCAGCCTTCCCTCTGTGTGAAGCGCTGGGTCATCAGGGCTGTGCTCTGTGGGGACGGTCCCTTCCTGCCCAGGATGAACGCTGGCATTGAGGTTGAAGTCAGTTGCTAAGTGGGCTAAGGTAACGTGAAGAGATTCTCCAGGGCAACGGCTCATCCTGAGATTTGCATGAAGAGCTGATCCTGTTACCTAGTTTGCTGTTTTTTTGCCAGATGTGACTGTTTTCTGAGTCTTGTGTAAATTAAGTGTGTGGAATGCAAACTTTGCTGATTCAGCCCTGTGGCACCCTGTGGGACACTGATGGGCCTCTCCTGCACCCTGGGGTTTGGCTTTACCACCCATTCTTACAGCAGCAACTTCGTCTGTCTGTCTGACACTCTTCCCCGTGAGTGTGAGCCCCCGTGCACACCCACGAGCGGAGAACAGGTTGTGCAGAAGGGGTTTCCTCTCACTGGTCCCTGAGCCGTTCCCAGATGCTGAAGTTTATTCTTGGTTGCTTTTGGAGATAATGCGCGTGTTTCGCGGGACTCCTTTTACTCCTGAAATCTCAGCAAAAACGGAAGATGACAACTGTTGGAAAGCAGAGCAACTGGGAGTCCCTCAGGCAGATGACTCGGGTGGTGCCACACCGTCTGCAGAGCTGCCTCTGCCCTCCCTCTCCCTCTTCTTTCCCTTTGATCTCCCTTTACCACCCCCGCCCCCCGCCCCCCGCCCCCCTGCCTGTGATGTCCACTGTTGCTTTGGCACTGAAGCTTTGTTTTCCAAAGTTGTATATTTGATGATTCCCTATAACCCAGACTCCCACTAGCTCAGTCTGTTTTCCGTTGCTATAACAAAATATTGTAGGCTGGATGGGTACTTTATAAAGAAAAGTGGTTTATTTTTCTTGAGGTTCTGGAGGCTGAAAGTCCATTGTGGCCGCCCTCACCTGTTTGTTCTCAGGAGGGCTCGCCCTGGCTGTGTCACAACACGGCAGGGAGGGAAACAGCTTGTGCAGAAGGGGCCAAGTGTGTGGACTGGCCTTGCTTTGTAACAACCCACCCTCGTGAGAACAGATTCACTCTGTAAAACCTGCGTTAGTGCCCCCCAGGCGGTGCCCCTGTGACCCAACTGCGCAAGGCCCACCTCATAACGGTTCCACCAACTCAGCAATACTCCCGCTGGGTCTCGAGCGTCCAGCACGTGAACTCTGGGAACGTGGTCAGGCCGTACCCCAGCCATTCTCAAGCCCACTGGCTACCTGTTTAGATGGTTGCCTTGGTCTCTTCCTGCTTCTGCGGAGCTCTTCTGCCCCCCGTGTGTCCTGGTGGCAACGCACCCTTCGGGTCTCTGAAGCAAAGCTCACGTCTTGGAAGAGAAGTAAAGATAGTCAGACGAAGGTCCAGCTCAGCGTGTCCCGGCCACTCCGTCGTCGGAGCCTGGGCTGGGTCCGACAGCTCAGCTGTTGCTTTGCGTAAAATCTGGCTTCACTGTCTTATGTAGCCAGAAGGACAGCACTGAGCCCGGGTCAGCCATCCCAGTGTTCCAGGCTCTGCGATGTCCTCTCATTGGGAAGGACAGCTCCCACCTAGTGGTCAGGTGGCCCGGCCTTGGTGGAGGCCCCACCTGCCCCAGGTATTCTGACACCTTCCTAAGCGTCTTCTGTCTCACGAGCCTGGGGGTGAGCGCTGTGGCTTGACAGCGCTGTGAAGAGTGCACCTTGGGGCCCCGGCTGTGTTCCTAACCCTTGCTCTGTCCCACCTCTCCCTGTGAGGCTGGGAGCTACGGGAGGAGGGGGGTGGGAGGGACTGAGCTGCCCAGTCCCAGCAGAATCTGTGTCCAGGGGAAGAGAGGGAAAGGAAGAGCCATCCGAATATGGAATGATGAGTTTCCTGGTGAGCACTTGTCCAGGGTGCTAGGGGAGGACTTAGGAGGAGACTTGTATTTGAGCTCTTTGACGATTAGTAATTTGATCTGTGTAGACATCATCAAATAACTCAGTTCATTAAGTAGAACTCAACTGTTTTTTAAACTTTTTTTTAGTGGCAGAGGGATGCACAATATCTTTGTTTATTAATCTATTTTTTATGTGGTGCTGAGGATCGAACCAGTGCCTCCCTCATGCTAGGCAAGCGCTCTGCAACTGAGCCCCAGCCCCAGCCCCAGCACACACTGCTGTCTAACTATTCTAACAGACTCTTACAGATGAACAATGAAGCAGCAGTGTAAAGACGACTGGTGAAGAGGCATCCAGCGCCTTGTTAGGGGGTTCTTCTTCCTGCTCAGGAGGGTGTGAGCCACCCAAGAAATTAAAGTCTAGAATAAATAGTGAAGAACAAAAGATAGAGTCTGAAAAGATAGTTTTAAAGGGAGCCTGGAGCGCCTGAAAGATCCAGCCCACACAGGAACCGGAGCTGGACAATTAGAAAATGATTCCCGTGGTTTATTTAATGGGGTCCATCAAGGTCAGGGGTGAGATTTCAGGGGTGGAGTCTTGCTTCATGGTGTCTTGCAGTCAGCAGGTTGATTGGCATCTTGGCAGGTCACACCCCTTTCTGAGGCTGTGTGGCTGCAGCAGGCCACCCCATCTCTGGTGCTGTGTGGGACGTGGGGCAGAGCTTGAATAGGGCTCACCATGTGTCTGGGCAATCAGCCAGAGGAAATGTCCACTGGAAGTTCCCAGGCACCAGATTTTCCTATTCACTAGGCCGCGGTGCCAGTGTAGTCCACACACAGCCCATGATGGCTCTCGACAACTACTTACACTTTTAAATATTTAGTTTACAAAGAGAAGTTAAATAGATGAATTTAAGTTCTTATAAATTTCTGCTTCCTGGATCAAGGACCTAGGTATTAGAGCAGAAACCCTGCACATACTAGAAGAAAATATAGACCCAGCTCTCCAACATGTCAGCTTAGGAACCCAGTTTCTCAATAAGACTCCTGAAGTGCAAGAAGTAAAATCAAGCATCAGTAAATGGGATGGTGTCATACTAAAAAATAACCAAGAGCCTAATAGGGAGCCAACAGAATGGGAGATCTTTGCTACCTGCACTTCAGGGTAATTTTCAGGATATATAAAGAAAAGAACTCAGAAAACTTAAAAAAAAAATGGGCAAAGGAACTGAACAGACACTTCAGAGAAGAAGAAACATGAAGGGTCAACAAATATAGGAAAAAAATGCTGCATGTTTCTAGCATTTGAGAAACACAAATTAAAAACACACTGAGAATGGTGATTATCAACAATATAAATGATAATAAATTTTGTTGAAGACGTGGGTACTCTCTTACATTGTTGGTGGAACTGAAAATTAGTGCAACCACTCTGGAAGGTGTTATGGAGATTCCTCAAAAAACTAGGAATGGAACCGCCATATGACCCAGGTATCCCACTCCTTAGTGTATATCCCAAAGATCAAAATCGGCATAGTACAGTGACGGTGCCACATCAATGTTTATAGTAGGACAAGTCATAATAGCCAAGCTATGGAACCAACCTAGGTGCCCTTCAACAGATGAATGGACAAAGAAAATGTGGTATGTATACAAAATGGAATATTATTCAGCCTTAAAGCAAAATGACTTATGACATTTGCCATCAAATAGATGGATCTGGAGACTATCATGCTAAGTGAAATAAGCCAATTCCCAAAAGCTAAAGTTCAAATGTTTTCTCTGACTTTTAGGAGCTAACCCTCAATAAGGGGGATGGATTTGAAGGGAAGAGTAGAAGTTCAGTAGATTAGATAATGGGGGATGGAGGGAACGGATGGGGAATAGGAAAAGGAAAGACAGTGGAATGGACCTGTCATAATTTTACCATGTGCACATACGAAAACAACTCAGTGAATCCGCCATCTCTACGTCACAAGAATGAGATACATCCGTGCTTGTGTAAGTATGATACATCCCGTGCTTGTATAAGTATGTCAAATTGGATTCTGCTGTCATGTGTAACTAAAAAGAATAAGTAAAAACAAAGTAAATGTCCACTTCCTAGTGTTCAAATAATGGAGTTATATTGTCACAAATGAATTTATATCTACCTTGACTTAAAAAAGAAAAGCATATACAAAGTCAGTGTCTATATGCTATTTCAAAAAGTTGATTTTTGAAATCTGTTGTTGATAATTTTGCAGGAGAATCATGAAGAAGGTCTCCATGGAGCCATCTGAACGCCTGGCCAGTCTCCAGGCCCTGTGGGACAGCCAGACTGTGGCAGAGCAGGGCCCCTGTGGTGAGCGTGGATTTTAAAACCAGGACGTAGCTGCGGGTGGACGTCCTGGCGGGGAAGTCGGTCTATTCCTGGCTTGCTACCGTAAATGTACAATTAGCTTAAGGTGTAATCAGCACCGCCCAGACTTCAGTTTGGTGGACAGGAGTCCTGTACTTAAGCTGCATGGCGTCCCGCTGTGTGCTCACTATAGAACAGGAAGGTCTGCTGTTTCCCCCAGTGGAGAGGATAGTCAGCACCGTCAACAGCGGCCATACTTCAGCTTGTAAAATTTAACTTAAAAATCATTTTGCTGAAACCTGTCAACATTGTAACGCTTCTGTCTCACATTCAGGTGGTTTTTCTCAGATGTACGCCTGCGTGTGTGACTGGCTGGGATTTTCCTACAGGGAAGAAGTACAGTGGGTAGGTGCTTCTGCCTACGTGTGCACACACCCCTAGCTTCTTTCTCTTTTCCCACCACTCATTTTTTTTTTTTTTTTTTTTGCTTAAAATCTTCCTTCCTTGAAATACATAAAGTCTGCCTATGACATTGTCTGACTCTGAGTCTGTCCTGCTTCTTTGATGTCTCCGTGGATTAACAATGTGCCTGATTGGAATCTCATAGGATGTGGATACGATTTACCTGACACAAGACACCAGGGAGTTGAGTTTACAAGACTTCAGTCATCTGGACCACAGGTACGCCCGTTCTTTTTTCTTTTTTTCCTCTTCCTAAATTGATTTTCAGAGCTGGAGCTCTTTTTTGTCATTTAGGGACATGCATGATCCCCAGAGAGTCCTTTTTACAAGGGGAATCAAAAGAATCTGGGACTCTCTGGATTTTGCCCTTCAAGTTCTAGTTTCAAGCATGTTTGTCACCGTGTATGGTTTGTGGAGGTGCATGTATGTACCAAACTGAGCTCATGTTTAGGAAATGTGCTGCGTTTCACCACGAAAGAGGTACGATTCCTGGTTCTTATACTACCTTGTGAAAGTCAATTTGATCTACTCTGTATGTTTTACCTCCTTACCCTTTGATTTCTCGGATGAAGTTCTGTCCTAAAATCCTAACAAAGGCCTTTTAGTTCACCACTTCCACATGAATTGGAGACCTGTTGGTTGGGTATCTGTGCATGTGTTGGTGCAGATCTGTTTGCCAATATCTGACTTGGGAGATGAATAGTGAATCTGTGAAACGTGTTACAAATCATTTGGGAGACTTTCTGGTTTCCCTGTTGTTGTTTGAATATATGGAGGCCTGTGGCTCCTGGGATCCAGGTCCCAGAGAAAATCTTATTTGGTTCCCTTTTCTCTCTGGGAAGGCAGACCTGTCCAGTCGGGTTTTCTGACTAACAAAGCCTCTTTGGCTCTCCTCCAGAATGCCTGTCCAGGTGCCTCGTCCTGGCCCTCCCATCTCTTCAGTCCTCGGTATCTGCTGCTTGCTTAGGTGGACACGGGCAGTCCTGATGTGGGGATCCCCTGCACACTGAATCTTTTCTCTGTTTGGAATTGAGGATGTTTGGGAGCCCAGCTGTACCTCTTCTGTCATTTGGACAACTGCAATGTCCCAGGGAATCGATTTTGGTCGTGTTTCTTAGCACCACTCTCTTGACTAGGAGAATATCATTGGAGATCAGTTTTCCATCTACCTATCAGGAAATGCCGAGTTGCAGAGGGCTCCCTGGCACGTCCTGCCCCTGAGGTGGGGGTGGAAGGTGTGGACTTTGTGGGCTCACCTCCTCTGTGCACAGCCTGCTCTGTGGAGGACCGAGCAGCAGACTTGGCCTGTTGGCGGCGTGTGCTCAGGCCTCCAGCCTCTGGGTCTCAAGGTTGGATTCGCTTCCTTTCTTGGAACAGGCAATTTTCTCCTGCTTAGGACTGTTCTCCTCCTCTTCATAGGAGGGAAACTTCTTACTCAAATTTAGGCCAGATGTTTCCTATGGAGCTCATAAAAAAGCGAACCGAGAAAGAAAAAGGGAAAATGTTCTACTCTGAAAGCATTTCCCATTAAAACAAGAGTTGCCTGGGGAATAGATGGGAATGGAAGCCTCCAGCATCAGGTATTGATTCTTTGAGTGGGTCTCACCCATATGCATGTGGTTTTGTAGCACTGTGCATTGGTCCTTTAGAAAAACTGGTTCACTGCGTTGTGTGTACCATTCAAAGGGGAGAAAAGCAGTGTTTGTTAAATATCACCACTAACTCTGGAAAAAGTGTAAGTGGCAAATATATTATTTACCTAAATTCTAGACTTTGCTTTAAGATGCAGCTTCCCTGTTGGGAGAGGCGATAGCACTCTCTGGTGACTGACTTGGAGTGAGCAGTTTGCATCTTACATTTTAGAGCGAACCTCTGGGTGGGTCTTGGGGTCCCCCAGGACTCCATGGACTGCACAGGGGGTCACCTGGCCCACAGGAGGGGCAGGTGCTGCAGGTAGCCTGCGGGGCTTGCCCTCGATTTGCGTGTTGTTCCCTGAGGATTTCCTGTGCCCAGGTGGTGCCAGGCGGTGTCAGGTGGTGCCCACGTCAGTGCTGTGCTTTCTGCTCATCCTCCGTGATTAATCCAGTCACTTGTCAGCAAAGGGAAACTGTGTAAAGACTGAACTGAACGTAATCACCAGAGGTATTACGTGGTATCTAAAATCAGGAAGCTCTAGTTCCCCACAGGTGTATTTTCTGACTCTGAAGCCAGAGAATTTTCCATTTTCTGTAAACACTGAATTAACAGAAAAGACCAAAATTATCTACTTTTCTTGCTTGAAGAGTTAGAAGGACTTTTCTGTCACTGAAATTCTAGATTGAGTTTTGGAAAACATCCTTTTCTTTTTCTTTTTTTTTTTGTTTATTAGAGCATTCTAGTTATAAGTGATAGGTTCATCGTCACGAAGTCATGCATGCGTGGAATTTGATTTCCTTCATCTCAGCCCCCTGTGCCCCCTTTTCCCTTCTCAAGCATCCAGATGTGAGGGTGACAGTGGTCATAACAGACTCATCCTGTTCGTCTTTAGGAAAGTAACATAATTTGGAACTAGGAAAAGTGTCCACTCAGTTCTTTTTTCTAAGGTTCAAAATTCTGTGTAAGTGTGTTCTTTTGATTTTCTGGTTTAGGTGTCAGTGGGCCAACAAGAGGCGTAGATGGGAAAAGGCTTAGCGACACATTTCTCATGATGGCTCCAAGGTCTGTGAGCTGCAGGGTTTAAAGTGTCATTATGCTGTCGTTGGAGTGACAGGGAGTGATGAGGGCAGAGGTCATGGCCAGAGCTTACAGCTTTCAGCGCTTTGATTGCTCTTGTTCCAGGAAGGTTCTAAGAGGCGCTAATCCCATGGCGCTCCGAGGTCCCAGCGACATGCATCACTGGGCTGAACTTGGCTTCCGAGAGCCCTGGGTGCAGACTCAGGCCTTTGTGTTGTGCTGTTGCTTCCGCATCACGGTGACACTCTTTTTAAAAATGTTTTCTTAGTTGTAGGTGGAAATAACTTTATTTTTTTAATGTGGTGCCGAGTGTCAGACCCAGTGCCTCACATGTGCCAGGCACTGAGCCACAACCTCAGCCCCAAGGTGACATGCTTGAGCAAGATACCTCTAGGAAGGAGCTCCAAGGCTGGGTGACATCTGGCTTGTCCTCAGGGCACTGGTGGAATTCTTTTCTAGTCTGGGCTCCATTTCTTTGTTCTTGCTCTTGTTTAAGAAGGAAGAGATGGTGTTTGGGGTGTGAGCCAGGTGTAAATAGCACTGGCTTCTGGCCATTTCCCAGTTTCCCTGTGTCTGTGTGACACTGGCTGCCAGTCTGGGTGAGGTGAACCCGGTGGGGCACAAGATGACACTCTGGGGCATGTGGAGCCAACACTAGAGCTTGTCTTGGGGCGGGTGTTTTTTCTTACTGGTCCTTGTGAGAGTGTTTCTCTGGGCCTAACAGTACGGGACACACGTGTCTCCCGGGTGAACACACGGGCGAACACACGGGCGTGCTGGAAGTGCTGTGCAGTTAGGAGCGAGTGGTCCCAGCCTCCAGAGGCCTCTCCTCTTGACCTCCAAGATTGTCCATGGGCTGCTGCAGGCAGTCACCTCCTTCACAGGGTCCGCATGGTTGGTCCCGCTCTGGAGTTATCAATACTCAGGACGCACCTCTGCACGAACACCGTGCCAGGAGGCAGAGCCAAGTTGAAACACTGCTAACTTTGGAAAGCTTTCCGACTCCGGTTTTCAATCTAGATATCGCTCTCACCGGACACGGGAGACTATGCTCTGAAAGACTTACCGGATGTACGTGCCTGCCAGGCAGTACCGCCATCAGCAGCCTTTCCCCGAGAGTGCGGTGCCCTGGTGTGTGTGCAAGAAGCGCAGCGGGGATCCGCTCCTGCCGGAACGGCTCCTTCGACCCTTCCAGTGTTTGTGGGGTTTGTTAGGGGTCTTCCCTCCTTGGGATGTGGGATGCTGAAAGCCGTCCTGCTCTGTGGACGGTGCTGCCTGTGTGTGTTACCCAGATTGTGGACTGCTGCCGGGTAGGCCTCCTTCAAACCTGCCCATGTCCTTTCACACTTTCCTGGTGTCTGACACACTCTTCAAAATCACTGTCCTCTTAAAATTCTAGCGAGATGGCAGGCAGGGGTAAGGGAGCGAGGGAGATTTGGCTTGAGACTAATCACTGGACGGTGAAGTTCCTCTGAGCTCCCGCACACCTGCAGATGAGGTCAGAACTGCTGGTTCAGCAGCGTGTCCAGAACCGAGAGTGTCCCAGGCTGGTGAGAGGGCTGGAGCCTGAATCTCCTGCCAGCTTCCTTGATTTTTTGCATTTTAACTTTTTAAATAGGCCCCATATATTAGTCGTTTATTTTTTAATGAAAAAAAAAATGCTTTAAGAGCCAAGGTCTTGCTGTGTGGCTCGGGTCAACCTGAACTCCTGGACTTCATAGTCCTTTCTCAGCCTTCCAGGTAGCTGGGACGATAGGCAAGTGCCACCACACCTGGCTTACTCGTCTATTTTTGATATTTAAAATAATAGAGTACAATTGTTATTTGAGATGTTGCTTCAGGCTTCAGAATACATGTTAGTATTGGCTTTGAAATCAGCAAACAAACGGATGGTTAAATGTGACGAGAGGGGTTTCCAAGTCTTTGATCTGAAAACCTGCAGGTAAAACCGTCCTGGGTTCCTGTAGAGGAGGTGAAGATTTTGATGCTAAGGAAAGCAGCTCAGTGGGCAGGTGGTGGTGACAAAATGTGCCGCAGGAGGCTAGTGTGTCTCCCGGGCTGGGTCCGACTCCTGGCCCTGTCTGCACACCCCTGTGACATGCAGATGACCGCAGCTCTGATCCCTGGGAGCCTTCCTTGCTCCCCAGTGTTCACAGCTCCTCCTGGGGTCCTTGTGAAGACGATGTGGACCTCAGAGCACTTTGTGGTGGTTCATAAAAGTGTTTGGAGGAATTCCAGCTATTTTCCATATCCCAAAAGGCTTGCCCTCTTTTAAAACAAACAACTATATAAAATAATGAATTCTCTTACTTTAAAGAAAAAGAATTTAAGTTACTGACTTCTTGCATTAGAGAAAATTGGCTTTCCAGGGACAGGTTTCTGGTCCTTCTTAGGATGCTCTCATCTTGTTGGTTTTGTGGCGACTTGTCTCTGGAGAGAGGTAAGAGAAGCACTCGGTTTTTAGAGTTTTAAGGGAGGATCAGCTTATTCAGATGTGTCAAGGAATGAGGAATCCAGTGTTAGAAAGGAATGATTCCCAGGGTTTGTTAGAAACCCAAAGAGACTGGATTAAACAAAAACAGTGTAATACATTTTTATCCAGAAAAAAGGTGAGACAGAGGAGTTTAATGGCCTCGTGTCTCTGTAGTGTTAAGAAGTGATGACCCAGTGGCTCCTGAGGCGGAGGCAGGAGCATCTCAAGTTCAAAGCCAGCCTCAGCAACTTATCAGAGTCCCTAAGCAACTCAGCAAGACCTGTCTGTAAATAAAATTAAAGGGCTAGAGATGTGGCTCAGTGATTGAGTGCCCCTAAGTTCAATCCCCAGGACCAAAGAAAAAAGAAAAAAAAGGATGATATCATGGAGCTCGAGAAGACTTTTTTCTCAGAATCTCGAAACACCTTTCTCCCTTGAAGGAGGTGGCAGTGACTCGAGGGACCAGCAGGGAATGCTGTGGGGCAAGGTGGCCAGGACTTGCGGGAGGGTTCCCTGAGGTGGTGACTTGTTACCAGCCCCAATCTTCAGATCCGAGGCTGCCCCAGCAGAGGGCTGTCACAGTGGGACTCGTGGGAGACGGCAGTTATCTCTTTCCTCTACGGGAAGTCGGTGTCAGTGAGTGTCCCGCGTATGGAGGAGGGGGATGGCAGCAGGACCCCTGGAGAGGATGGGGAGGGGAGAGGTCCTGGCGGACACAGCCGCTCCAGGTCATCCACATCGGGGTCCTCCTTGGCAGGCCCCCTGAACTATTTGTGCCAGATTCCCTGTGTGCTCTCTCTGTCACGGTGCAGGGAGGCCACGGGGAGTGCATCTTGGGAGAGGGGAGGCTGCTGCTGTCTGGCATGCTGGATGTCTTCTGCTTCAGTGGCCACGTCCGGCCCTTTCTGGTTCCCGGATGCCATGCATCCTGAGCAGGCCAAGGGTCCCACGCCTGGTCTCCAGGCTGGCTCGGCCTGACCCGGGCCTGGTGTTCAGAGTCCTGAGTCCTCGGTGCAGCCTGGGCTTTTACAAGGTGTCTGCTGAAGGACTCCCGCCCTCTCATTCCCTCACACTCCAGCTAGGTAGACGGCGTTCAGCACCCGAGGTCCTACGTGGCGGTGTGTGTCGCTTGTGGTTCTGGCTTGAATTCTAATGTGGGGGCATTCCGCCGTCCGTCTGTCCTGTTGCTGATGTGACATTTCGCTCAGCTGTTGTCTGCATGAACGATGCTGCTAGGCCCTTCCCTGAGATGCCTCATTAGAGAAACAGGACGCCAGTCACCCTAAATCCAACCAGATGTCCCCGCTCAGGTGAAGACGTCGGCTGGGGCCTCTCCTGTGACAGTGGTCATGGTGACCCCAGTGTTTCTCTGTAGCTTCACCATGGAAATCCGCGTTCTGATTGGTTTGATCGGCTCTGTGGATCTCGCTGGGAGGACCCCTCTCCTGCCTGGCCTCTGTCCCAGCCCCTGGGCTGGTCTCCAGCCTTGGGCTTCTCCCAGGTCTGGTGCACCTGGCCTGCGTGGCACAGGTGGTCGCTGCTCTCTGGTGCATCCCAGCCACAGGGCAGAAATTCTGCCGACGAGGTTCCGTGGCGCTTCCTTGGTGTCTCTGAAACCCTCACTTCTAGGTGTTTAGCGCTCTGCTGTCTGTTGCTAGGATAAACCTGCCAAACTTCATGGCCCCCCAACAAGAACCCCAAGGCCACATCCCCGCATCTGGTGGGGAGCGCTGGCTGTCCCCTGGGAGGCGGGTCTGCTGGCCTTCCTCACAGCTGGGCATCCTGTTCCACTGTGAGCTCCATGGCAGGAGCTGACATGGCCTTCGTACCCTCAACTGGAAGTCCCTCAGTGTCACCGCAGGACACAGCTGCTCTAGTGTCTGGCCATTCTGAACCCAGCCTTGATAATGGGAGCCCTCGAGCCTTTGCATAGCGTGGACCGTCATTACTCTCATGTAAACCCAGCAGTGGCCTTCTGGGTCCCATGGCATGCAGGCACTGGACTGGGGGACACCGTGACAGTGTCGCGTGCCGATGTGCCACTGTCTCGTTATCTGCTGTGTGTGAGAGCGTCCGCTGCTCTTGTCCTTGGCAGCCTTTGCTTTTGCCAGGTTTTTGCTCGTTTTGGTTTTAGCCCTTCAGTAAGTGTGTGAAGTGGTATCTTGTTGTTATTTCCATTTACCTTTTGGAACTGGGGATTGGACCCAGAAGCCCTTTAACTACTGAGCCGTATCTCTAGCCCTTTTTATTTTAAATTTTGTGACAGGGTCTCTCTAAGTCGCTGAGGCTGGCCTTCAGTTTCCAATCCTCTTGCCTTAGCCTCCCGAGTCTTGGTGATGGCAGGCGTGAGCGGCTGCGCTTGTCTCATTTTGGGTTTGAATCATGTTTTCCTAGTGGCTACTATTTCTGGTTGTCTTCTCATGGGCTTCTTTGCTATACATTTATATTATTTGACAAAGTGTCTGCTTAGAGCTTTCGCCCATTTTTAAAAACTCAGCATTGAGTTTGGGGAATTTTGCTTTCTGTATCCTGAGTCGATTCTTCTGTCAGCAATGTTGTTCGCGATGTCCTTTCTCAGCACGTGGATTGGCTTTTCCTCCTCTTAACAGCATCTTCTGCACAACTAGCTTTTGGTTTTGATAGTCTCACTTATTGATTTTGTTTTTCACTTAAGGACGATGCTTTTGGTGTCAGCTCTGACCTTGGACGGGGTCATGCCTTGCTCTGGGTCCTGCTTCTTTGCAGGCCTGGAGTCTGTGCCTCGGGTCACTGTCTCTCCTCGGGGCTCAGGAGACGTGCCAGGGCTGCTCATCCTCTTGCTGCCTTTCTTCTCCCACCTGTGCGTGCTCATTTCCTGTCTCTGGAACGTGTCCCGTGACCTGTACACACGTGGCACTTTCGCATCTGGGTTGAGGTCCTCCTCCTGTCTCTTTGACCTCGTCTCCCGTGTGTCTCTTTATCTGTGAAACCTCAGCGGGGCACCTCCTCAGGGAGTTTTGCGGTGACAGCGGGAAGGACCTGGCAGCCATGTTGCAGAAAACATCACTTTCCAGGGCTCCTCCCACTTTCCGCCTTCTTTTCTGTCAGCGAGAACCTGAGTGTCTGCTACGTGGCATGCGCTGAGGATGAAGTGTGTGGCCGCACTGAAGCCACAGAACCAGAGCAGACCCTTGGTTTTCAAAGCATCCAGAGTCTGAGGTGCTAGGAGACGGTGCTTAAGGGACGCATTGAATGGGAGATGGAATGAGCTGAATGCTGGGTGACCACATGTCCCCGCTCAGGTGAAGACATTGGCTGGGGCCTCTCCTTGAAGACGTGACCCCCATGCAGTTGTGACAGTGTCACGGTGACCCCAGTGGCATGCCGTCCTCGTGCTGAGCCCAGCAGTGATGGACGTCTGCGGCTGCCACCCTGCACGGTGTGTCGATGAGCGGGCACTGTCAGGTTCCATCTGGATTGTGAGGGAGGCACGTGCCGTGGGGACTGTGGCTGGGGAAGTGTAGCCTCCCTCCTGGTGGAGAGCTTCAGACGGGGTCATGCCTGGACCGCACGGAGGAGGTCCCCACCAAGAGCTGAGAAGACTCCCAGGTGGTTGCAGATGGTCACTCTGCGCTGGGAAGCCCCTGCTGCCAGGAGGGGCTGGTCCTCGCCTGTGCTGCCAGCTCCTCCTCCCAGAGAATATGGGACGTACATGAGGGCGAGAGAGTTTATGAAGGAGCAGGCTAAAGAAATAAGACAGTGCAGAATTAGACCTATGACTCCTTTCAGAAGGAGGACGCCCTCCAGATAAATGCTGCCCACCTCATTTCCTTTAGTAGGACTCGGTCGGTCCCTGGAGGGGGCTGACTTCAGCTTTGGGAGTTCTGCATGCATCATGATGAAGATGCCATGGAGAATTGGATTGTTGTACAGTGGCCAAAACTGTGTGGGCTGGATGTTGCGTTTGCGGGTACCAGTGGGTGCTGTGGGCTCTCGCACGGGCCGGCCGGGCTGGTCTGTGAGGGTCCTTCACGCACTGCCTGCCTTCCTTCCAGGGACCTCATCCCCATCGTTGCTGCCCTGGAGTACAATCAGTGGTTCACCAAGCTGTCTTCGAAGGATCTAAGACTGGTGAGTGACTGAACATGTGGGGATGTTGCTTGACTTTGCTGAGTTTCAAAAACCTCATAGTTGTGGGGCTGGGGTTGTGGCTCAGCGGTAGAGTCCTTGCCTAGGACAAGCAAGGCACTGGGTTTGATCCTCAGCTCCACATAAAATAAATAAATAAAGGTATTGTGTCCAACTACAACTAAAAAAAAATTTTAAAAAAATTTAGTAATTGTGTAAAAAAAATTTTTTTCTCTCATGTTGGTAAACTGCATACATTTTATTTCTTGAGCAGATATTTTCCTGTAAGGGGTTTGCATACCATTTTGTAAAATGTGTAATGGAGATGCTTCAGAGAAGTCCTTCCTCATGAACAGAAAGACACACTTAGTGTAGCATTCAGTACGTACTCATTCAGTTGGAAAAAAACGTTGACGTTACATCAGCACAGCTGCAAACAGTGAATTCGCTGCTCCTTTCCTGTGTTTCCTCTATATAAAGTTGCCCTTAAAAAGAATTTCAGGAGGCCGGGTGCAGTGGCGCAGGCCTGTGATCCCAGTGGCTCGGGAGGCTGAGGAGGATCGTCAGTTCAAAGCCAGCCTCAGCAAAAGTGAGATGTAAGCAACTCAGGGAGACCCTGTCTCTAAATAAAATACGAAACAGGGCTGGGGATGAGGCTCGGTGGTTGAGTGCCCCTGGGTTCAATCCCTGGTACTCCCCCCACCAAACAAACAAACAACAAAAGGATTTCAGGAACTGTGAAGAGGTAGGGTTGGTCTGGTTAGTTATGCTAGTCAGTATTCATCTTTATATGCCTTTTCTGGCAAATTTACATGTAAGCAGAATGAAATTGGAGTGAAATCTTGTTAGTTTTCACAAGAGATGGGGAGAGAAAGATTTGTCTGTTTTCCTGTGGGAAGGGATGCTTGGTTGGGGATCGTGCACGTTCAGCATGGTTTATGGACAGATACCAGGCAGCTTCCTGATGCCTCAGTTTACAATGAGAAATGATTTAGATATTGTTTTATTGTAGGCTCTCATTTCAACTCCTCCAGCTTTCAGAGGCCATAGAATCTGGAGGTTTAAGATTTTCATAATGAAAAGATAGGTTTTGAATTGAAACGTGGATCTACAGAAGACGGGGGTGGAGATTGGCTACTAGGGGGCCACTTCATTCCCTGAATTTACCAGGATTGGGGCAGGTGTGAGTCTTTAAGCTGAACTCCTTTGGGGCCTTAGGACAAAAGTGTGGCCTGGCATCAGAATCGGAGTCTCAGTTAACTCTTCCCCAGCCTGTGTGACCTGCTTTCCAATGACTGCGAGTGGGCTCCAGCTCAAGTCTTGCTCCTCTGTACCCTGTGATTCTCAAGTGCACGGCTCGTGGTTGCTACTTGGTAAAAATTGGGTTAATGGATATAGAATAAGTTCAGTGAATCAATGGGTGAGTGAATATAGCCACTAAACTAATTTGCGGGTTGTGGAGATGAGTCAGTGATGGGTGGAGAACTTGTACCCAGTCTGGGTCACAGGCATTTCATAGCTGTGGTTCTTATTGTCACACCTGTACCAGCAAAGAGGCTGAGAAAGGAGCTCGGGTGGGGTAGGGACTGTGGGAATTGTTTCCTCTGGGCTGCTCTAGTGGCTGAGCCCAGAGGATGGAGCTGAGAGCCAGGAGCAGGGCCAGGGATCCCTCAGGGAACAGCAGGTAGCCCCCAGGAGAAACCTGGGAAGAAGCCTCTTATTTGCTGCCTGCTGGGTGGGGCCGTTCCCAGGACTGAACCAGCGGACCTCACAGGAGGGAAAGAGGCGCGTTGGTGGAGTGAGGTCAGCCCAAGGGTTGCGGGATCAAAGGGAACAGGAGCTCTCTAAAGTCAGTTGCTCATGACCCTAAGAGTTCTAAAGAGACCGTGCTGTCCTCCTGCTTACGGAAACCGTCCCATTTCAGTGGAACAGGAGCGTGTCCAGGCCCTTGGCACCCCCGCCTTCCAGCTGCCCGAGTGTGTAGCGCGCCAGGTCCTTTAGGTGCTGGTGAAGCAAAGCGAGCAGTGCTGTGTGCTTCCTGGGATCCTGGGATGGAGGAAGCCACGCGGCAGGATGGGAGGCGGCCGGTACCACTCTCCACGGAACTGAGATTTAATCAGAGACCAATGCATGCACATATTTTCAACGTTTGATATTTTAAAATGAAAAGTGATCTTTATGGATATCGCTGTTCAAGTCTTGAAAAGAAAATTCCTTATGTTTCTCACCCAAAAATAAAAGGAAGGGATGCTTTGTTCTCCAGTGGTATTGTGGTGGGCAATCTCAGAGCACATTTTAACGTGGAGTTTATTTGAAGGAAAGGATTACACAAAGAAGTACGTTGGTTTTTGGATTTTTTAAAACTTGAAATGCAGAGAAAAAAATAAGTGGTTTTCTCTCAAGTTACATGGAGTACCTGGATCATTAAGGTTTAATACAAGGGTTTCTGTGCTAAGGTACTTCCTGTAAAATATGACTTACATGCTCAGTGCTGATTTTATGAAGCAAATTAGCAGCCACTAATCCTGATCTGAATAGAGGATTTAAAAGAATCCAAATGTGCGATGAGGGTTGTATTCCTGTCCAACATTCTTGATTTGTTAAAAGAGTGGTGAATTACTGTCTGCCTCAACTTTCTCAGTTCGGTAACTCAGGCAGGTCCTTGCATCGTTTTGAAAGTCTTTAAAGATGATATGACTGTAGCAGGTAATGCACGTGGTTCCTTTCAGCCCTAAAGTTCCATATTTATTATTTTGTACTAGTTCATTTATGGCCTTACCTTGATCCTAGTTTTTTGGTCTATGCATTAGATTTTTAATTAAATGCAAGCTCTTAGCCACTGAATTTATTTATTTTTTTAATAGTTTTTTTCTGAGCCAGGGCTGAGCATGCAGGAGACGTTTGAGAGAACTGTGGCCATTGTCATGTTCTGCTCGGTGCCAGGTGTGTGTGCACGGCTGTAAAACGTTTCCTCTCTATTCCTCATTGTAGATGCTTTTCATGGAGTGATGCTCAGTAAAAGTGAGCCGGATTAGTGTAGTCAAGGATGACTTGTCACAACCCTCCTGTACTGGTATCTTAAGGAGAAGTTGGACATACTTTCCTGCACTCTCTGTAATGAACTTGTGTTACTGTATTTATAACCAATGTGTAAATCTTGAAAGCCTGGCTTTGGTGAATTATCCTTCCTGATGCTCTGTGAGGTAGCTCAGAAGAGGCAGCGTTTCGAGTAGGAGGATCCCTGATAACGCATGGCCCGGGCAACCCCTTTGTGCCTGGACAGCACACATAACCAGCTGCCTCAGGTGTGCCTCGTGAGTCAGTCTAGCTGGTCAGGGCCACCGTCAGAAAGCACCACTGTTAGCATAATGCACACTGCGGGCATCAGGTTGCCTGGAATCAAATTTTCTCTTCATCTGTCCATCAGGACACATGAGAAGCCTGGGAATGGTGGAGAGAGGAACTGTGGACTGAGTGGAAGTGTGAGAGCATAGATGCCGGGGACTTGGGGTCTCCAGGTGAGGCTTGACTGGAAACGTGTGGCACAGGCCCTGTCAGACTCCGTTCCAGAGTGGTCAGTCCAGCTGGGTATTCGTGATCTGATAAGCCAGAGGACTGTTAATATTTTATGTGATATTTTAAGGCAAGAAAGTGCTTTGATTATTGTGTTCCCCGGGCTCACACAACGTGCTTTCTCTTATTAATGCACAAAGTATTTAAATAGACCCTAGGTGGTAATGAGCTTTTAAAATAACTCTTAGTATCTGAAAAAATAACTTTTCTATATTTAAACAATGAAGGTCACGTGCTACCTTTAGTTTTGGAATAAGGCAGAATATATATAAATAAATATAAAACATACATAAAAATTGAAAAGAAAGAATCAGGTACCATTCTCTCCCTCTGATATGCTTTTCCAGGGTTCATAGCTCATTTTAATAGTAATCTTTCTTTGGGGCAGAATGGACCCCTGGGCTCTTAACCACCGAGTCACATCCCCAATCCTTTTTTATATTTCACTTAGAGGCAGGGTCTCACTGAGTTTCTGAGGCTGCCGGGAGTGCTTGGGGGCCTGCTCAGCCTGCGGAGCACCAGGGCTGGACTTAGTTGCGATCTTGTTCATTCTCTTTTTGCATTTTCTTCTAACGTCACATCCTAACCACTGCTCTTTCCACAGCTTTGATTATCATATAGATACAAGATGTCTTGAAAACGCATGGAACACAGGCGACGGTTTAACTCTTTCCCTCATTGGGCTCTTCCCCCCTCCCCAGTTACAGTATGGTGGCAGCGTCACGATACCAGCCACCACGTGCTTATCAAGCTCCCGGTTAAATGTGTGACACCTTTCCACTTAGCTTTCTTACCTACAAAAAGGGATTGGTATTCCTTAGCCAACAGTTCATCATGAAATGCTCCTGAAGGCTCAGCGCAGGGCCTGTCCCCTGGAGAGCTGCAGAGGACACACTCATGTCACCGTCCCCTCATTAGCCATGGTCTTCAGCTCTCCGCTCTGCACTTCAGCTTCTTAGGGAAGCCCTTTGGGTGTTCCCAAGCTTGGATGACATGGGCCTAAGGGTTCTTGTACCACTACCAAGATGGCCTCTTTATTATTTTACCTTAGTTGTGTATTTTCTTTGTCTTAGCCTGTTGGGACTGCCTGTAACAAAACACCATAGACTGGGTAGCTTATAAACAAGAGAAGCTTACTGTTCATAGTTTCAGAGGCTGGGGAGTCTGTAATTAAGGCAGCGGAAGATTCAGAGTCTCCTGGGGCCTGCGTTGCGGCTGGTGGTGGCCCCTCCAGCCGTGTCTTCACATGGTGGGAGGGGCAGGCAGCTCCCTGGGTGCTCTTTTCTCAGGGCAGTGATCCTGTGCATGAGGGCTGCACCCTCATGACTAGTCACCTCCCAAAGCCCCACTGGCTACCACATGTTGATTGAGTTTCAGTAGAAGTGGGGGCTGTGGACACGCCAGGAACATGCGTTCAACACAGGAGTGGGGGCTGTCGACATGCCAGGAACATGCGTTCGACACAATGAAGGTCACGTGTCGTTGCTCACCCTTGTCACGGGTGCACTCTATCCTTTACGTCACTGTGTCCCACCGTCCCAGTTGTGACACTGTGAGTGGTAGGTGCACTTTCAGGAGCTGTTGAGTGACTGGGTTCATGGGTGAGTGTTTCATTCGCTCTAGACTTTGCATGACAGTGAGGTGGCTTTCTTTGACTCACGGGATGGTCAACGAACGTTTCCGTTACAGTCTGCTGACGTCTGCGAACAGATCTTAAGGGTGGTGAGTCGGTCCAGTCGGCTGGAAGAACTGGTGTTGGAAAACGCTGGACTTCGAACGTGAGTATTTTTCTGAAGGCGTGAACGCGTGGCCTTAAGACTCGGTGGCGTTCACTCTTTTAATCATCGCGTAGATCTTAAAACTCCGGCCTACGCATATGTTCAGTTCTCCCTGCTGGCAAAAACAAAAAAGCAGTCCCATGCTGCCCTCTCTGTCACGAGGGCCAGGACGTGGTGAGGCTGTGCGGGGGAGGGTTGCCTGGTGTTTGTGGGGAGCCAAGGCTGGTGGTCAGCAGCGTGGACCTTGACCGAGAACCTTGTCCTTGGCAGTCCCCTGGCTCTCTGCAACTCAGGCGCTTTGCTCTGGGAAAGGGTGACAGAGGTACCTTCCTTGCAGAATGGCAGAGGCCAGGGTGGGTGAGGGGACACGCACAGAGCACAGGACAGGGCCTGCCCTGTGGTGGGGGCCGCTGCCACTCCTAGGATCATGGTCGCTGGCAGTGGTGACGTGGCTCCGTGTCTCCTGAGGCTTTCCTGCTCTGCTTGGCTGGTTCAGTCACTTTTGTCCCCTCCTGTTGACCCTTACGTGGCCTTCACCTAGTGGTGGGGGGTCACACCAGGCCTCGGGTTCAGAGCATGGACTGTGAGGGCGAAGATGCCCTGTAGCCTGTGACAAGCGTTGGGTTTTGTCATCCAAGTTACATCAGCCTGAATGCAACGTGGAGAGTGGTTTGTGTTTTGTACAATATAGAGCTAGCGGTTGTAGCCTTTAGCTCAGTAGTCAGAGTGACCGGTTTTATATTCATGAGTGTTGCAGCAGATGAGAACTGAGTGGCCGCTGGAATTTTGATGAAAAGCAGGTTGAATCCAGGATTTTTTACAAAAAAATTTATAAAAGATCAAGTAGTGCCGTTAATATCATAAAGCAATGTGTCTTTAAAAGGGCAGTTGTGTGTGTTCTATTTGCTTTTGAGTGATGTTTTGGTAACTGGATGTGAGCCGTATTCTGGCTGTGCTTTCTCTAATGAGTCATTAGTGGGGTTAACACATATGTGAGGTGCAGATTGATGGCATAAAGGGGGTTTCTATTGTTTAGACTTCACTATTTTCATTCTTAAATATTTCATATGAACAGTTTTACATCCTCTTTATTTACCCTGATATTTACTCTTACTGTTTTGTTTTCTTGCAGAGATTTTGCACAAAAACTGGCCAGTGCTCTAGCACATAACCCCAACTCAGGGCTCCACACGATCAACCTTGCTGGCAACCCCCTGGAGGACAGAGGTACCGCAGCAGTCAGGGTTCCCTGGACGCCGTGTCGTGGGGGAAGAGGGGCTTTATTCCCACAAAGACGGGCATCAGGCTAAGTTATAATTATGCTAGAAATGCTGTTGATGTGATTTTTGCTTCTAGTTATTACCTTTTGAGAGAATGCTCATGTTATGATTTCATTATCTGATCAACTTTTTTTTTGAAATGATACAAAAAGAAGGAGAATATTGTTGTTAAAATGGTTTATTAGTTATCTATTGCTGCATAACCAATCATCACACGTCGGGTGGCTTAAAACGAGGTGGAAATGTCATCTCAGTGTCTCTGGGCCCAGTGTCTCTGGGCCGGGCGGGATCTGGGTCTAGGGACTGCTCTGTGCCCGTCGTCTCGCCCAAGGCTGAATGTGTGTTGGCAGTGGGGGCTGTGGCTGCTGTGGCCAGGGTCGTCCCCGAGTTCATGGGTTGTGGCAGGGTTATTTCCTTGGTGTGCAGCACTGTTTTCTCGCTGCTGCTGATGGAGGCCACTTCCTGCCCCTGGAGACCATGCTCAGGGCCTTGCCCACAATGTGGCACTTCTCCCGTGGGGCACAGTTGGAGCACAGCTCTCTGGTCATCAGACCAGGCAGGCTGACCAGGGCAGTTTCCCTGGTGATGAATTCAGAATCAACCGATGGGTCATGGAGGTGGTGAAATCCCATTTTTGTGTGTGTGTGTGTGTGTGTGTGTGTGTGTGAAATCCCTTTTTTTTTTGCACCAGTCTCGTCCCATCGTAGGGGCGTTTCCAGTGTGGGAACCTTGGAGGCCACGTTAGGGTCCTGCCCACCACAAACACCACTTAATATTTAACTAAAGTGTCAGACTAAGGGGAGGGTGAAGGCTGGGGCTCACGTGGAGGAAGAAGGCTTCAGTAGATGAGGGTCGGTGGGGTCAGAAAGGGAAACCTGACACTCGGTTCTCAGAACGTTTTCTGCGCAGATGCTTTTTGGCTTTGTTGAGTAAGGGCCTTTCCTCTTCCCAGGTCACAGACTTGATGAAGATTAATTATTCCACTGGACGAAGGGACTGAGAGACAGTTCTGCTTTTCCTTCTTGGTGTGGTCATTGTTTTGCACTTAGTATGAGACCTGGTCCGTAGTCAGTTTATATTTTCTTTAAATTGAGTTTGATTTCACTGAGTTTTCATTCTTGTATGCAGTTTTAAATACCATGGTGAAGTTGATGGAGATTTCATTTCCTCTTTAGAATGAGAGGATGTCAAAGTAGCATTTCTGTGCTTTTTCCTGCCAGGGTCCCCCCCCCCCCCCCGAGTCCCGACTCTGTCTTTCCACCCTCCTGCGGCCCATTCACAGGTGTCATGGTGGAGTCTTGATGGGCGCTCTCCTTGGCCTCCGCTGGGTGCTGGCCCACTCCTTCGGGTGGTTCCTCTTCTGCGGCTTCAGTTTTTGACACCTGGAAAGCCATTTCCAAAGTCCAAAACCTCCCCCATGTCCACTTCTCTGCCCCTCCATGTCCACTGCTCTCCTGCTTCCCGCCTTCCTTCTCTCTGGAGGAGCCTAGGTAATAAAGAGCACTGTCCCCCTCCTCCCCCTCCTCCTCCCCCCCTCCTCCCCCTCCTCCCCCCTCCCCCTCCTCCTCCCCCTCCTCCTCCCCCTCCTCCCCCCTCCTCCTCCCTCCCCCCTCCTCCCCTCCCCCTCCTCCCTCCCCCTCCCCCTCCCCCCTCCTCCTCCCCCTCCTCATCTCCCTCCACCTCCTCCTCCCCTTCATCCCCTCCCCTCCCCTCCTCATCTCCCTCCACCTCCCCCTCCCCTTCCTCCCCTCCCCTCCCCCTCCCCCCCCTCCTCCTCTTCTTCTTCTAAAATAATTATCCTTTAATGAAATTATATGACTTTATTACTAATCTAAATTTCAAGTAATCCAAAATTTTTCTCAAGTGACTTCATAAGGTCAAGCAGAATGAAGAGTGGGCATCATGATGCATTATAGACACACGCTGATTATGATTCACAGACAATCATTACTTATGAACCTTTTTAGGAAACCTAAAAACAGCGTATTCTATATTCTTTTAGGAACCATAAAGGAGGTTTACTAAATTAAAGTGATGTATTCAAAATACAATCAGCAAGTGAAAGAAGTGTCTGTCTATGGTCGTGCGTCCTTGCAGTATACCTCCGCTGCCCTTGTTTTGTGGTCATTCTGTTTTAGACTGGTTTCCCCACATCATATTGCTAGAACTCTACAGGCAGAAACGTATTACATTTTTAATATTGAGGCTCCAAATTAACAAGGACCTATCTTAAACTATTTTCTACTGTGTGAGTCATAACGATTCCAAAATATACAAGTGTTAGAATTTTGTATGGTGTTACAGGCTTTTAGGTGCATAATTGACAAATGAGGTTAAATTTGCAATGTCAAATTTAATTTTCCAGTGTTTGTAAGTTAATAACATCAGATAACAAATTACCATGCTAAACATTTTATAATCACTTTTTTATTAGGCAAAAATGCTTCAAAGTAGATGGAGCTTTAATAGTTTCTTTTTGAAGAGGAAAATTAAAATTGGATCTTTTTTCTAATTTTGACACATATTTTAAAAATCACAAGAAAGGTAATTTCATCTAGTAAAACCTCTAAATAAGTTTTAATGGTAAATTCAGTGTTTCATTCACAGCTCCAAAGTCTACCTTTACTTTATTTTGGGCAAAAGTGTGCATTGAGCAGTTCTGGCCACAAGAAAGTATCCCCGGGCCTTTTCTTTGTAGGACAGTTTCCTTGGCCATCAGTTGCTCTGGGGGTCATTGCGTAAGGACTTCAGAGCACACAGGGAAGGTCATTTTATTTTCTTGATTTACATTTCCAAGGCTCACGTCTCTCCCTCTCTGAGCTCTGCTAACGGGGTCCTTGGTATAAGAACTGGCCACCTTTTTAGGGATTGTGCGATCCCCCACCTGTCTCTTTCACATCAGCCTTCCCTGGCCTGGTTGTTGTTGACATCGGCGTTTTTTGGTGGAGATCATTGGCTCTTTTTTTAATTCCTCAGAATGTAACTGTGCAGAGAAACTTTGACCAGGGCAGGAGCTCACTTGTCCAGGTGTGCATGGGTGGCTGCGTCTCCTCACAGAGCATTCTCTGGGGGGCCTGATGGTTCTTGATAGGTTAGCTGGACTCACCCAGCTAGTGTGTGTGCAGGGTGCTGGGCAAGGGCTCTCCGTGCCTGGTCTCCAGTGTGACTTCTGGGCCTTTTCTGCAGTTAACAGATGGATATTACAGGAATGGCGGACACCCCCAGGTCTCCCAGTCTGATTTCAATCCAGGTCTAACTGATTCAAGAGTATGTTTTCTCACACTCTGTAAAGTACTGACTGCAACCTTAAAAAGAGAATGTGGAAAATTGGTACCTGAAGTGTTCCTATAAGCAAAAATTTCATAAAGTAGAAATAAAAACATGCCACTCTTGAACATGAATAATGTTTGCTTTTCAATTAGTTATGCAGTGACTTGATTTATATAAGGGATTCTCTTCTGACAAAACTACATATTTTTACTCTAGTTTAAATCTGAAGGATGGAGAGAAAATGTCATCAATCAATTTAGTTCTCTCATTATTTTTGGTACTAGAGGTCGAACCCAGGGCTTTGTGCATGCAAAGTGCGTATTTTACCACTGAGCTAACCTCTGACCCTCTTATGATAGATATTATAAATGAGCAGTGCTGCCCTGAATTACGCATTCCCTTTCATTAGCATTGGAGAGGGGGGTTTCTTTAAAGAAGAAATACGTTTATGACTTATGCATGCCAGGAAATGAAAACCTTTCAAGAAAGACAGTCTCTTTTGGATTTTTGTAACACATAAGAACCTGGCACCACTTCATCTTACTATCACCAAGGCCTATGGTATATGTTTTGTAGAACAAGTCATGAAATAATTCACTATTTCTCTCTAGGATAGAGAACCACGTTTTTAATTAGATGTGCTCTTAATCAGCCATTGTGTATTTCCAATGACTTGTCTGGAATTTGAAAAATAGATACATTAGCTAGACTATCTGTGCCTTTTATTTCTGTCCTTTTAATTCTGTTTACTTTTAGATCTGCTTTTCAAAAAGCAGAACTGTCCAACCTGACTCTCACTTTTATCTGAGTTTAGGCGCTTCGCGGTGAGTCCTTTTTGGTTTCATGGCTTCCAGAGAACATTGTGGATCATCTGTCCTTTCTGGGCACCTCCCTTTTTATACAGGGGTTTAGGACTCTGGGATGAAAAGGTGGGCGGTGTCCCTGGCCGGGTAAAGCTCTGTCCTAGCCCTTCTTTGGCTTGAGCATTTACAGGATTGTGTGCTGCTATGAATGGTTGACACACAGAAGACTATTAAAAGTTCAAAATTGTTGTCTTCTCAAAAAAATGAAGTAAAATAAATCAATTGGAATATAATTTTTGAGTTTTAGTGGTAGATTTTAGCAGAAATAATTTCGGTCATATAAAAATATTTTTAGAATGATTGAAAGAAGAATGTGGCTTTAAGGATATTATTTTTTTTATTAACATCATTATAGCATATGCTTTGCTAAATAACAGAAAATATTTGATGAGTGGGCGGTGATAACTCCTATCAAAATTTAAAAGTGGAAATCCAATATTTTTCTATTTGAAGTACATGTGCATTCAGAAACGTCCATAAATCCCAAGTGTGTTACATGAGTTCCATCGCTATAACAAAAAATCCGAGATGGTTAACTCGTAAAGAGAACAGCTGGGTTCTGCTCACAGGTCTGGAGGTCCCAGTCTGTGCCTGAATGGCCCCTTGACTTTGGACCTGTGGTGAGGCGGCACGTCATGGTGAAGATCACGGCAGACAGCGCTGCTCACACCACGAGTCAGGGAGCACTGAGGAAGAGACTGGGTCCCCAGGTTCCCTCTGAGGGCACATCCCCACTGACCTGAAGACCTCCCATGAGGCCCCACCTCCTGAAGGTTCCACCACCTCCCGGTAAAGCGACTGCAGGGACCCAGCCCTCCAGGACCCAGACTGTGGGTCTTAGTGAAGTTCAGCACGGCACGCACTCCTGCAGAACCCCTGCCTGGGCTGGAGTGGAGCGTCCACAGCCCTCCGGGCTTGCAGTGCTTGGCCCCGTGTTGCCCATCCCTGCCCTCCGCAGCTGAGGAGAAGGTGCTGTTCTGCCCTGCGGTGACAGACCGGCTTTGCCAATTCCTGAACCAGGCAGCACGGGCGCGTATACGTCTGGCGTCTTGGCTTCTCTCTGTGGGCGCTTTGGTCGCTTACTGTTCCTGGGGCTGACAGTGAGCTCAGTGCCTTGGAGTTGGTTAGCAGCGAAGGGCCTGGTGCAGTCCCCACTGTGGCAAAGTGAATAAGAAGAAACAAACAGCATGGAGCGCTGTAGAGATGACCGGTTTCTTCCGTTTCTTAGTGGGGCGACTAGGGATTGAACCCAGAGGTGCTCCACCGCTGAGCTCCATCCCCAGTCCCCTTTAGGTTTTGAGACAGGACCTGGGCTCAGTTGCCCAGTGTGGCCTCGGTCTTCTGAGCAGCTGGGATTGCAGGAGTGTGCACCACCTGACTTCGACCTAGTCTTCTTAGCAATGCTTGATTACGTGCCTCCCCCCGCCAACCCCCCTGGCCCCCCGACCCTCTGGAGAGAGGCAGGAATTTCCGGAACATCCAACACTTCATGCTTAGTCAAGATGTACAACTTTTGCTATTTTCACGTGGTTATTTCTCGTAAAATCTGGTGAGATTTATAGAGAATTCGGGGTTGTGTAAGAGAGCAGCAAGCAGCAGTGGTTCCCATTGATGCCTGGAATCTCAGACTTAGTCTAGGGGAGCGTTTGCTTGTTATGGTTTTAGGAGCCTCCCTAGAACTGCCCCCGGGAGGTGACAGCCCACCTGCAAGTGGGGCTGCTTGAGGGACCGTAGGGAGGGCCCACAGTCACCTATTACTCATTTCCCCCAGAAAACGCTCTGCGTTCATTGCAGCCCTCGAGTGAGTGAGCTGGTGTCTGTCCTCCCACTCCAGCCATTAATTTTAAATACTATAAATTCATGTCATTCCAAGTTGAAAACCTGACTGTAAGAAGTTGAAACACAGCTGGGCGCAGTGGTGCATGCCTGTGATCCCAGTGACCTGGGAGGCTGAGGCCGAGGCAAGAGAATCACAAGTTCAAGTCCAGCCTCAGCAACTAAGTGAGCCCTCTCTCAAAAGGGGCTGGGGTTGGAGCTCAGCAGTAGAGCACCCCTGGGTTCAATCGCCAGTACCATGCAGGGGAAAATGGTTAAAATGTGCTTGTGCCCCGTCTGAGGTGGCTAACCATAAGCCAGTTAAGTTTAGGAATCCACGTGTTAAAAGTGAAGCTGTTATCTGAGTAATTAACATTATTCCATTCTTGACTATAATTAAGTAGCATGCAGCTCCTCGTCCAGAGGAGATCAGCTCATTAAGACAGAGGCTACATAGAAAAGGGGGAGCAATTATATGACCGTTTTCAGGAAGATTTGCATTTTAGATGGGACTATCAGAAGAGGGTCGAATTTGACCAGAGAAAAATGTTGGTAATGGTCAAGTTTCAGATACTGTCATGTGGACTGAACACTCTGCCCTTCGCCCACCCCACAGGTTGGGCAGAAGGAAAAGGGGCCCATGGTAAATGTTTGGAAAATAGCCTCCGGCTGCAGACAGGAAACATGATCACTTCACGGGAATCGCGTTTATTTTCATGTACTGCCAAATACAACTGAGAACTTGAAAAGTCTAATAATCTCTTTTTTTTTTCTTTCTTTCTCAGGTGTGTCCTCTTTAAGTATTCAATTTGCCAAACTCCCAAAGGGATTAAAGCATTTAAATTTATCTAAAACCTCACTATCACCTAAAGGTACAGTATATTTCATTTATTTAACACCGGGTCTCTCTTTGCCGCTGCCCCGATGAGTCGTTGAAACTCCTGTTTGTTGTGACCCTTCCCTGAGAGCGTGCATCACATACTCTGCCGTCCTAAGACAAATACAGTGTGGACTTGAAGCTCCAGGTCTCCAGTGTTCTTAGAGTGGAGAGTCTGTCTTTGAGTCAGCGCGTGCCCACCTGGCTGCCTCAGCCTCGATCCCTGCCCTCTCCCAGCACCTGGGGCCCTGCTGTATGTCCCCGTAGATGCGTGGGCTTTGCCATAGGGGGGCCGCCTCTGCCGGGCCTCTCCTCCTCGCTGCGCCTCCCCGGGTCTCCACTCCTCAAGTCTGGAAATGGCCTGATGTTCTCCCCAGATCCCTCCTGACTCACCTCCTCCCTGTAGTTTATCCAGGGCCCACCAAGGCCTGTGAACTCTCTTATTATTCGGCCACACTGTCACCTTGTGACGAGATCAGGGAGTCCCCTGCCTCCATCCTGCCTTCGTGTCTGCACACCCCTGGGCCCCGAGCAGCCTTCCTCTCGCCCCAGAATTCCTGGGGGCCCCTGTTTATTGTACAAAAGCTTCGCCCGAGACCTTCTCTGCTGAGACGCGTCTGCTATTCCCGAGGCCACCGCTGACTTGGCTGCTCTTTCTTTGGGGTAATGCTGGACCCCACATGTGACGCTCCGTACAAGCACTGCGTCTCTCCTGTTAGAGTGTGGCCCTCCTCACAGCGGTGCCCCTCTTTCCTCTGTGCCTTCAGCACCTGGTGCAGGACCTGGACCACTCAGGGGTGGTGGTGCAGGTTTCTTGAACGGAACAGCTTGGTGGTTCTTATGGAGACCGTCTTTGGAGGCATCGTAGGTAGCAGCGTCAGTCTTGTCAGGTTGCTTGAGACTCACTCCTGGCTTTTACACTTACATAAACATGTTCTCCTCATCTCTTCTTCCCCGGGACACTTACTGTGAACATGAGCTCCTCATCTCGTTCTTCCCTGGTTGCCTCATTTGTGGGACAGAAATAGAGGATCTGTCTCTCACAGGCAGAGGGTTACATTAAATAATATAAATATATTGTGGTTTCTGGAACTAAGGTCTTAATAGGTACTACTAGCAGCAGCTGCTGTTAACTCTCAGGACCACCACCATCACTATGAACGCCATCATCACTATTACTCTCACCATTACCAATACCCATGCCCTCACCACCACCATCACCACCACCACCATCACCATCACCATCACCATCACCACCACCACCACCACCATCACCACCACCACCACCACCATCACCACCACCACCATCACCATCACCATGACCATCACCACCACCACCACCACCATCACCATGACCATCACCACCATCACCATCACCACCACCACCACCACCACCATGACCATCACCACCACCACCACCATTACCACCACCACCATCATCACCATGACCATGACCATCACCACCACCACCACCACCACCACCACCATGACCATCACCACCACCACCACCATTACCACCACCACCATCATCACCATGACCATGACCATCACCACCACCACCACCACCATCACCACCACCACCATGACCATGACCATCGTTACACATCACCATTACCCCCACTGTCATCACTGTCATCACCACGACCACCACCATCACCCTCACCACCATCACCATTGCCCCCAAGCATCATCACTACCACCATCACCCTCACTTTTACCCTCACCATCGTCATCACCACCATCACCAACACCATTACTATCACTACCACCATCACCACCCACTGCATCACCGTCCATACCCTGTCATGCCATCATGGTTACAGCCATCAACATTTTATGCTGTCATGCTTTTGTGTACTTTTATTTCAGGCTGGGACAACCGTGGTGTCCCTATACACAGGTTATCGCTCACCCTATGAAATTCAGCTTCAACCTCACTGTCTCTTTGAAGCCTTCTTGGACGATGTCCACCACTTCACCATCACAACTAGACGCTCCTTCCTCTGTGACCGTAGTGAATCCCTCTGTCATCACATGTTTGCCTTCTGATTGCGTCCTAGCCTGGAAGTTTCTGCAGGGTAAAGGCTTTCTCCGCCCCATTCTTGTCTGTGTTCTGGTGGCTGCTGCACCTCAGGCAGTCCCCGAGCAGGCCTGGGGGCATGAGTGAGGCAAGGGGCACCTGGTGACCTTGTGTCTGATTGTATATTATTCTGAGCACGCACTTACACTCAGAGTGATTGGAAACTGGAGTCAGCTCCCTAAGTCGCATGATTTTGCATGTACACATGTTTAAGAGTAAGGCCTAAAAGTATACTGCCAAAGGGAGAGATTGTCACCAACAGTCAGTGCATTCTAAACTGGAGCTGGAAACCATCCCCATTTCCTGAAGCTAAATCTTAGCCCCTTTCTATTATTCCTGTTATACTTCAGAAAATTAATTTTACAAATGGTGACTTTTTCTTGGCGATCAGTGCATTGCATATTTATGGGAAAGACTTAGAAGACAATGAAAAGTATAAATAAGTAAAATGACTTTTAATGGCAGCACTGAGACATGACAAGATTGTCACTGCTGACAGTTTGTGCCCAGCCTTCCACAGTCCGGCAGTTTCCTTATGTACACACACGGGTGCAAACACATGTTCACAGCGTATTTGGGATTATATTTCACTAGTTCACAAACTTGTTTTCCTTCACAGTGTGTGGTGATTGATTGCTTATATAAGTAAATACAGAATCACTTTCAATGGGCGCATGTGTTCTAGGATGTGGAATCATGCTCCAGGATTTATTTTAAAAAATCTGTTGCTGTACATGTAAACTATTTTTAGTTCTTTATAATCCAGCTAACACTAACCAAAATTTGCTTGCTAATTTTGGCCATTTACTTAATATCTTTTTTAGGATGACATTTGCAAGTAGAATCACTAGGTCGAAAAGCGTGTGCATTGTTAAAAGCTTCTTTTCGTATTTATTGCCACCTTGTCCCCAGGTATTCTGTGCAGGTTTCTCTACATGCTCAACACCAGGTGTTACCCTCTGCATTCCTTCTCAAGCATGGACTGAAGGGCTCGGATGATTCAATTTTAGCTCCTCCAGGTTTTGCTCAGGCATTCCCCCGCCCCCTTGTCTTAGTCCTTTCTATTTCCTTTGGGGAGAAGGCTGCTCCACATTCTCAGTTCATTTTCTATTTTCAGTTTTCATCTCTTCTTTACATGGCTACTCTGCCTATCAAGAGGGTTAATCATTTATCCTGTGCTCTTTGATGGACAGAGGCCTTTTCCAAGTCTTCTTGAAAGGCCTTTTCAGTGACATTTCTGTATTTGTTCAATATCATAGAAGAAAGAGAGGGATGAGGGCGATCATTTGTTCTTCCCAGGGTGGGCCTCGGTTCCGAGGTCCCTCCGTGCCACCTCTCACAGTGGTAGGAGAAGGGAGGCTCTATGGGCCCCGCCAGGCCCCTTAGCATCTTTATGTTGAGGGCAGCCCCAAATTGCCTGTACCCTTCACAAGTTAGTCCTCCTAGTTATCTCTCTCCTGAAACAAAATATAGTGGAATGTGTTTTGAAAATTACTATTGTTTTATAGCATGAGACCCAAAGAATTTTATGTTTATCTGTTTTAAAACAAATATCTTGAAATGCTTTTGTTAACATTGATTTCTTAAAGGCTTATACGTAGATTCTGAAAGGTTCACAATTTCAGAATAGCTCAGATTAAATTGCAGTTTTAAGTTTCTGTTGAATTTGACTAACGTTTATATTTTAGTTCCTGGAAAACATTTATATTCAAGGCTCCATAATTTAAGACATTTTTTAGAAGTTTCCTCGTGACTCCCCAGTGCCTCCCAGTAGCCTTCTCTCCTCAGATGCTTGCTCTCTGGTGGTTCTCTGGGTCTGTAGAGGTGTCCTGCTGGTTGGCAGACCATGTCGAGGCAGGGCCATCTGGTCCCCCTTTTCCAGCTGTAAACATTCCAATAATAAACATGAAGGCTGGTGGGAGTCGCCAGGGGCCAGCATGGAGAGCAGCCGGCCGCTCTGTGTTGGGTGGGGTTTGTCAGAGCCCTGATTTCTCTTCCAGTCCTGCACTTTTATAATTCCCTGCTCTTGTGGGCGGACCAAGGCAGGCTCCTGTGGACGTGGGCTAGGGGCGCCGGGGAGGAAGTCTGCCTGCTGTTTCAGGAGCACGAAGCTGAGTGACCACATGATCCTCCCTGGAGTGTGCTCAGGCTTTGGCCACCGGCCAGGGCCCACGCTTGTCAGGGAGCCTTTTGCTGTCAGGACTAATTTGGCCTCCTCATTTTGGAGTGTATTTATTGGGTCTTAGAACACCCCACTAAGGATGAGATTCTTACATTGATTCTCTTGATGAGAGTCTGGTATTCTCCATGCGTTTTAGACTCAATGATTTCATTAAAGAAAAAGATTAATATTAAAATAGACAAACTAGTGGGAATCCACCAGCCAGGCCATCACAGGAGATACCTCCAGACATTGGCCTTTCCTGCAGGCCCTCGCAGCTTCCTTCCATCCCACAGCGGTTAGACCTCCCCCTGCATCAGCAAGCCCTGGTGCCGGCCTTGTTGGTAGCTGCTGCCTCGGTGCACCGTGAATACAACCGTCCCTCAGTTGCTGTAGGAATTGGCTCTAGGAAACCGTCCCTGTGCTGTGCATGCAGAATTCACAGATGCTTCCAGAGTCCTCCTGTAAAACATTCAGTGCTTGTGCACAACCGCTCACGCCTTCCCTACACTCCAGCCATCTCTAGGTCACGGGCAGCACCTAGCGCAGCGTGACCCCAGGTGGACAGTCACACACACTGTATCGTTGGGGGGACAGTGAGCAGGAAAGGTCCGGGCATGTTCCGTGCAGGTGCAGGTGTCCCTGCTGCTGTTTTCACTGTGCTTGCTGCGCCCGTGGGTGCTGAGTGTGGATCTGCAGGCTGCCAGGGTTCAAGTCTGTGTCAGCCCCAAGCTGGACTTCAGCTAGACGGTGCCATCCCTAGTGGCTTTCAGAAGATTTCTTGAAATGAGAAAATATTCCTTATGTAGCACTGACTTTCATCCTGGGGTCTAGGTAGTTTTTTTACATGAAGGTCTTTGCATTTTTCCAAGGCAAAGAATGGATCTCTCTCTCTCTCTCTCACACACACACACACACACACACACATATTTATTTCCCAATGCCCTGCACTTTATTAACACTTAGTAAATGCTGAGTTCGCAGCCAAGAAATCCTTTCTTGTGCTTCATTAAAATATTTGCCGTTGTCTCCTTAACTCGCCCAAATGTCCACCTGCTTTGAGAAATGGTTCCGTGGTCCATCCTGGGCTCCTGGTTCTTTGTATCTCTCTGAAGTTGGAGGGTGCAGAGGCCCCTCATCAGTACCACCCCCGAGTGTTCTGCACTTGTCTTAGGGAGGTGCTCAGCGGAGGCTGCTGTGCCCCCAGCTCTTTCCTTGGAGTTCCCACATCTCTACTGTGGACATGACTGGGAAGAATTTTGTGCACACACCTGCAACCCCAGCTACTCAGGAGGCTGAGGCAGGAAAATCACAAGTTCGAGGCCAGCCTGGGCAACTTAGCAAGACCCTGTCTCAAAATAAAAAAGACATTGAGGATGTGGTTCGGTGGTAGAGTGCTTGCCCTGCATGCATGAAGCTCTGGGTTTATTCCCCAGTACCAAGGGTCGAACCCAGGGGGGCTCTACCACTGAGCAACATCCTCAACCTTTTTTATTTTGAGACATAAGTTGCTCAGGGACTCCCTGAGTTGCTGAGGCTGGCCTCAAGCTTGCAATTCTCCTGCCTTGGACTCCCAAGTAGCTGGGGTTACAGGTGTGCACCACCACACCCAGCTAGAAATGCAGACTTTTGAGATAAACATGGAGATATCCCTGTCCTGTTGTCTTATGAATAATCATCAGAGTGGTGGGGAGTACATGACCTGACTCTCCTGGACTCCATTTGATAACTCTGCTATGAAGAAGGGAGACCTGATCAAAGCCCACACCCTGTTAGGTACTGACTAGGCCTGTGTTGGTACCTGTCACCAGGTGGAGGTGAGCCCAGGCCTGGCCTCCTGAGCAGTCCTGCCCTCCTCAGAGCCCCAGCCTTTGGAGGTGGGTTTGACGCTTCAGTTCAGCCGATGTCGCCTTGGGCCGTTCATGTTCTGTACACGCAGACTCACAGGGTGTTGATTTAACATTTTACCTTTGCATTGCTTCTTACATTGTGAAACAGTTTCAATCCATATTTTGCCATGAAGTAGGGCAATACCCCGTCGATTTCCTAGGGTTCGATAGCGCACGTTACCTGCAATAGCACGTGTATCATTTGAACGTCACTCACAATGCCAGGAGTCTCTTGGCAGGATTTGGGGAAAGGGGGAGATCACCAGTTAGAGGGCTCTAGCATTCGGAGACCTCAGGGTCGAATGCGGTCTGTGCTCAGTCGCGTGGGAAGGGGTGGGAGGGGTGGCAGGAGCAGGGCCGGTCCTTTGCCCTCTGATTCTGCGTGATGGTGAGCTGAGTCACCTTGCACCAAGGCTGCATGTGGGGGCTGCTCGGCTGGGGCTGGAGACTCGCTGACCCCGTTGGGTTTCCTGGTGGAGTCTGAGCGGCCTCTCTCTCCGCTGCAGGGGTGAACAGCCTTTCTCAGTCCCTCAGTGCCAACCCACTGACCGCCTCCACCCTCACCCACCTGGACCTCTCAGGGAACGCGCTCCGCGGAGATGACCTCTCGGTGAGTCTGTCCCACTTGGCCCCCAGAGACGCCAGTTCAGGTGTGACTTCTCCATCTCTCTGTCTCTGGACCCCTTAACATCGCGTGGCCACCGCCTTATGAGGTGCTCTAGTGAACTCCAGAGCCCTCCTTCGTCGAATGCAGCCTGTCCCCGGTGCTTTTTCCTTTATGGTGCTGACGTTTAACTTGCTTTTGGAAATGTGTTTCTGAAGGAGTTATTTCCTTTATTTAAAAACAGTGTTTCACCAGCTACACTTGTCTGGTCAGAAATATTGGTAATGTGATCTGAAATGTTTCATCATTAAAAGCATAGTGTTTGGAAAATGGGTGGGTTTTTAATAATGGTTTGCAATTAAAAGGGGTTTGTAAGATAATCCCCAACCCATCCCCAAATAAAAGTAACCTGAAGCCACTCTTCAGCTTTGTTTATGAACCCCAAAGACCCCCCAGTTATAACATGGTGCTCAAGTACCTGCCTCTGAAATTCAGGTAACTGATTGTGTCCCTGACACAGAGGACTAGGTAGGTCTCATTGCCATATGGGTGCATGGTCCCTTCTGTCACCAGCACTGAGTCAGAAGCAGTGCTCCTTCAACAACAGGCCGCAGCCAGTGGGCATCTTGAAGGGCTTTGGTCTGTTCTGCTGCTTGGCAGGCATGAGAAACCCCGAGGAATCTGTTCTCCTTGTTTGCTGTTACTTTACTGGTGAGGCGGGGAACACCAATGAAGCCTCTTTGTGGTTTTCCTTCCATCCTTCTCACTCCACATCATTTAAAACACCCGCTTCCTGGGGCGCCGGGCTCCTCAGTCACTTCCCTATTCCATTGTCACCTTTACTGGCGGTTCCTGCACTTGCTCCCTTCCAGGGTGAAGTGGGGAGGCCGGTGTGAGGCCCCCGTGGCCGAGCTGAGGGACACAGGGAAGGAGGAGAGACTGAGCTGGGGGCACGGATGTTGCCGCAGAGGACAGAAGAGCAGCAGGCTCCCCCGGCAGGCTGGGTCCTGTTCCAGCTCCTCTGGGAAGAGTGGATGGGACGTCCGGGCCAGGGACAGCGAGGCTCCGGGGCCTGCGACTGGCCCACTTCCTGGCCACCCTTGTGCCTGGGGAAGGCCTCAGAGAAGGGTGTCGTCACCTCTTCAGGTGGCAGGAGCTCCGCCAGCTGGTGGCTGGGAGCAAAGCCACACCACCTTCCCATGTCCCTGAGGTCACTAGGGCCAGGCCGACGCTAAGAGTGAGGAACGCTGGTGGGTGACGCAGATGGGTTCCTGAGTCGGAGCAGCTCCCGCCAGCCTGTGCTGGGCGTCCTCTGGTCACTCTAAGGCACTAGGCTTCTTCCTGTTCTGACTGCTCCCTGGGGATTTCCTGAAGCCCCACATAGTGAGTACTGTGCTGGGAGTGCTTGCTGGGGACCAGACGCCTGGGGCACAAGCTTCCTCGGGATCAATGTATCTAGTGGTGTCCAGAGAAGCAGAGGACAGTCCCTGCCACTTTCCTGGTAACCCAGTGAGCGCTCACAGTCTCCCAGTGAGGTCATCGGAGAACAACAGAGTGGTGAAGGGCAGTGTTTGGGTGGCCTTGCGCTGGGAAGAGGTCAGTGTGGTCTAGGGCCCCCGAAATCCGAGGTGCTGTTTTTATGTAAAGGACGGATAGTGCTGCTCTTGTTGGATTTCTGGAAATCACTGCGGATGGAGAAACCATTGCGCTAGGCAGAAGAGAGTGCAGCCTGAGACCATCCCTTGGCTCAAACACAAACGAGTGCTTCCTTGAACATGTTCAAAAGGAGCTATTAGCATTTTGATAGGGTGGCCGCAGTGCAGGTGGTATTTCAGCCTCAAGAGTTAAAATTAATTAGCACTATTCCAGAAATTTGTAATAAATAAAATTGAGCTTGTCAGGAAAATGAAGTCAAGTGTAAAAAAGGGTTTGGCAGAAAAGATTCCATTTGGCCATTTTTTTTTTTTTTTTTTTTTTTTTACTGAAGCATAAATTTATTTTAGATGAACTTTGGATGTTTGCTCTCAGGGAAGGGAAGGGAGTGGCAGGAAGTTCTTCAAATCCTTTTGGGAAACATCAGAGTGATCCTGGGGATTACGGCAACTCCCTATTGACACATTAACTTGTGTTGTGGTGGTGTGGCAGGGGTGTGTGTGTGTGTTTCTAGATCCTGACATTAATTTTTGTTCTTTATTTCAAGCACATGTACAATTTCTTGGCTCAGCCAAATGCCATTGCTCACCTGGATTTATCCAACACAGAGTGCTCCGTGGACATGGTAATGTTCTTTCACGTGGCTTTGGGGGTCTTAGAAGCGCTGTGTGCATGGCGCACAGGCCTTTGTCTCTAGTAAAGCCTTCTCCTGGACCTAGAAATGTTTGAAAGTAAGTGTGCTGCTTCTCCCCAGGTCTGTGGTGCTCTCCTCCGTGGATGCCTTCAGTATTTAGCTGTGCTCAATCTCTCCAGAACCGTCTTCTCTCACCGGTACGAATCCCTCCTGCTCTCCCTGTCCTCCTGCAGAGCCTTCCCTGGGAGAATGGCGTAGTGACAATGAAAACAGGCTGCGAGGGGTGCGTGCTGCCCAGGAGGATGGCCTTGGACCCTGTGTGTGGCCTTGGCAGGCAGGTTCCATCCTCTTCCTTGGCTGGTCAGGTCCTCACCGGTACCTCCACCGACTCTGAACTGTGTGGCTCATGGCTCCTCATGTGAGCAGGTGCTCTCTTCATACAGTGAAAGCCCTTCTAGAAACTTCTGTGGGTGTGTGTCCCAGTGACGAGCCTAGAAGTAAGGACGAACTCTTTCTGGGGGCAGAGACAACAGCCGTCCCAAAGCTCCCTCCCTTCGATGTGTGGAAGCTGTGGGAGAAGCACGAGGACTCGGGGAGGCAGCGGCATGGAGTGTGGAGAGGGCGGGAGGAGGTGAGGGGACGTCGGGGCTGCGTAGGTGTGGCATTGGCCGTCCTGCTCGGATCAGCCAGCCTCAGCCTTCCCAGTGGCTGTGGGTCGGAAACAGGACTTGGTCATTGCTTGTCTGCTCACAGTGCGTGGTGTTGCTTTGTCCTGGAGCCACCTCCGCGGTCCATAGTTGGCTTTTTAGCAGCTCTGTCTACTGGGGGGTGGGTAGCCCTCACATATGCCGAGATCTCAGCCTGGCAGCATGACCCACGGTCGTGCCTGGCAGATTTGACAGTCGATAGTTAAAGTGCTTTTTGCTTCATTACTGAACAGTGATGTCAATTCTGCAGTAGCAACACACACGTCACCAGTTCCTCAATAGAGGAGGGTCAGAGGTGGGAAGAACCGTGAGCAACTGCTTGGTTCTAGGTCCTTCCGGTGGCTCTGCTCAGCTCCTGTGGTGGACGGCAGCTTACGAAGTGGCTCTGGCTGTGACTGAAAGGCCCGAGTGACGGCAGAGACTGCAGAGGCTTTTGTGTCTTCCGCTCCTTTACGTCCACAGCTCCACTGCGTCTGGGGACTGCTCGGCAGTGCAGCCGCGAAGCTCGTGGAGCACCCCGTGCTGACAGATTGCCTCGTCTTCCAACGAGAGGCTGTGATTAAAGTGTTCATGCCAGCTCCTCACCCAGGCCACCCTGGGAAGCGCTCAGTGATGATGTCAAGATCGCTGCATTCACGCTGAGGTGTGAATGGGGCTAGGCAGTCACGCGCCTGTTCACAGATAATTTCATAAGTGTGCCGACAGGTAGGGGCGGCTGCTCTGAAGTTACAGTGACCCGCCCGGTCCCCAGGGCTGCTCCACCCGATTGGACTCCATTGGCCTTCAGCAAGGGTAGGAGCCACATTCCTCTCACCCTCACCTGGGAGCCCGTCCTCTCCAGAGCCTTGACAGTCCCACAGCAGAGAAAGAGAGACCCTAGCAAAGTCCCTTGCTCACAAAAGCATCTCGGGAAGTCACACTCGTCTCTTCCTTTCACCTCTGCTGGCCGTGGAGAGCATGAGGCTCTCAAGTGTCAGGTGCCAGCCTCCCTCAGGAAGGGACCCCAGGTATTTGGGAACACTGAACAGTCAACACCAAGACAAAGCATCAGGAGCAAAACTAGTCGGCGAACCACTGGACGGCATTTGCTTATTGCAAGGAGCAGGAGTGCCCAAGCTGGTAGGCTCTCCTCTCTGGACACAGCTTTGGAGACGTCCAATACCATATGTCCTCTCAGAACTCTTTCCTCTTAGTTTGGTTTTTCATCTTTTCAGGTAAAGATTCTGGTTTAGATTTTTCCTCCTGGAATTGTCTTGTTTTAAGCTGTATTTTGAACCTGCCAGATGTCCCCAGGTCTTCCCAGACCTTGGGCATGCAAAATTATGGACTGACAGGTGGGTGAGCTGGACACAGGTGGCTCCGCCCCTCCCGCCACGGAACACGAGTGCTGCCATCCACGCTGCTCCCTGCGCAGGGGCTCCTGCTGTCGCCTGGCACGTCTTCCATTCTCCCACCAGTTCCGCCAGAGGGAACCCAACAGGCCAAGGGCCTCCACACCAGTGTATTCCGGGGCCTTCAGTTCTCCTTCACCCCTGAGCTGCGGTTTGACCCTCTTACTTCCTGCCAGCGGCCGGGGGATGCACAGGAGCTTGCAGCCACTTCATTTTGAGTTTCCTCTTTATTCTGACGCTGGGTGGGGCTGGATGAAGATTCACAGAGCGGATGGAGGAGCTCAACAGGTGATTCGCCGAGCAGGCTTCGCGCCACTCAGACTTGGAGCTATCGCTCAGCTTGACACAACGACCCATCTTGCTGCATCCGAGACCTGCTATTTCTAAACACAGCCACCTGCAGGCAGTGATCCTTCATGTCTGGCGCTACCCAGTGGGAAGCCTCTTAAAATCAATGCAAAGTGTGCCTCTCTGACCTCCTGCTTTTAAAAACTCCAGATGTGCCGTTTCCTGGAGACGGATGGGGTCAAGTGCAGGGGCTCACCAGCTGCCGAGAAGAGGGGACGTGCTCAGGGCACTGAAGACCTGGCACGTTCCGCACCAGCCTGGATTTCTCCACTTAGGCCTCGGGCGTTTGTCTTCTCCTCTACGTTTCTGAGTGTGCTGGCGCGCGGGTCATTCACAGGGCCCGGGTGGCCAGTCAGTGCGCCTGGGGGAGGGGGACCACTCACAGCTCTCGTGTTTTTGCAGGAAAGGAAAAGAAGTGCCCCCGTCCTTCAAGCAGTTCTTCAGCAGCTCCCTGGCTCTGATGCACATCAACCTCTCTGGCACAAAACTGTCTCCTGAGCCCTTAAAGTGAGTGATGGCTTCCTTTTCTCCAGAGCTTTGAAGGTTGAGTTTGTTATTCTGGGAGTGCTTGAGGGAAGAGAGAAGGACGCATAATGCAAAGACCGAAAAGGCACTGAGAATAGGTTTTACTCGGAGGTGGAAGAGTTGATTGGAAGTGTTAAAGCACCCTGTGCAGGTAGATACCATTGCAGCTTCTCCTTCATGAGCATTCTCCCTGTGGGTCATGACCTTGGCAGTAGTCACTGCTCTTACACAAAAGAAGGTTCCGAGCACGTGTGGACACGTGGCCCTGACCCTTGTAACAGGCACGATGAATACGCGTTGAACGCTGTGCCTCCAGGTGCCCGTGCCTCTGGCTCCCCTCTGTTCGGCCTGTTTTTAGGCCTAGTCTTGGGTGCGTCTTAGTCCACGTTTGTTCTAGATATTTCTACTCACAGTGGTCATCAAACTCTGTATCCGTTATGTGGGCAGCAGAGTCAGTTTTTAGCTGCTTGGGTGTCTGAGTTACTGAGCGTTTCTAGGCTGACAGGTGACTTAAGTTATGGAATTCAAGACTTCAGTTAAGTTGAGGTTTGAGAGGAATTTGTCACCTTGGGATTTCCATTCATCTTTGCCAGACGGAATCAAAGGTGGGAATCAAAGGTGGGTGTCCGGAGGCAAAGGAGTCGGGTTCTCTCTGCGCCTGGAGAGGGTGTGTCGCAGTAGCCCTGGTCGTGCGCCCTGTCAGGCAGGCTCAGTGCTGCAGACGGCTCCCTCCCCAGCTGGTGTCAGCCCTCAGCAGTGACCCGCACTCTTCCCTTGTGCTCTGCATGAGATGTTCAAAATCAGTACCTGCTATTTATTTTACTAGGAAATGCATTTTCTTCTAATTTTTAAGTCTCCTTTTTTGTTGGAGGTCTGAGGTTCTGGCTTCCACATGGCACCATACGATGAAAACAAAGAATGCCTGTAAGGAAAGCAGGTCCAGTCAGGTGCTAGAAAGTGCCTGGTGTCACAACTACAGCAGGCTTCTCTCTTTTTTTAATGTTTAGTTAATGTGTTAGCTATCTCTAAGCCTAGCAGCCACGCTGGGCGTTGTAGCACATGCCTGTAATGCCAGTGGCTCGGGAGACTGAGGCAGGAGGGTCGAGAGTTCAAAGCCAACTGTAACAACTTAGTGAGGTCCTGTCTCAAAGTAAAATATAAAAATGGCTTGGGGTGTATCTCAGTGTTGGATCGCCCCTGGGTTTAATCCCTGGAACCAAAAATAAACAAACAAACCAACCTAACAGCCAAAAACAATAAATATCCCTATGATTTGGCTATTTGTATTGGCTATTAAGAAAACTACGACGACTAATGTTCCAAAGAGTCTCCTTTACGATTTAACCCTGTGCATTCAGCTAGAATCTATTAACCATCACAGTATGACAGATTTGGGGTACTGAGTACAGAGCACACCCAGATGCAGCCCTTGTGCTCAGCGGGAGACAGTCACGTTCAGGAGAGTTTTGGGATAAGTTCATTTTTCTGATTCTTCAGAATGTTGCCCCTTGAGTGATGCAGAGTGATGGTTCATGGCTCGATGTAGTTGATTTTATGCGTTATCCCACGCCATAGCAAACCGGGACTTACTGGACTTTACTGTAGCTGTATACTTGTGAATATTCTACTTGAAAGATATTTTGTAATTCTTAGATCTTATGATCTGTTATTTATGGGAATGTTTAATCACGTTAATTCAGGGGTCACTTCAGCTTTGAGTTTTACTCAGTATAGATTTTACAGTGCAGAAAAATGCTTCATAGCTGAAGATTCCCAAAACCACGTTCCACGCATACTTTGGTGTGGTATGATGAATGGACGATGGCAGAGTGTGGTGCCTGGGTCCACCTGTGAGGGAGGGGCAGGAAGGGACAGCAGAGTCCCTCTGGTCCACACATGCACCGTGGCCTGTGATGCTGACCACAGCTGTGGGGAGCTGGTGGCTTCCTGGGAAGCTGGCTGTGAGACGGTGGCTGGCTTGTAGGATACGCATTAGGACGGGTTCTAGGACTCCCTCTGTGGAGGGGCAAAAGCAGACAGCAGCACTGGACAGAGGGCAGGGGGTTCTGAGGGTCCCCTGGGAGGGGAAGGAAGTGGAGGGCATTCTGGCCCTGCAGGGCAGCACCCACTGCTGTCCCCAGCTGTCACAGGGCTCGGTGGATCACTCAACCCCAGATACCTGCCGTGAGCCCCAAGGGCGGAGGGAACCCTTGCTTCTTAGAGCACTTGGGATCAGTAGCTGTGAGAGAATGAGCCAGAGAACTGTCACTTCCTTTGAGAGTGACACTTTACATAGGATGTTCCACAAGTTTCCCACTGATCTGGGGTCCTTTCAGAGGGAGGCATGTGAACACTTCCTTCATGATGGGGCTTTCCCTTTGGGCTGCCTTCAGTCTGTTCGAGTATCTCGAGGCTTTAGAGAACCTGGTGGCCCTGCTCCGGGGTCCCCTCCAGTCTCCCAGGGGTGCTCCTTGCTGCTGGTCCTTCTTGTTCTCTGGCTTTTCTCCCCACCCCTTCCCCTGGGCCCTCCTCCCCTCCCCGCCATGCAGCACCCTCCCTCCAATCCCGTGGGCTTGGCTGAAGACTTGTATTAAACCTGCACCCGTGCTCCTCCACCAAGATGAGGAGTCCCCCTCCCAAGACGGGGAAACTAAGTGCCAGTTCTTCTCACCAGTTTTGCAGCAGAGGCTGAGGACTGAGGGGAGAATGGCTGGGCATTTTGCTGTCATGAGGTTACAGTGCAGGACACTTCCTCCTGCAGAGTCCCCCACCCCAGGCACCCTGCCCACCCTTTGCTGTAGTTGTGTTTTGTTCTGCCAAGAACAGTTTCTGTGGCCTATTTATTTTTACGGGTCTCCTGACATTGGCCTTCTGTAGCTGACTATGTCAAAGAGCACCTTTACTTCCTGGGCCTCAATCATATGGGTGAAAAGTGGGAATGATTTTCCTTCTGTCTGAGCATTATAAAATGCAGTGTTGGGACAGGTAGGTACATCCTGGAAGCTTACCTTATGCTAGAAACTGAAGAGACCTCCTTGATGATGTCCAAACCCTAGGTTTGCTGCTAAGAATCTGAGTTTTTAGTCTCAAGTACTTTTGGTGGCTCAATTCTGCCCCAGAAAAGAATGTAAAAAAAGCAGTTTTTAAGCAAAGAGAAGCTGTTTAATGAAGTTGGCACATACACCGATGGGACGGACCCAGCCTTTCTCCTAGGACAGTGTTACAGAGTGACAGACAAGCGAACAGGTCCTGGCTGGGGGTGGCAGCCAGCTCTGCTTGGCCACTCAGCTCTTTTGGTGATGAGCCCAGAACCCAGTGGCTGGAAGAGGGAATGTCAGGGGCCTGGCTGTGAAGGGATTACCTTTCCTCCCTCCTCACCAATGCCCACTTTAGAGTAGCCTGGCCAGGGTCCTTGTCCTGGGAGCATGAGAACTGTAGTCCAGCGCCTGACTCCGCTCACCACCGGCCTGAGTCATGGTGACCTGCACGTGTTTATTTTCTGTGGTAAGAGCAGGAGCTTTCTGTTCTTACAGAGTTCATTATTAGGTCCGATTTAGGGCTTTTGTCCATTCTGTGTAATCTAATGGGTGTGGAATTTTTGTGTCAAACCTGGTCAGTGGCATTGGAGTTTACGAGACTGGCCTGTAAAAGTGGAGTCGATGCAGCTTCTTAGAAAGACATGACATCCAAGTGCTGAATCCAGTCTCCTCGATTTGCAGATGAGGAAATTCCTTCTTCACAGACATGGGTTTTCCTGGCCCTGTAGGTGGCCAACCAGCCAGGCCCCTGGGCTCAGGCTCAAGACGTGTGCCTGCCTGTGTCCAGTGCTCTCCAGCCCTGGCACATGCTCTTCTTAGGAAGAATAATAAGCTCATCCAGCGACGATTCCACATCCTGCAGCACTGTGGAATTGGCCTCCCTGGCTACCGCATTCCCTGGGGAAAGCCAGCTTTCTTTGCCACTGTAACAATCGTCTAATAATCTTCTAAACATTATTAGAGCTGTCCTCCAGCAGATGCAGGTGGGGATTTATCTGTGATGAACACAATTTAATTTCAGTATGCAATTAGGTGTGCTGCTGGCTTATTTGCGTAGGAATGGTGGTTCTGCCAGGTTTGGCATGGAGGGTGGCCCCCACTGCTGTCAGGCAGAGTGCTCTGGGTCATGTTTTACTGTAGAGGAGCAGAAATGCAGTTGGCATTGTAAGGAAAGAAAGGTGATTCAAAAGAGCATTCTTCTCCCAGGGTTGTTCAGTGTGCTCACAGTGTGTGTGTGTGTGTGTGTGTGTGTGTGTACGCGTGCGTGTGCGCCCATGTCGTGTGGAATTGTACCTAACCCTGTGTGTTTCCTCCCCCAGAGCGCTGTTACTGGGCCTGGCTTGTAATCATAGCTTGAAAGGGGTTTCTCTTGATCTCAGCAACTGTGAGGTAAGACCACCTTCAGACTGTGGACTGCAGTAGATAATAGCCTCAAAATCACTTTGCCTTTTTCCTGCAAAAATATGATTCTGTGAGTCTGCAGGGTATAAAGGAAGCAGAGAAACACACATTGCACAAGTAGCATACATTATGTATTTTGCAAGTTTTGTCTACGAATAGCCGCTGAACACCATCCAGAAAGCATCCGAGGGGGTGTCTAATGGGTGTTTCTCCAGGCTTAGAGCCTGTTGCCTAAGTATTTTTGACGATGCTGTGAGGTACAAAGCTGTAAGCCAGTTTTGTTGTCGTGAAGTGTGACACACAGCATTCCTTGCAGGGGACGCGTGCATGTACCTGACTTGGATTTCCAGAGTGTAAAAACAAATGACTTTCTCATCATTAATTTTGCTTTTTGGTATCTTGATTCAAAACAGGAAAGTGAAATGCCTCTCTGAATCATAGCAGTCCAGACCCTTCCAAATCCGAGGCCACAGAGAACACCTGACACTAGCAGCCTTTGTGTTTTAGAGGGCACCTAAGCCTTTCCTACCTTGGGACTTTAGTTTCTGAGGAGGTTGGTAAGAATATACCCAGGTGCCAGTCTCTGGGCCTCTCCAGAGCCTGGGCTTGCCCAGCAAGTCAAGCCCTGTTTCTTCTGCCCAGGAGAGGCGGGGAGGCTCCTCAGTCCATCCTGGCCTTGGGGCTTTCTGTTCTCCCCACTGGTCATGTGCCTGTTGGACCCTCCTCCTCCCTAAGGCCCTCTAGCTTGAGGCCATTCCTGCACACGTGGGTCAGGTCCTAGCCGTGCAGTCCTGGATGGACTGGTTGATATTGCCCCAACCTCTACACACGCAGAGTGGAGGTGGTGTCAGTGGGTCGCCGTTGCTGTGGGTTACAGGGCTTTCTGAAGAGTGCCTCTTCGTACCTGGTTCTCATCAAGGCTGCTGCTCCTGATGTTTTCTTGTCTCTCGCCAGGTTTCTTCCCTGAGTCTTGAGCCCTTCACGATTATGTTTTTCTAATTGTCTGGCGACATGCATTTGGACACTGAACCCCAGTGTGCCTTGCTGGGCACGATGAGGTGGCTCCCGTCTAGTTTCCCAGAGAGGTTGCGGCCTTCTGGAGGGAAGGACTTGTGCCACGCTTTGTATTGTGTTTCCCTTACCTCCCAACAAGATGCCAGGCGCCAGGCCAGCACTCAACGTTGTAGAAGATCAATACTTCACCTCTCGGAAAATTCTAGAAACTGATGAGTCTGGAATGATACCATGTAAATTGTTAGTGTAGGATTTTAATTTTAATTTAATTTTGATACCACCTTTGCCATTTACTAGTCTTATTGTTTTGAAAAAGAGAAAACAAAAAAAGTACAAAAATTCAGAAAACAAAGCCAAACTTGAAAAAGTACCCTAGCACTATGGACCTTTCCTGTGCAAAAAACCAGTAGTCTTTCATTTATGAAGACAGGTGATGACGTAGAAAACAGCTCTGGCCTTTTCTTTCATACTTTTTTTTTTTTTTTAATTAAGACAGAAAATTCAAATCAAGTGGTTAGTCTCTGATGGTGGGATTGACCGTTACTGTTATGAAAATCCCGGCTTAATTTTGGCCTTTCACTTACAGATCAATCATAGGAAAAGTTGAGACTGCAGATAGACGGAGGCCTTGACAATATGTCTCTCCCCTTTTGTGGCACAGCGTGCTGGCCACACGTGTAAAGGCACAGCTTGTACTGCTGCGGGTGAAGGCTGGCCGTACAGAACTGTTATCCTGAACCCTGTCCCAGTGTTGTGTCACCCTGTGCTCCTTGGGGCTCGGTGGGTTTCAGTTTGCTCCTGTGCAGGAGAAGTAACCCCTGAGGTGTTTGGAGGTCCGGCTCACCTGAGCTGAGGTGCTTGGTGCTGAGTCCTGGCCGTCGGTCTGCCGGGTTCCCGCTGTAGGGTTTATGCGGTTGGAGAGAAGCTTCCCCATCGCGAGGGTGAAACCGTGCTCTTGTGAACATCGTCTTTCTGTTCATTCTCGATTTAGCCTGTGTAGGTCCAACCTTCTTCACGGTTATCATCTTGTGAGAATCGTGGAAGGATTCACACTTGACTTTCCTCATCACATGAATCTTGTTTCAAAATCCAAAAGGTGGTTGGGAATAAAATTTTCTCCTTGTCACTTAACCGTCGCAGGAGGTCACTTCTGCAGGGGTGCCTTTCTTGAGAGGTGGGGCTGATGTACCTGAGATGTGACAGGGTGTGGGGTCTGGCGCTGGAGGGTCTGATAGTGGTCCTGCAGTTCCCATGTGGTACCTGAGGGCCAAGCAGCTCCATCGGGACCCCTGGGTCACAGCCACCCATGCCACGGAATCAAAGAACCTTGTGAAAATGTTGATGTTGTTTTATGTTTATGAATCAATCATTTAATATAAAATATCTGTATAAAATTTTTGAAACAGGTTCATTTTTCTTGATGGGGAAAAAAATTCCAGCCCTTAGTTTTAAAGTCAGTTTTGTGTGGTGTCATAGAGGGTAAAGGACCACCATGTGAGATGGTGACTGAGTTTACTTGGGGCAGACAGGACAGTCACCTTGAGGTAGAAATGAAAGCTTCGTCTGGAGGAGGCTTAGGATGGGTTGACTCAGGCAGACCTCTTTAAAGGAACCTCTTCCCTGGTTACTCATCCTCACGTTCTGGCGAGTGGCCAGTTGTCTTGTAGAGCTCAGGATGGCTCCAGATTCCCAGAAAGGAATTTGAGAGAGGAGATTTGCACTTTCAAGCTACAAGAAGAAAGTTTCTGTAGGAATTTATAGATCATGACGTCGCTTCCCTATAATACAGATACCATTTTTGTTTGGAGAACTAAATCCAAAATTCTGGTCTGTGTCCTTTTGGGTGTGTAGTGAGTGCTGCAGTTAACCTTACAATTCTAGATCACTTTGATACTTAACTGCTGTGTCACCAAAGGTGTTTCTCATTAATTATGTCACCACTGGGCTTTAATTCCTTGGTTTTCTGGTACTGCAAGGGAGTGATCTCTCTTCTGTAAGACGGGGACCATGGTAGTCCTGGGGGTGCTGGAGCCCTGGGGAATCAAGAGGCCCCTTTGAGGCCCAGCTTGGGTCCTGGGCTGTGACCTGACGTCTTCCTCCTGTTGAGTGGGATGGTGGTAGTTTCCAGGGACAGCATATGTCGCAGTGCCACATGGTTGGCTCAGCATATTTGAGCTACTCCCTGGAGAGGAAGAGGATTTCTGTGGAGGAGACTTATTCTGAATGTCAGAATTTATAGCACAGGTCAATACTGTCTTTTTAAAATTTTTATTTGAAACTATAAATATTCTTTATTTATTAAAAAATTTTAAAAATTACCTTCAAAGTTGTTGGTTTTTTTTTTTTTTTTTTTTTTTGACACTTAGAGTCATACCTGAGTTCTGGACACCGAGCAATATTCCCCTCTGTGGTCACACTTGCCTCTGTGGCCTTTGTCCGAGGCTGGGGACTGAGCCCTCCTGCAGATGTTTGGAGGAATGTGTCTCATTGCCGTGGAGGCAGGTTCCTGAAGAGGAGCTCTGAGCTGTTTCATATGGCGCAGTGACACCCGTGTCCCTGTGTGTCCCCCATGCACCCTTCTTCCTAAGGGAGGAATTGCATAGGTCTTTTGATCTATTGCTTCGTAGTCACAGCTCAGGGGAACAATCTGCACATGCTGGACTTGAATTCTTTAAGAGAAGAATCTGGTATTTTGAGGAGATGCAGAGGCCAGCTGAGGCCGAGAGCCAGTGCAGATCTAGCCAGTGCAGTGCTTGAAGGGAAACTCTCCTGCAGATGAGCACGCAATTCATTACGACTCATGATGCAGAGGAAGAGAGCACAGGTAGTGACGTGTGATGTGAGGGCCCTTCTGCCACCCTGGAGGTGGCACTGCGCCTGTGCCCATCAGCACGTCAGTCCACATCAGTGTGAATGACTGCAAAGGTTCCCCGGGACAGGTGGCACTGTGAGATGGTCTAATACATGCGACTAACTGCTCCCACCCGGGAAGTAGCTGTTGTTTTCTCATCTTTTTTTTTTTTTTTTGTAGGGAAACCTGCATCATTCAGTTTTATATGTGGAAAATCCCCAAGATAAAAATTGGCTTATTAAGTTGGAATGCCTAGAGGGGAAAAATATATAATTTGGGTGCTATTTTACACTGCCATATCTTTTTAAATAGCAAATGGTCTTGAAGAAGGAAAGTGAGTTATTAAAGTTCTCTCTAAATTTTAGTTTTCCTTGCTTTGCTCGTCCCCATTGAGGATAGTTGAGTGATAGACACAACTTTTCCCTTGAGTGACATCCGAAGTGTTCCACCTTCCACCAATGAGAAGACACCATTCTCAGGAAAGAAATAATATCTTATTTTTAACATCTTGAAAAATGTTGAGTGATTCAGCTCAGTTCTCTTTGATCTTGCTTTCCTTTCAAGGGTGCTAGTGTGTGGGATCCAAATGAGGGTAATTTAAAAACCAGCTTCACATGCAGACATGGCTTTGATTATGCAAATTGATTTTCATTTACAGTAATGGAAAAGCTTTTACTGTTTTGGGAAAGGTTTAGCTTTGGGGGAATTATAGGCACCTAATAACCTATAAATTTAATTGGATATTCTTGGGAACCAAAGATGAATTATTATTTAAATTTAAATTTGTGTTGTGGGAACCCATTGTAGGCAGGAGGACTCCTCTGGACCCCCTTTTTGCAGTGAGTTAATAGAGACTTCAGCTGCTGCTCTCTTCCTTTTCCTCCTGCTGCTGCTGATAACGTTCTTTGTTGTTTTTCTCCTTGGGCTTTCCTTAGCTTGGCCATTGTGTAAGTACTTTATGAATCAATAAACTAGCACATATTGGTTGTATTTGATTATTTTTAAGCATTGAAAAATGTTGATTTTTGTGTACAAATATTATCAGTAAGATATTTATTAAATAAACAGAATTAAACAAATGTCACTTGTACTTTTCATTTACGTAGGTAGAATATTTTTACTATACAAAGGTAGGACACCGAGATTTCCTTGCAGAATTTTATTTCTCAACAGAGAAATCACTTGTCACCAAACTGTCACAGTGAAGGCTTATGAGTTTCTGTCTCTCTTCTTAAACCTGCCCCTTTTATGCTCCGAACACCCCTTGTTTCTTTGAAGTGCTTGCGTAGGTGGGTCCCTGCTGTAATTCTGACGTGGTCCCCGTCCCTGTTCACTTCTCCTGTTGCTGAGAGCCGCGGCCTGCAACAGAGTTTCGAGGAACAATTTATGGTTTTTTTCCCCCTTTTTTTTGGTTTATTTTTGAAATTTATTAATCACAAACTGATTCATTATAAGATATTCAGAGATTGAATTACTAGAAGGATTCAGAGAGACATAAAATAGGAAAAGCGCTTAGCTTTGGTTATCAGGTGCAGCAGACCTAAAATCACTTCCAAGGGTTCTCAGACATTTACACTTGAATCCTGGCCAGTAGCAAGCTGTGTGCAGATGGCACAGTAGCAGGGTTCCTGGGCAGGGCTAGGGGGTGGGTGGGAGATGGGCCCTGCAAGGACATTGGAAGACCAGAAAGCATGTGGGCCTTCGGTGACTCTGAGATCTGCATCCGAGGAGTCCCAACCAGAGACTGCAATATCAGGTTTTTGATGTGTCTGTTCTGGACACGCACACGCTTTCCCCTGGTCGTTCTGCCTCAACAGTGCAGCAGAACGACCGTTTACGTGTCCTTTACATCCTGTCGGGTATCGTCCGTGACCTAGCCTTGGTTTAGAGGAACAGGAGAGCATGTAGACACACACACCTTGTTCGTGAAGCTCCCCGTGGTCTTCCTCTTTTTGCAGAGGCTGTGGGGTGAGGTGTTGCATTGCCTGTGTAGGAACAGCCGCGTCTCCTGGCTGTGGAGATTAGATTTTTGGACTTGATGGGTGTGTGCGTTTCCTTTGGCTTGTTTTGTGACCCCCTGTCCTTTCTTGGTGCTTGGTGACCCTCCTGCGGAGCAGATGCCTGACTTTGCCTTGGTTTGTCTCTTAGCTGAGGTCGGGGGGTGCGCAAGTCCTGGAGGGCTGCATTGCTGAGATCCACAACATCACCAGCCTGGACATCTCCGACAACGGTGAGTCACGCGTCGGGAGAGACACCGAGGTAGGATCTGAAGCAAGTTGGAAAAGGGAAGTTGATCTTCATGATAATATCAGTTCATTTCTCGACTGATGGGGCTTTCCAATTTAACAATAGAGTTTACGGGTAGCATAAATCTGTGCCAGAGTCTCACTAAGTTGGTTTCTAAGGCCAAATATACAAGCTCTATGGAGTAAAATACCACTTTGAAAGCAATAGCATCCAGGTCCGGGGGTGCAGCTCAGTGGTAGAGTGCTGGCCGAGCATATGCAGGGCCCTGGGATCCGTCCCTAGCACTGCCCATAAGTAAGTGGGCGTCCAGCCACAGCAATGCAGAGCTGGGCGATGCTGTGCGGGCAGGTGTCGCAGGTGTCCTGTGTCACGTGTGTTTTGACTCTCCTCACTCTGATTCTTTCCAGGTTTAGAATCTGACCTCTCCACCTTAATAGTGTGGCTCAGTAAAAACAGATCAATACAACACCTGGCGCTAGGCAAAAATTTTAATAATATGAAATCCAAGTAAGAGTTTTGCATTTTTTTTCTTTATATGACAATGATGAAGATAACCAGTCTCATGAAAGCTTTTGATTTGATTCCCCTGTCCACATCTTTAAAATCCCTTTAGAAATCTGACACCTGTGTTGGACAACTTAGTACAGATGATCCAAGATGAAGAATCAGTGAGTATTGTTTTCAATGCTTTTGACTAACGCCTTTTATTTGTTGCCGTTCTTACTGACTGTCTCTACGGGATTCATGCCAAAATGCTTACAGATAATTCTACCCAAGCATCCATGTTCTCTTGTTAGTCTTAAAAAATGTAGAATAAATATTTATGCTTTCGTAGCGTTGCAGGATGTCTTTAGACATTTATTTATTCTTCATTCCATTCAACTCATCACCAGCCACAGGAATGTTGTAAATCATAGATGACAGGAGGTCGGCTCCTGAGCCTGTCTTCTCATTAGCCTTACCACTTCCTAACTCGGGCTCCCATGCGGACCCTCAGGTGATCCCTTATGCTGAGGAGCATCCTGCTGCTGACGAGCTGCACCTCGTGATTGTGTGGAGTTCACAGACAGGAAGTCTCCGCATCTTCAGTGGCTGCTTCAGCTCCAGCACCTCTGTATTCCCCTCACCTTTAGTGGCTTCCGACCAAACTTAGTTCAGGGTGAAGACGTCTAATTTCAAACGCAGTCCTGGCTTGCCGTCCTCTAAAGTGCATTACCAGAAGAGAACAGGTGTTTGACAGACAGAGAGCACCCAACCAAGGGGCCATTTAATTTAGAGCCGGGGCTTCCTGCCTTGTATGTCACCCATACTGTGGAAGATTGTGTCCTAGCTGGTCACCACACTCGGCTCTTATGGTTCCTAAAACCCAGACCCGTGCATTCCTCCTGTGAAGAGGCCCGTCCTTCATGGCCTGTCATGCCTTCCCTTGGAGGTCGTGAGGTGGTTAATTAGGTGACGTCTGTCACAGTTTGGAAAAGTATTATTTTTCCTTTTGAGTTCATACCGGGGAAACGAGGACAGATCCCATTACCAGGATAAGCTGAGGTTCCTGAGGAAGGAGGCGCGGAGGTGTGCTCCTCACCCCGGGCCTCGCTGCGCCCTCCCTGTCGGGTGTGCATAAATTTCCCAGTGTGGGCGAAACAGTGGCCCCTGTTATCACTGAGGGATTCAGCACTTCTCTGTCCTCATTTGCTAATAAGCCCCATATTTTGTGACTCTTCCACTGGATTATTAAAACGAGGGGCACAATTAGAATGCAGTGTACACTTTTCAGAATTTATGCTGTTTGTCTTACACATTTGATTTGACTTGGTAGCACTCTGCTTTCTTTGTGTTTCAGGTTTTCCAGTCTTGGCCCGATTTTAAAGGATGAGGAAAACCAGTGTGGCAGAGTCATAGTTAATATTTTTCCCAAAATATTTTAGCACATATTTTAGAAAGTTTTTTTATTTTATGAAAATAGTATATCTTTCATGTTTTACACATTATTAAGGATCTTTTGTTTCTATAATTTAAAACTCTTTTAAAGATAATATTTAAAACTCACTTAAAACATACTTGCAAATGATAAAGTTTGCTATTTAAATGTTATCTCTACCAATGCAAAAGTTTGATTGATGTGTTGCTAATAATGCTGTGCTATGAATGGCTTTTTATTTTATGTCATTGAAAAGTAGGTGGCTTTTTTTCCTAAAGGAGGTGGCTTCTGTTTTTTTTCATCTACTGAATCAAAGCAATTTAAAAGTCTTGTGAGTTCAGAAATCTCACAAACAGCTGGTACCATGGGGCTAACTTCTTGATTCATTTATCTGAGAGTTTTGCATATATAAATATAATCTCTACTTTTGACATTCAGACCTCATGCTTGCAGAACTTGCTCTCTGACACCTGTGACATCCTTTATTGGCCCATGGTGGCACTTAGCCGGGAAACATAGACACCTGTGGGCTCCACTGCAGCCTTTGGGTGTACACGTGGTCTTCAGCCTGCTGGACCCAGAGTCACGGGACAGAGGCATGGGGGGCCGAGGTCACAGAGATGTGTGCTATAGGATTATATACAGACACACGTTGTAACCAACAACAGAAGGTGTTTCTCCTGGTGGTGCCTACAGACAAGAGACAGCTGCAGCTTAAGCACACTGAGCAAAGAAAAGAAATAGTGAAGATTCAAATAGTAATGTTCTACTGATGCACAATGGCCTCATAAATATGCATGCCATTCAGGCTGTTCTGTGGCCATTAACGACTCTGCCTGTTATTTTTAAGTGTTAACTGGGGTGTCTTAGAATTTGAATATGGTGCTGGATCGGTGTTTGTGAGCAAGGAGAGTTGGCGGCTTGCCAGCCCTAGGAAGAATCCTCGTACATCATTTTCGTCGTAGGTGAATAGAGATCATTGAAATGATGGCAGGTGTGATTATGGCTCTCAATTAAAGCAACATTGCAGTTGCTTTTGTTTGAAACGTTAGGCTGCCTGGGTCTGAAGCACTTTCAGTTGTCTTTTCCATTTACCTGAACGTAAGATGGAGAAAATTGAAGCCGTCTCACCAAACCTGCCTGAATCTCGACATCGGCTTTTTGGCTGAGGCGTTACATGCCGTAGCCCTTGCAGTCTGCTTACTTTCATAAATTTATTCTACTTAATGCACTATTACCTTTCAATTTTACCATAGATATATTAGATTTGGACAATGTGATACAAATGCAGGGAAAAAGACGACAAGTACCAACCACACCATCATGGTGCTTTGTTGACAGCCGAGTCTTGATGCATTAGTTCTCATCCTCTCGCCTGCCGTACTCTGGCAGGTGGTTCTCTCTCAAGTGTCCCTTGGAGTCAGTGTCCATTGGTTGAGCAGACAGCCCTGTGTAAAGTGTCCCCCTGGAGCTGGTGTTGGTTGGTTGGGCAGATGGCCTCTCTCCGGTGTCCCCCTGGAGTCAGTCTGGTTGACTGGGCAGATATGCCCCTCAGGTGCCCCCTGGAGTCAGTGTTGGTTGGTTGAGCAGATACCGTTACACCTTCGTCTGTGTGGGTCATCATGGAGACCACCCAGGCACTTTGAGAGGCCCAGTCCCAAACTCCATCCACCATAGTTAATCCTAGAGTCCGCTTCCTGCCTTCACCTGTAATTTCGGAGCTGCTAATGGACCACTCCATGCTGTCCAGAAGGGGTCCCTGTCCCCGGCTCTGAAGAGTGCTGACTTCTCCCGTCCTGCCGGCTCAGTCCTGAGATTCCTGCCCGCTCACTACTTCAGTTATGGCTCCAGGAGCACGGGAACCCAGGCACAGGAAGGCAGTAGAGGCAGACGCTCTACTGGCCAGAACTTTGCCCCAGCCCTCGCGGCTTTCAGGCTCCGGCTTGGACCACGAGTGAGCTTGTTTGGCTTTGTCACCTGCTTAGGGTAGAACAGGGAGCAGGCAGCCCAGCTGCTCAGGAGGCTGGGCAGGAGGGCCGCATGTCCGAGGCCAGCCTGGAGAACTGGAGACGCGGCTCAGTGGCAGAAGGCCCCTGGGTCCAGTCTCTAACACTGGGGGGAAAGAATCCACACAAAATTTGGCCTTTGCTTTTGTTTGATTAAAGGTGTGTCTTCTGATTAAAACCTTAAAGTTAAGGAGTGACGGTAGAAAGTTCTAGCATGAGCTAACTGGGGTACCATGACTTAGTGGTTAAGGAGTGAAATCTGGAACGAGACTATCTAAATGGGGTTTGGTCCCAGTTCATCTCTTCTCTGACGATGTGACTTCGGTTGTGTCACCTGACCTTTCTGTGTCTCGTTGGGAAGATGGAGTAACGTTAGTACCCAGGCCTTGGGTGCTGAATTAATGCACACGGAAGCTTAAACAGGGGTTAGAATAGTCATTGTAGTAATAATGTTAGTGATTATTGATCTTGGCTGGCTTTTAATTTGCATTTCTCCTCTTTGGCACTTTACAGTGTCCTTTCACCTTGTATTAAAATAGAGCTGGTGAAAGGACACTGGAGCCACACTGAGGCTGAGGACATCCCTCTCCTCCTCTCCCCATAGCAGAGCTCCCCCTGCAGAGAAGCAGCAGGTACTACAGCTTAAACACACTGGCTCCAAGTGTCCTTCCGTGGTCTGCTTTGTGCCAGATCCTCCAGTCCCCTCCATCAGTGTTTGTTAGACTGGGTCCTAACGTCAAGCGCTGCACACAGGGTCTGTCCCTGTGCCTCTGCACATGGTGGGGTGAGCGTCTGCTTCTCCGGTGAGTCTGTTGAGTGCCGAGTGTTGCTTGCTCCACAGCCTCTGCAGTCCTTGTCCCTGGCTGACTCCAAGCTCAAGGCAGAGGTCACCATCATCATCAATGCCCTGGGAAGCAACACCTCCCTGACCAAAGTGGACATCAGCGGGAACGGAATGGGGGACATGGGAGCCAAGATGCTGGCCAAAGCCCTGCAGATCAACACCAAGCTCAGGTAGGCAGCCGCGCTCCTGGCCTGGAGTGGGGTGGCCTTGGGGCGCCGGCGGTGCCAGGGGTCTGGGCTTCTCTAGGGAGGGAGACAGACAGAGGCAGTCTACGGTGCTAGTCCAGGGGGAGACTTCAGAGTTTGCAGATTCCTTCAGACTGTCGCCTTCAGTAACTGAACCTGACGGAGAGCAACCTGGCTTCCTGTTCACGTCAGTCTTGACAGTGGCCTATTGTGGGTCACGGCAGTGAGAAGTGAGGTGGCTTCTGCCAGCCGTGCTAAGTGAGCAGAGCCACGCAACAGGAAGTAGCGACACCGGGCTTGTCCCACGCAGCCAGGCACATCCACAGTGGGCACATTCTGTGAGATCCACCGTCAGGCAATGTCTAGTTCTGAGAACGTCGTGGGGTGTCCTTGCGCAAACCCAGCTGACTACCGCTTCACCAGCCTCTGGAATCTGGTCCTGCAGACAGAATGCCCGCATCGCTCATGGCCCGTGCCTGGTTGTGAGCCCACGGTCTTATCTCCACTCCCAGCCCCTCCAACATACAGACTTGAAGCCCAAGAGTACTCGAGGTCTGCTGGCAGCTCACACTGGGGGTCAGCTGTTTCTTAAGCAACTTTCATCTGCAGTTTTGCCAAGTGTGGTTTTTTAAAAAGACATGCCATGCTGTCACACCACCACCATCCATCATTCAGAGACAGGTTCCCCGATGGTCCACTCCCTAGGGCCCATTCCGGGTGGTTCCCTTATTCTCTGGCATAAGGCAGAATCTGAACCTTCTGTCTACACTGAAGCCACAAGCCAAGAGCATCAGCAGAGTCTCTGAAAGTCAGGGTGAATATCAGGAAGTCCCTGGGCCTGGGGCAGGGAAGCAGTAGCAGTCGTGAGGCCGGGGTCACCCAGACACACTGAGTGTGCCTCACCGCGTGTGCCAGGGTAGACTAACACATCCCGAAATACCTCCGGAGCATGCATGTTCTAGGGGCAGTGTAGGACTTTCCTTCCAAAATAGGCCTTGTGCTTGACAAGTCAACAAGCTGCCATTTATAGTAGCTGAAATTTTGCCAGCAGAGCGAGTGCAGTTCCCAGGGTCGCTAATCACACCAGGACAGGGAAATCAGGAAAATATGAAAGGGTTCTCTTCTGCCTTCAGAATGGAGAATGTCTCGGTACCTGGAACTCTGTGTATCGGGCCTGTGGGTGATGAGCTTCTTTTATAAATAAATAACTTCAGACAGAACGTGAAAACGCTTTGGGAAGGGTTTTAGGAGAATCAGGTTTTAGAGTTTTCTGACTGTAAAATATCGGGTATTATACTAGTCAGCTAATCTCTGTGCTGATGCTTTTAAGTACAGTTTTTCTGAAAACACTACTCAGGCGGGTCCATGTGTTACTTCGCAGTGTTGCGGGGAGCTCGGTGGTAGGCACTCACACTTGGCATGCAGACGGACTGGTCCCATCCAGCACCAAAAACAAAAACCAAAAAAACAAAACACACAAGACTCTGATGTGATGTTGGAGATACTCATCCCGTCTTGCTTGAAGCACAGATGGAGGTGGCCGTCCGTTAGTCCCTGCTCACAGCAGTCTCTGTGTGCTGCTTGGTGCCGCTGGTGAGCGGTTTCTGTCTCATCACTCACGTGGTTTGGTTTTCAACAGGACTGTGATCTGGGATAAGAACAACATCACTGCCCAAGGCTTTCAGGACATAGCTGTTGCTATGGAAAAGTAAGTTCAACTGAGATTCTTCTTTTCTAAAAAAAGAACATACTAAAGAACCAGCAGTGTCAGTACAAACTGTGGGGTGATGTGAGCAACAGGGGTTGGGATCAGGTCCGGGTCCAGTGTCCAGCCACGGGGCAAGGACGACACCGACTTTCTCCTGGAGTGAGTTTTCTCACCTCATGATGAGGGCAGAAACGCCTGACGGGCTGAAGCCACCACCAGTCCTGAGAACCCGCGAGATCGTGGCGTGGCCTCGTCTCTCCCTCCTCTGTGGTTCACAGTCGATCTCTATGAGTCTTCTCCTTTGCCCATTATACAGAATCCACTGAAGAAACAAAAAAGCCAAGGTCCAAACGATGAAGGTGAAATGGCCAGTGGTCAGATGTTGCTAGGAGACTTTTTATTACATGACCTGAAACCTGCAGTTGTGCATTGTAAAGGGTCTTGCTTTGCAAGGGCAGGTTTTATCTTTCCCCTGGACCTGTTCAGGACTGGTGTTACCACTCACTGTGGTGACCCAGGTTCCTTCAGATCCGTGGTCACTAAAACCCAGCAGCAGGTCCAGCTGGGCATTTCCCCTAGGCCTGCTCTCAGTCCACGTTTCCAGTCCCAATGTGAAAATTTTCAGTTTACATTATTTCACATAAATTTTTCATTTTACATAAATTTTCCACTTACACAATTTCCTTGATATAATTCAGAAATGAAAATAAAACAACAAAAGCACATTCCTCAACATTGGGCCAGCCTTGTAAGGCAGAGTGCATTCAGGAGGTGGCACAGGTGCTGCGTGGGTGCTAAAGAAGCCAAGCTGCGGTATTCCAGCGATAGACTTTTCCAAGGCTGTCATTTAAGATAGGAGTCTAAGGTGTCAGGAAGTCATCTTAAAACGTGCCCATTGTTTTCTCTTTCTCTAGGAACTACACGCTGAGATTCATGCCAATTCCCATGTATGATGCCTCTCAAGCCCTTAAAACCAGCCCTGAGAAGACAGAAGAGGCTCTGCAAAAGGTACTGAAGGCTCAGTAGCTTAGCTCCAGTAAACTCACTTGAGCTGCGTGACTGTGATTCTGAACTCAGGAGCAGAACTCTGTTACTTTACCGAGGTTCTGAAACTCCATGTGTATTCTTACGATCCCGCCAGGCATGAGGCACGACTGGGAGGAATCAGACACAGCTAAGACTTACCATGAAATTTTAGTGGAATCAAGTAGCATTCTTGTGATATCAACATGCCAGATCCTGGGCGCAGATAACTTCCCCATCATCCTTTGGCAAACGCAGGGAACAGGATGTTAACTCACACCCCTCCCTCCCCTTGTCCTCAGCAGAGGACCTTGCCTCCCTGCTGTATCAAGAAATTGGGAAACTATTGAGCGTTCGCTGCCATATGTACAGTATGTCAGTGTACGCACTTCACAGTCTACAGCCACGTCCAGATCCTGCCGTCCCAGCCTCCACTCCTGGGTCGACGGCAGCCTCTCCCTGGGGGCCTGCAAGGTCTCCGACGGCCTCCATTTCTGCCTTCTGTGTCCTCAATTTTGCTTTCTATGGCTCCCTTGCTTTCCATTTTAGATGTGCTGAAATGTCTCCCGCCCAAGAAGGCGGTTCCCTGTTTACTCTGGTGACGTTTGGGGAGGTATCTTTGAAGTCTTTCCTCCTGCTCTGTTCTCTTCCTCTTCGGACTTCCCAGCTCCACGTCCTGCCCTGTTTTCCTCGGCCTGTCAGTCACAGTCGCCAGTTTGCATCCCGAGCCTCTGCATTCGCTCCCCTGCCCCATTCCTGATGCACACGCCTCCTTCCGGCCTGCCCTCTGTCACTGGTGTCATCACCACTCTCGCCCCCTCTTATCGCGTTTCCAAGAAGGATCAGCATCATACTCCATGGTTGATCCAAGCAAACAGAACCTTGACCCCTCCCTCCCCAGTGGCTGTCTAGACCACTGGGCTCATTCTCCTCAAGGTGCCGGGCACTCTCTCCAGGACCTGTCCTCTTTCCACCTGGACTTCATCTCCTACCAACTCTTACTCTCCTTTTTCTTCTACCTCAGCAAACTCCCTAGAAATGCGAGTCCCTGAACCTCAGACACTGAGACAGGATCTCGGTGATGGCCGAGTCGCCGAGTCAGGGCTGTGCTGTGTGTGGGCTCATTCTTCCCACACTGCCATGCGGGTCTGCAGAGACTGAGATCAAGCGTCAGGCCACCCAGGATTGATTCTCAGAGCACCTTAGTTCCCCACGTAGGCCATCTGCTCAGATTTCTCACGCTTATCTGTGCCATTGGCTTTGTGATGTTGCTGTATGTCAACTGAGTCCACTTACTTTTTTTTTTTACTCTTTTCCCTGCTAATAGACTGTGAGCTCCCTAAGGCAGAGCCTAGGTATTTTTATTATTTTTAACAAATTCTCAGCAGCTAGTACAGTGCTTGGCACGTGCTCTTGGACACTTTATAGGTATTTGTTGAATAAAGAGGCATAGATGGCAGGAGTACAGGGGAGGAGAGCTCTGGAACAGCGAAAGATCTCATCCAAGATTTGGATTCAGAAGATCTGACTTTGAAGCAAACTCTTCCTGGCTTTATGACCTTCAATAGTTCACTTGTTTTTTTTTTTCTGAATTTTAATATTCTTCATCTATATAAACAGGAAAAATAAAACAATGCAATAATCCTATTTATCAGATCCTTAACACGTACATTTACACATGGTGCCTGGCACTGTTTTAAGTGCTTCTCAAACATGAATACATGTGGTCTTTGAAACAGCAGATGAGATGGGTTCTATTGTATCCCCAAACTGAAGGGTAGGGAAACTTATTAACTTGGCCAAGGTAACCACAAGAACCAGGCAAAGTAGCAGATAGGAAAAGAGTGTGTGGCTGTCAGGCGTCTGACTTTGCTCGGGACACCAGCAGGCTCAGAGCAAAGCCTGCGCTCTGAGAACCAGGATTCTGGCTTTGGGTTGTCAGTGAGTGTGGCATCGTCATTCCCACACCCGCCACAGAAGAAATCCTGAGAGAAAGAGAAGTCAGCCCTGAAACCTGGACAGACAGTGCGTACTGGGACTCCCAGTGAACAGTAGCCGAGGTCCTCATACCAGGAGCCGGAGCCAGGAGAGTCGGTCCCTTGTGAAGACCCCTGAGCTGTGGGGAGGGTTGCTGGAGGCTGAATCTGACTTCCCGGGTCCCCGTCTCTGGGAGGCTCTAACCTGGAGAGAACTTTCTTTCCAGAAGCCCCTCCCGGTTGTCATAGCAAACACCGTGGAAAATTCCCCTCACGTTTCCCTGCGATGCCGTGCCTGGGAGGCTGAGGCAGGAGGGCCGCGTGTTCAAAGCCAGCCTGGCAACCAGTCTGGAGAAGTAGGTGGGTGGTAAAGTGCCCTGGGTTCACTCCCAGGACTAGAATAGAAACAAGCAATTGTGGAAGTCGTAGCCCGGGGACTCGGGGTGACCAAGAACACCCCTAACTTAATCACAAGGTTATCAAGTGCCTCTCCTCCCTGACTGTGCCTCCACACACCCAGTGAGACTGTGGGTTCCAACTGAGCAGCGGCAAGACAGCCTCGAGGAGAGGCATTTCTAGGGAACCCCCAAACAACAGGGGAGACAGAAGCAAGGATACTACAAGGCCAAGCCCCTGGCACCGCAGCAACAGGAAATGTGAACATTGGTGCCTCTGCAGGGAGAGACCCTCCCAGAAAAAAACCAAAAGGAAATTCTAGAACTAAAAGTTAACAGAAAATGAAGTCGTGAATGATCCCAACAGTGTCCTGGACACAGGTAAGGAAAGAGTCATCGATGGAAACCCTCCAAGTGAGATGCAGAGAGAAAGGGGACGTGGGAGACGACACACCGAGACCACCCAGAACTGTGGAGCATCAGCGGGAGACGTATCGGGTACACCACAGAGTTCATGGAGAAGAAAGGCAAAGACATGCAGGAAACATGGCTGAGATCGTCCCCCAATTAGTGACAGGCACTGAACTATCAATGCAGAAAGAAAGGGACACCAGGACAAATGCCCAGAACAGTCTACACAGGCCTCTCCATCCAGTCCCCAAAGGTAAAGAGGATCCAGAGAAGCCAGAGGGAAAGGCACCCCATGTGCTGAGAGACGGGAGAAGGCTCCGTCCCACGTTTTGCTGGAAACTGTGTAAGAAAGAAGAGCGGAAAGTATTTATAAAGTGGTGATAGGAAAACAGTAGCTAAGAGTCTGTACCCAGTGAAATCGTCCTTCAAGAGTGAAGAAGAAGTGGACATTCTCACACCAACGTCCACCCAGGATGGGTCGCCACTGGATCTGCCTCCCAGCGAGTGTTGAAAGAGGCTCTTCAGAGAGACGGGAAAGGATGTGCGCCAGGTAAAGAAGGGAGGAGCTCCAGAGGGGGCCAGCGAAGGTACATAGGTCGCGTTTTCCTATTTCACCGAGATCCAACAGTGACTCTTCTTCAGTAACCGTACCCATGGTCACAGTGGGTGGAGAAGTGAGGTGGCTGGCAGCAGTGTCGTGAGGGCGGGAGGGAGGGTGGCCGCACTGTTCCGGGCACTGCACTGCTCAGGAGCTGGTGCAGCGTGTTGGCCAGCCGCCTCGGACGGGTCACAAAGGCCTGTTTCACACACTGAACAGACTTTATAAAGCATGGGTCGAGTGTGCCTTATCTGAAATGCTTGAGACCAGAGATATTGCAGAAGTTGGACTTTAAAAAAGTTTTTGGAATATCTGCATACACATAATGAAACATCTTAAGGATGCACCCAAGTTCAGACACAAAATTCCCTTGTTTCACGTGCACCTCAAGCATCTCGCCAAAAGATGATTCCACATGATATACTCAGCACAGCTGCATTTTTAAAATATAAATTTGTGTGTGTGTATATATATATATATATATATTTTTAAGATTTTTTCCGATGATTTTATTTATCTATTTTTATGTGGTGCTGAGGATTGAACCCTGGGCCTCACACGTGCTGGGCAAGGGCTCTGCCACTGAGCCCCAGCCCCAGCCCAGCTGCATCTTGACTGCAGCCCACCACCCAGAGTCAGGTGTAAAAATTCCCACCAATGACAGCAGGTCAGTGCTCACAAAAATCGAATTTGGGGGCCTTTGGGAATTTTTACTTTGGGATCAGGAATGCTCAGCTGTATACTTGGTATGATAAGAGGGGAGAAGAGACGTGCAATTCTGTAAGAGGCTCAGTTGAAACAGAAGGCAGCACAGAGAGGGAGAAGAGGGGATGAGGACATGTGCCGTGAGTAGGATGTTGTAAATGTGGCCCAGGCTCACCCAGTTCTGTGAAGAGCCGTCACAGCCCAGAAGTGAGCAAAACATAGGGACCGGGGACTGGGGACCAGGAGCAGGCCCAGGTGTTAAGTGTAGAATCTGTGCTTCTTGTTGACAAATGGATGGTTTTACAGTTCCTGTTGGCTTTTCTTGTAACACCTAACTCCTCTGTTACATGTGCAAGTTTTCATTTTAAAAGTTAGATCTTTGCCCTGTGGAAAAATGTGTTTGTTGGTTTTAATCCACTAAAAACCAACGACAGCAGAACTGTGGTCAGCGCTCCCCCTTCCTAGTTCTTTTTCTTTAAATGCAGGGTCCCTTTACTCAACTGCAGTTCCTCGCTCCTTGTGCCGGTGCTGTCTGCAGCAGTAGCCTGCAGGTGTCTGACTCTTCCCAGGTGATCTCCAGCCACGTTGCTCCCAAGGGTCCAGAGAACACGACAGAGGCTCCTTTGGCCCCTTCCTTTCCGTTGGCCCCTAGCCAGGCCCTCCCTCCCTCCCTCCCTCTCCCTTGGTTCTTGGGATGGAACCCAAGGCCGGGGATGCCAGGCTAGCCAAATGCTCTACCCTGATAGGGCCCAGGTCCCATTTCCTGACCCAGGAGTTGGAACGGTGCATGGAAGGAACATTCATTCTGTTCTGCCAAGATGCCCATAGCTTCAGTGGTGGGCACATGACTGACCTTAAGGATATTGGAAAGCGGCCGTTCATCGTCCCCGGAAGCTTGTTTTGAGAGACGAGCATCGACGGCTGTTTTCCTTCAGCATTCCTTCCCGGCTTGGTCTGTGAACCGTGATGGGTGGACCTGGGAAAGGTCTAGAGGCCCAGGGCCAGCCCTGGACACCCGACCTGTGTGAGACGAGCCTCCTGAACAACCCGGTGGCCCTCAGACCCAGGCCAGCCAAATGTGAGGCCATATGTGAAAGGACAGGAACAAAGCCAGGCCCTGCAGCTGGGTGCCCCGTGTGCCCGTCACATTTCAACATCCTCCTAGCAAAGCCCTTTACAGTGGTAGTGGTGTCACCTTGGGAGGCAGTAAGAGAAAGCTAATGTCATAGAATGTCAGGGCATTAATGTGTCATTTTAATGATGTTTCATTTCAGGGATCTCCTCATTTTTATAATTTCTTTTATACTTAGTAGAAAGGTACGTTTTACTCCTCATTGTAGTTTCCACGAATGATAGTAATTACACTCTGTATTTTAATTGTTCCTAATTGCTATTAAGTAGTAGTCATTTAGCATATGGAAAATTAAAATGAAAATGTAATAATACTGAGGGCTTCACAGTAATAGCAGTTCTTCACCAGGGAGTTGCAGTGGCAAATTAAAAGCCAAGTGTTAAGTAGCAGTATAAAAACAAACAAAACAACAAGTGGAAAAAATGTAGTTGCCATAATTGACCCACATCAAGTCGGTCTTTTTAAAACCCCTTCACAGTGTCCACCACTGTGAAGAGTTAACCTGCCTTCTGGTTCAGTGTGTCCAGGGCGTGTGGCCCTTCCTGGATCCTCTCTCTGAATCTGTTTATTCCTTCCACATTTTGGTTTTTCATAGGAGATTGGGCAAAAGCACAAGATTGCCAAGCAACTTCAGGATTTTTCTTTTTGTGGAAATCCATTTTCTTATTTGCTCTACTGTTTTCAGAAAATATGAAACTCTGACGGGTTGATGGGGTTGTTGTATGTCTTTTGATTGCACCAGCCTGCACTCTTTAATTTCTGTAGCTAGTCTTTTCCCTCCTTAAAACAAAAAGTTTTCGACAACTAGAATCAGGCTGAGGTTCGGAGAGTCCCACCTGCGTGCTCTGTGGGGGGGGGTGTTCACCTCACTTCTGATCTGTGTGGAAGTAACACTCATTAGAGGGAATGGCACCTCTTGCTGGCCACTGATGAGAAGTCACTAGACAGGATCTCTGACCCTTCCAGCAACTAAACACTAGCTTCTATTCATCAGCTACTGAGTCACACAGAAATCACTCCATATACCTGAAAGTCAATTTTCTAATGAAAACAGCAATAATAAATGTCAGGGACCAGCAGCTCCCCCGTCCCATTCGCGTGTGGGGTCCAGGTCTGGCAGCGCATGCACAACAGTGCTGAGATTTCCAGTTGGGGAACTGAGTGTCTTGAGAGATGCATCTGTTTAATTTCCAGATAGAAAACTATCTGCTGCGGAACCACGAGACCAGAAAGTACCTTCAAGAGCAGGCCTACCGCCTCCAGCAGGGCATCGTCACCAGCACCACCCAGCAGGTAAGACACCTGGCTTCGTCCCTCCCCCCCTCGCTGGGCCTCCCAGGAGCCGAGGACTCGCTCATGGGACTCATTCCTAGTGGGGCTGCAGAACTGGTTTCTGAGAGTGGCAGCCATGTAGGAAAGACGTGAGAGAGGAGCTTGGGGAGACGGAGGGCGGAAGCAGCCCATGCTGATGCCCAGGGTGGTCACTGATTTTGAGCCTGCGGGGTCACCAGCAAGGTGTGTTTTAGGTTTATGTACAAAGATGAGGAACTTCTGATAGACAGCAGAGTCCAAGAGTCCTCAGATTTGCATCTTGGAGACATGCGGTCTGCTCTCCCTGCTCTCTGCCCAGGTCCTTGTGCATCCTTAAGAGTTTGTTGAAAACCACTTAACACTCCGGTGCAGGGGAGAAACGGAGGTGCCAGTCTCTGCCGCTTCACTACTCTTCTTTCTACCCACGTGAGAGAGGGAGCAGAGAATTGTTGCCTCAGTCTGGCTGGGCACAAAATAACCGAGCCGCCACACAGCCTTGTAGGTCCAAAACAGGAACTCCTTTATTCTCCACACTCCCGGGAACGCCACACACGTGGCCTTCCCCATGGGACACACCACACACCAACCGGAAATCCCTCCTCCGCCACTTCCCCAACCAATGGGAACTCTCCAGGAATCCCCTGGAGAACTCCAAAGTAGCAGGCCGAGGGACCGCAGGGGTCTAATATGCAATTGAATACACAGCTTAACATAACCATCATCATCTCAATGGCTGCTGGCATCACCTCTCCACCACTCTGTTCTGGCAAAAATGCCATGGGTCATTCAGCTATGGCTTTCAGCAGATTGTAACAGTAATTCTTAAAAGTATAGACTGTTTTCCTCCCCAAATTAGCAAAATTAGGGGTCCCAAGATATTTGAAGAAAGCAAAGAGTATGTCAAAGAACAAGATAAATGGAGGTACCGAGGCTCAGATAATTCAGAGGACTTAAAATAAAATTGTAATTAGTGAGTTCTTGGGACTTGAGCAAATGCTATGTCTGTAAATTAATAGGCTACTGTGGAAGGAGGGATCAGAAAATTGTAAATAATGCTGAGCAATTTAAATGTAACTAATACGGAACTAATGAGCTCATTGGATATGAACTAAGCTGTTCTTCTGGAAGAAAAACTGGAGAGAAATTTTATGACATGTAGTAAAAAGACCTAAAAAATATGAAGGAAAAGTTGGGATGCCAGAGTCAGAATGACCAAGACGTCCTGATAGGGACAGATGTTCCCGGGCCAAACAGAAGGACACCACGTCACACGGGTCTTGGAGTTGAGATGGCCCACTGAAACTGACCACAGTGAGTGGACCAAAGGTCCACATCTAGCTGCTGTCCGAGGCGAGTGGACAGTGAGGTCCAGAACCACCAGGAGCAAGGAGAGCCCCTTGAGTTCCGCAGAGGCGTTTCCTGCAGCGCTGGGTCGGGTCAGGGCCCCCTGCATGGTAGACCAGCTCTCTGCTACTGAGCTGCGTCCCCATCCCAGGTTTCCTTAAGAGAACAGTAGAACCGGTTTTTTGCATCCATCCGATTGGCAGAAGTGAGCGAGGTCCTATCGTCTATTTTCAGTGGGAAATCTGATCTGGACCAAGGATTCTGTATCCAGCCGTCGTGTCACACAGGTGTGAAGACACAGCAAAGATGTTTCCAGTCATGGACTCAGTATTTTTTCCCCACATGCCCCATACAAAAAAAACGTACATGAGCATAACAAAGAAAAAGAAGTACACCGTCTGAGGTACAAACAAGAAAGAGTAGAATTGCGGAAGTCAAGGCAACTGGAAGTCTTAGAAGGCTCTGCCTTTGAGACCGTCGACTTGTAGGTTGAGGAGAAGTAGGAGTCTAGGTCCTTCTATGGGGCCTAAATTCCAATTTTGTGACTGAGTTTTGGAGGACTGAGGCTTTCAATATCAAATTGGACAGTGAGGGAAGACTTAATTGTTACATCACAGAACATCAGTGTTGAAATCTTGATTCTGTAAAAGTAATGCAAGATCAGCCCTGAAGACCGCAAGCTGAGGGCCAGCGGAAGGATGCTGAATTTTTAAGGTTTCGTTTCATGGTATCAACTGCTACTTTCCATAATTCACAAATCAAACATAAAGATAAGTGTACTCTTCAATCCCAAAGTGAAAGCCACTGGAAGAGTCCAAGGATGTGTCTGTGCAGATAGAGCAGAGCTAACTGCTGGGGGAATTTCTCATCATTTGGGGCTTTTCCCTATAGATCGCGTTCTCTTTCCCTTGGCAGGTGTCATTCAGATTTTTTTCTTGAGAGAATGAGAGCTGTCTGTACTAAACACCGCTATCCCTCTTAGGTGGCGTGACTGGTGAGTGTGTGTTGTGTCCGGAGACTGTGAGGAGGTTGGCCTCAGTGTTAGTAGTGGTCACCTGGGGTCAGCTGTCAGGCAGTGTGATCTGGTCGGGGGTCTTCTGCAGGACGTCTCCTCGTTATCTGACTCTTATTAGAAACATGTATTTTCAACTTAGAAAAAGCAAAGCAATATGTATCGAGAAGAAAATAGTTATGAAGGGTAGTGAAGGAGCACAACTTTTGAAAAACGTGTTTTGACTGTACCAGTGCCTTTTTTTTTCCCTGCAAGGGGCTGATGTTAGCTCAGTAGTGCGTGGCTTCCTGTTATTTCCTGGTTTGAGGGTTCTGTAGAAGCGATGGGGGTGCTGAACTCTTGCCTGGGACTTGCCTGGTGTTCCATTATGAACTACTGAAGTGCAGGCTTCTTTCTCACTCGGCATCTCTCCGGCTTTCCTCTGCTTCAGAGGGGATTTTGCTCATCCCAAAAGATCCCCTGCTGCAATCTTTAATGCTCATTCTTAAAAGTAAGTCTCATCTTCCCATCAAAGGGAACCGTACACGGGGGAGCCTGGGGGCCTGCAGTTCTGCACGGCTGCCACCGTTCTGAGTCACCTGAGTCATTAGGAAGCAGGTACACGGCCACCCTTCACTTCAGAGGCTCCTGAGGGTGTTATGATTACTGATTTTCAGACTTTAATCATTCCAGTGACTTAGGGGGAATGATATGATGTTTTCACAAATTTGAATTCAGAAAGCACAGACCCTCTGTGAGCAGTGCCCCTGCCACCCCACAGCCAGTCGCCACCCTCAGTGCCCCGAAGGCATCCAAGCAGGCCTGTGTGGGGCTCGGAAGTCCCCCACCTACTTTTGGTTTTGGTTTGGTTTTGTCTGTCGGCTTTGATTAGGAAAGCTCCGTGAGGGTCCCTGTGCCCCTCGGCTCCTGTCCCTTCTTTCAGCCTCATAAACCCTCTTGATCGGGAGTTGCCGCAGTCTGGCTGGGCACAAATGCCGCAGTCTGGCTGGGCACACAATCACGAGCCACCACACAGCTTGTAGATTCAAACAGCAACTCTTTATTCCCGAACTCACACCAGCCGTCTACAATCACGTTCTGGGGAAATCCACGTTCTCTGCCCAAAATCCACATCCACTGGGCTTCTATCTCCCAAAAAATACTGTCTGAATCCCGTGAGAACTCAAGGGGAACTCAGGCAGCAGGATACGCCCTATTCCCAGCAGGAATAATCTTAAACCTTAAACCTGGGACCTAAACCGGGAACGCCCTAAACCTGATTATCCTAAACCGGGAACACCCTAATCCGCCCTGGTCCTTGAGCAAGGTCACCTACATGCAATGTCACTGCAAAATGTCCTATTTCCACGAGTCCTTCCACTAAGCAACATGGGGTACGCTGGCAAGGAAATTGTCATATCTACTTGGCTAATGGCTCCCAGCAGGGAGTCAGGAACGGTTTCTGCAGGGAGCCGGGTAGATATTCCGGGTTCAGCTAGACGGTTCCCGGGCAGCTCCTCACCCCACTGTGCAGCATGGAGCAGCCGTGAACGGGGCTGGCTGTGCCTTGAGCCTCACAAACCCGGGCCGGCACCGCCTGCTTTGCCAAGCTCTGCTCTTCGGTCTTCTCACCCTCGTTGTCCAGGGGCTCCTTCTGGTGCAGACTGGTGCTGCTGAGGTCGGCTCCTGCTGCCCACACCCTGGAACCCCCTGGAGCCCTCCGCCTGTCCACTGAGGTGCCCTCTCCGTTGCACCGAGCCTGTGCCCAGGGCCCTCTCCTCCCGCATCTCTGGCAAAGGGGACAGTGCCGTGTTAGTCAGGAACTTGGACTCCCAAATCCGGTGGCCCAGAGTGGATCCGGGCTGTGCTGCCCCCTGTCGTTCACCAACCTCCGTGGCCTGGGCGTCTTCCTCTGTAGCGCAGGGACAAGGACAGCAGCTGCCTCACAGGTGCTCGGGGATGACCTGGTCCAGGAGTGCTGGCCTCCTCCCTGCAGAGGCACCCGGAGCGTGAAGCCTGAGGGAAAGACGGGGGAAGGAGGGGCTGGGTCCGCCTGTGCGAGGCTGGCTCGGGGGACCCTGTGCTGTCCGCGTCTTCTCCAGGGAGCGGGTTGGCCCGTAGGAAGGACATGGAGACAGACAGGGCTCAGGGCAGGGAAGAGCCGTCTCAGTGACGGTGTATGTTTTCTAGGAAGGAAGTGAGCTTCTCAGACGACCGTGGTCGACAACTATTTTGTGTTACTTTAGAAAACTTGGGTGCGAGGGATTCCTGGTGACGTCAGGAGGTCAGGACAGAGTCTGCACTCGACCGCGGGTCTCCTGGGGGACGATCAGGAGGTGCAGCCCTCAGCCCGCGGCCTCCTTCGTTCCTCATGTCCCTGTACTTTAGGGACAAGAGTCATAAACTGAGAGCCAGCCCCTGTTTCCCGTTCAGAACCTCCAGTCTGCGCTCGGCTGTCCTTCCGCGTCCTCTGAACAGCTTGCCGCGGGCTCTGGCGTGGGATCCATGGGTGATGGTGGCCCTGACTCTCAGGCCGGAATCGTCTTAGGGATGTGAAATTGAGTCTCATTTGAATTAAAATAGTAATTTTGGTGTTCCCCTTGGACTGGTTTTGAAACGCTCCCTCGAGGCTGTTCTTGCCCAGTTGATTTGGATCCTCTCCGTGGTGAGGCTCCATGGTGCGCACTTCACGGGTCTCCTTGGTGTTTCCTGACCACGAAAGCTGCGTGCCACGATCACACGCCTTCACCTGAGACCTCTGTGGCCCCCGCGGTTGTCGGTCCTCTCTCACTGTGTGGTTCGTCTGTCTCTTGGAATCAGGGTCCAGTTTTAGTAAGATAGGAGTTATCAATGGCCATTTTGCTTCAGGAAGCACAGATCTACGTGACAGTTTGAGGAGTTAGGGTTTCTATCAACTAAGTAGTCTTTTCAAGCGTGTCGTTAGCTCCCTGCATCACATTCTGTGGGCCTGGAAGTTAAGATGTGGCTCCTGCCCTCAGCTTCCTTGTTTTAGCTGGAGAGAGTGTGAGGTGAAGGGCGTCCCCAGGCAGCCTCCGTGTGCTTGCCCCTGTGGGACCTGTTGGTGATCCCCAGACCCTCTGCCAACGGAGCAGGTGCTTAGAGAGCCTTTATTTAGCAGGTCTTTTAATGCATGAGAAAGGAAGTTGGGTAAACAACAGGAGCCTGATTTTATAAAGCGGGAAGTTGAGGGATGGCGGCCCGGCTGCAGGCAGACCCGGCCTCTGAACTCAGAACTTACCACTTCTGAGCAGGCTGGTAAAGCTTCTGCTGTGGTCGAGTTGGTGAGAGGAGGAGGACAGACTTCAACTTCCCATAGTTATGATATCAGATAATTAAAAATAAATACAGAGGTGAATTTAATTGAAAAAGAATCATTAACTTGTCTCCTGCCAAATGACTTACCAGATGGGACAGGACCCTTGACATGTAAGATCCCTGTAGAGTTTACACTTTTTTTTTTTTCAAGGAGACGAAATAGGCAACCTTTAACTCCAATAAAGAAATATTGGAGAAGATTCTTAAGCCACACTTTGTTCTTCAGTCGTCATTGGTTTCCGTCCGAGTCCATTTCCTGATGCTATGACAGAATACCTGAGATTGGGTGACGTATGAAGAATAGAGGTTTATTTTGGCTTGTGGTTCTGGAGGCTGGAGAGTCCAAGAGCACTGTATCAGGACAAGAGTCTTGTGCTGCTTCAACTCACAGTGGAGAGGGGAGGGCGGCGGCTCATGGTGAGGAGAGGGGGGAGCACGGCAGCCTGCTGTACAGCAGCCCACCCGCCCCACAGCCAGTCCTGGGAGAGGGGTGAAGGCGCCTCTGGAGAAGGGCATTTGTGTATTCAGGAGGGCTCTGCCCCCGACCTGAATGCCTGCCCGGCCCACCTGCACACCAAGGCTGGGAGCATTCAGCCCCGACATGAGTGTTCACTGGACGGACCCTAGTCACGGGGTAGCACGTTCTCCACGCTTCCCTGTGTGGGTGCAGAGAGAAGAGCACATCTCCACCCCCCAAGGTGTGTTTCGTCTACCGTAATGGTCAGCTGCCCGCTTTGGGTTTTATATTTAAATCATGGAGCAACAAAAAATGACTCAAGGGCAGTTGACCCGAGAGGGGGATCTTACTAGAGCAGAAACTAGACGTTCCTGACTTTGTCATCACCTGTGTCAATGCAGTAAAACTCAACTCACTTCATGTTGCCACCGGTGGCTCTTCATTTATATAGAAAAAGTACTCCAAGGAACTGAATCAGTGTAAAAAGTGTAATTTCCAGAAGGTGTTCTGGTTTCTGTGATGTGGGGACCAGCCGGCTATTGGTGTCACCTCGTGGTCACCTCCGAAGTGTCTGTAACTGCGCGGCTCATTCCTTAGTTCCTACCGCCACCTGCATGCTAGAAAGATCAGGAGGAGAGTCACTGTCTAGAAAAGTGTCACCGAGTGCCCACGAGATTTCGCAATGCCCCTTGGTTTAAGTGCTGCATTTTGTAAGGCACAAAAGGGACCAGTACCTGGGGTCAGTGCCGCGGAAGGTTTCCTGCATGAAACTTAAACTCAGTTAACACTCGGCTACAAGCCGAGCTCTCCCAGGTGTCAGCTAGGGGGAGAGTTCAGCCTGCGCACTCCTTTTTCTGAATCCTGCCCCTTCAGCCCGTTTCTTGCTCTCTGAACGTCCTCCGGCTGACTCTTTTCTGTTTGGAGCAGATGATCGACAGAATCTGTGTGAAAGTGCAAGACCACCTCAACTCCCTCCGGAACTGCGGGGGGGATGACATCCAGGAGGACCTGAAGGCGGCAGAGCGGCTCATGCGTGATGCCAAGAACTCGAAGACGGTGAGTCGACTTCAGACTTCGTGAGAGTCTGGGGCAAAAAAAGAGTTTTCACAACTAAAACTCCACTCTTCCATCAGTGCTGAGTTACGACCAAGCACTAGGTGAACTGAGTTAGTCCCTCCTTTCTGGGCTCGCGCCGACCCCCAGTAACCAAAATGCAGAATAAAAAGCAGAGGGCCGGGCGGTGCCTGCCTGTGATCCCAGTAACGGGGGCTGAGGCAGGAAGACTCACGGTCAAGGCCGTCTGGGCAACCTAGACCTGGAGGTGGAGGGGTTGGCAGAGTAGCCCCCGTTCAATTCCCAGCATCCTCCTCCTCCAAAAAACCAGGCCCAGTGTGATTTACAAAGGGCATAACTGGACCTTGAATGACTGACAGGCGATCGTAGTTTAAATGAGTAATAGGTCATCTAAAAGTATCGTCCTTCCAACGTGAAACACCCTCTGTCTCCTCTAAAGGGAAGCTTTTCTCAGATGAGAATCTGGTCTCCAGAGTGTGACACAGTAGCTAGCACTGCCTAGGGGTCCTGAGGCTTGGGAGTTGGATCCCGTAAACGTCAGGGGCCCTGGGTGAGGAGCCTGGAGGAGAGATCAGAGACTCTGGTGACACAGTGACAACTGCATATTACTCTTGTCCCTGGTTCCTGGCACAGAGCTCCGAGAACACCTGGAATTTCCCAGGTGACAGAGGTGATGGGGACATTTTCCCACGACTGGTAGCAAGTCCCTGTGGCCACACCAGAGTTTATCCTAATGAGACCTCTCTCGGTGGCCTCTGGAGGAGCTGCCTGAGATTAGAGCCTCAGACCTTTCAGCCCCGTCCCCAGGCTTCCTAGGTGCTGATGGGGCTGGAGAGTGGTCACCAGCGCAGGCCCTAATCAAGCGTCCCTCAGTGTAGGGCCCCCACGGCTCTGAACAGTGAGGTGCGGTCGGCTTCTTGGTGGACCACTGGGCGCAGGGCAGTGGCATGCCAGGCCCCAGCAGGCCCTCACGCCCACCTGTGCTGTGTACTAGATGTCACCAGCTGGCACCTGACCTGGGCTGGTCCTAGAGAGAGAGCCCGTCCCTGTGGGATCTGACCTGCTCCAGGCAGACGGTATCAGGATTGGGATGGATTTTAGGACATCCTTTGGGTATCTGCAGAGGGCTGGAGAATCTCCTGGTTCGATTTTGACTCACGCTTCTGTCATACTTTTGGGAACAGAAATGTGAGTAAAAATAGCTCAGTGCTCCCACCCCAGACAAGGACATGAGGGCACAGGAGGGGTGGACGGTTCCCTGGCTGCAAGCTGCTGTATGGCAGAGTGGCCAGTGGGGATCGGCTGACCCCCCTCTAGTGTTTCCTAGGGTCGCTGTGATTCGCTGAGTGAAAATACGTGCAGATGAAGAGTCGGGGCCACGTTTATTAATCTGCACTCAAAGCCTTTGACTGAGACTAGATCACCCTATCATTAACTCTTCAGTGACTTTGTGCCTTTTGAAATATTTTTGTTCGACTCTGGAAAGTTACTTTCTATTTTCCTTCCAGTTGTTACCAAATTTATACCACGTTGGTGGTACCTCCTGGGCAGGAGCCGCTGGCCTGATGTCCAGCCCCATTCATGAGACCCTGGAGTCGATGGCTGGGGAAGTCACAAGAGTTGTGGACGAACAGCTCAAGGTGTGTGGTTTGCTGTTTGGAAGTGTGATTTGTTACGCCTTCACTGTGTGTGACAGCCTTCCCCCCTGGGTTTCACAGATGTGGGTGGGTGGGTGCCTGGGTGGGTGCCCGGGTGGGTGCCCTCGCCTGCAGGGGCACATGCAGGAAGGGGTGACTCGGGTCTTTTCCATCTTTATTTGTGTTTTGGAGTAACTTCTTACAGAATGGATTCTAGTGAAATCCAGTTTCTATTTTGCTGGTAAATCTCTCAATATGACAGGTTGTCACTGATAAGGGAATGATTGATCTCTCCTTTGAGGGTGCGACGCGGTTGGCTTGGGAGGGACGTCTTCAGTTACTGCAGTTGGTTAGGAGTGGGAAGCCGACAGGAAGTGTACGTACAGCACCTTGGTGCTGGTGTCTGGGGTAGGACAAGTAGGTAGACGGCCATCCTGACCTGGCTCAAAGCCCAGGGAGAGATCTAGAAGGAGTTTCAGGCTCCCAGAGCAGCCCAGATCTGCAGTAGGTTTACTCACCAAAAGTACAGATGAAAAAAAGCTTTGAAATTTTAGTACTTTTGAGTAACCTAAGACGCACCTTGTTCTTTAAGAAATTTCAAAAGAACAGCTACTCCAGAAGAAAATTCACATTCATCAGGTTTTTATTATTCCCGGCCTGACTTTTAAGGATGCCTTTACAAACCTTGCCTCAGTTTCTGAAATCATTTGGTCTGTTTTCTTCTGAGAACCCAGTTGTTGTACCTCGTAGAGATTTGATGTGCAACTGAGTGATAACTTTGCAATCGCTAATTACTCTCTCTGAAAATTAACTTAATGAAGAAGAAATTGTTGTGGATTTTCAGGTGTTTAAGTCCCCGTCTTCTGTAACTGTAGTACTCTTGTGCGTTGTTTTTGTTTTATTAACTGTGGTTATTTTTAACTCATGCTGAGCAGAGACAGAGAGGTAGAAAAGGCCGATTGTTACCTAAGAGCCCATGTATCCTCCATGATGGAGGCTTCCCTACATGTTTAAAACAAAATCAGCTTTTTGGTTATTTCTGACTGTAAAAAGTGAAACTTTTGGGGGGGGAAAATATTTACATAATACTGCAAGTGTTTTTAAAAAAAGTAAAAAGTACCAGAAATTTCCAAGATTACATCACTGTTAATAATTTAGTGAATTTCCAGATATCTGTGCCTACATACGTGATTTTATATTTATGCTACTGCTGTAGGTACCAATCACGTGGTACAGTCTTGTGATTGCAGTTCTGATGGTGATAGGTCATCATCGTTTTCCATGACTATATGGCATTTCATTATATACGTGTGACACCATAATTTACTTTCTAATTTCTGATTCTGTTAGGGCAAATTCCTGTGATGACCCATTGCTGGTCCCAGTGGTATCGATGATTTCTACTTTCATGCATTTGCAAGGGCTGTCCAGTAGTACGGTTGCTCATGTTGCATACTCAGCGATACTGAGTAGAGCCTGTCATTCTTATTGTTGTAGTGCATTCAGAAAAGTCACATTGTTTCTTTTGAATTTCTTTAATCACTGGGATGCATCATGAAATTTTATTATTTGTTTTTCTTCTATTGTACATTGCCCAGTCACACCCTTGCCTTTCTAAAGTATTGGCAAACTTTCTTCCCTAGTGGGCACTGACTGGCGGTTAAATTGGCAGGGAAGCTATGGCAGGACCTGTCCATCAGACAGCTGCAGACGGCCAGCTGTTGCACCCGAGTGCTCATCCGCCCGCGTGCCTTTCCTCCCTCCTGCAGAGTGGTGGATGTCCACTGGATAGTTTTTCCTGGGAGGAACTGGAATGCAAATATCTGAAATAAAGGGCATTTGAATTTATAAGACCTGAGAATAGGAGCACGCCCAGGGCCACCAGTGCTTTCCTGTTCTTAGGCATTCCCTGCGTCCGGATTTGCTTTTTGTCCCCATCACCCCAGTTATTTTCAAGAACCAGAACAGCTTCTCTGGGTGTCTCCCAGGCCCGGGGCCCCAGTCCTGGAGGCCTGTCTTTCCCGGCTCCCTGTTGGCATCATTCCCAGTCCTGCGTTAAGTGCCCTCCCCTTTGGGAACCTCTGTCATGACCGTGGCGAAGCCTCAGTGGGAGCTTCCTGGAGTCCTCCTAACTGGGTGCACACTGAGGGTCCCTCGCCTGTGGCTCTGTCTCCCGTCTCTTTCCTTCTCGTTCACCTGACTAATGTGCAGCCCTTTATCGCTGTCTTACAAACTGCTCATTTTCTAATGCATTCTGCGGTCATATGTAACAAACTAGAATAAAAAATAAATTTAGAAGCTGCCTATTTTTCTATTTGTAATGATTTTGCAATGCATTGGTTTTCTTAAAATTTTGTAAGAAAGATGTATTTTCAGTCCCCCCCCCCCAACACACCATGCTGGGGATGGAACCCAGGGCCTGGTGCATGCGAGGCAAGCTCTCTACCAACTGAGCTATGTCCCCAGCCCAAGAGAGATGAATTTTCAATATACTTGGTACTCACTGTCTTATCAATACAGTGGTCATGACTCATGTCATGGCTAGTATCAATTTTCATGGTTAAAAAGTCTTTTCTTTTTCGTATTTTCCAATTTTTCTAAAATTAGCATTTTCTACTATTAAAAGCCAAAGCAGATGGACTACTTTTTAAATTTTGTATTATGGAGAATGGGGAAAGAGCAGCCAGGAGAGTAAGGCCGCAGGGCTGGATCAGAGTCCCTAATTCGCCCCTGCCCAGTGGGCGTGCTGAGCAGATGCTGACAAGTTGCCCCGTGCAGGATCGTCTGGGTGTCCTGAGGCTGGGAGAGGAATCACTTCTGGCTTCCGTGTTTGATCGTTGGCTGTCGTAACCAGTGATGGGCATTTTGAATATTGGATGAGAACATGCTCAAATCGTTCTTTGAGCCATCTTTCAAAAGCATTATTTCAGAAAGCACGAGAAATGGCTAGATCAGCCGCTTCTTCTGCAGGCTGCTGGAGGAGCCGGAGGCGGCATCCTGTTTGCAGAAATCCCTCCTTTGAGAGAGGCGATGCGCTCTGGACTGGCCTGCCTTGGGTGCTTTGAATGACACTCTACTCCCGTTCTCTGTCTTTTGATCCTAGCATTTTTTCCTGGAGCAATAATAGATAAATAAATGGGATTTGAGTGTTTTAACATAAGGAAGCTTTGATTTTTCTCTTCTGCACTTAAGTTTTAGGGTATTTGTTTTGGCTTGGGAAATTCTTGATTCTATTCAGGGCTCTAATGGGGAACTAATTCACTGAAAAATCTCAAATTTACTCAGGATATGAGACTTGAAGGATTTAAGTAGCATTTGTCAAATAATAACTCAGTTTGGCCAAGGAAAGTCTATGAGTTTTTCTTTTTTCTACACTTTATATTTTCCAAAGGAAGAGGAAGAAGGCTTTCAGAACAGGTGAGAGTGGAGGTTGTATTTGTAATTCGTTTTCTTGTTGCAAGAGTGAACCGGTGGTACTGCATCCTAAGATATGAATCCAATTCATTTCACAGATATTTCCTGAGTACCACTGGTGATTTTCATAATTAAGAAATACAGATCCTTTTAACTGTCATTAGGGAGAAACTTACAAAATGAAACCTGATCATCACCTTTCAAATTCAGGCCCTGTTCTTTGCAAGGTGGAAGGTAGCCAAGTGCAGACTGACAGAAGAGGAAGACGAGGGAAAAGTGAAGGAGCGTGGATGGAGCCAGGGAGTCCACGGAAGTCTGATTTAGATTTCCAGAAGAAGGAAAACAGGGAAGGGCTTAGGCAACATTTGAAGTCTGTGGCTGAGAATTTCCAGGACTGACACAGACCTGAGTCTTTTGATTGAGGAAGCATAAGGGAACCCAAGCAGGAGAGAGAAAGGCAGACTTCCATCTGAACTTCCAGTACTGTTGAGGGGCCTTGAGAAAGTCACTCGCCTCCTCTGAACCAGTTTCCCCATGTATAAAACAGGATGCCCAAGTCTGCCTTCACTCAAGGGTCAGTATGTGGATGGAAGGAATCATGGATAGAAGGACTGAGGTGGGAAGTGCTTTATCCTGTCGGTGGGCAGTGGGTGCAGGTGGGAACTAACTGCAAAAGGCTGTGGAACTAAATGCCCAGGGCAGCTGAGGTTCCTTCTTAGAGGGCCCAGGGCACCTCCATGGATCTGTGAAGCAGAACGAGATGGGGGCAGTAGACAGTCTGCAGACGAGATGCAGGACCCTGCAGACCCCTTGCTAGGTGTGAGTCCACCGTCCACAGCCGTTTCTGGGCAGGGCTGCCCTGGAAGGCAGGCCTCCTCCTCTCCTTCCCGGGGGAGCTCATTCCCCGGGGGTCGGCCCTGCCACGACGGGGTCTGTTCAGAAAGTTCCTGGGGTGCTAAGGAGCACACGGGCGTGAGACGTGCTGACACCTGGGTCCTTCTTCCCAGGTGTGCTGGGCTGTGTGGACCAGACGCGCTTATGCATGCCATAGAGAAAGGGCTGGTAAACAGCCGCCTGCTACTCTGCTCTTCCTCCTGCAGGGTTAGGAGAGATCTGTTAGTGGGTGGACGCTTTGCGGGTGAATATGGGGGCAGGTAGACACGGTCCTTCCAATAACTGTGCTGTGTGGGTCCTTGTTCACTCTGGAACAGAAATGGGATCCCAGCCTGGCCTTAAACTAGTTCTTACCAGTGAGGGTCTTGGAAATCAGGTGCTTACCACGTCTGTGACAGGTGAGCCTTCACGGTGTGCTGGATGCTCTACCTGGCAGTTTACATAGGTGACAGCATTTCATCCTCAATCACCCTACGAAGTGACAACTTTTCTTTTACTGCCATTTTACGGGCAAGGAAGATAGAACTGAGAGATGACTAAGCCTGCCCCGCATCACGAGCTGGGTGCCACGGTTAGGCCTCACCCTCAACACCACCGTCCTATCCGGAGGGTGTCCGCACACCATCTAGCGTCCCTCAGCTCACATTCTTGAGCTGTAGAGTCCCAGTCACACGCCTAGCTGCCCTGCCCGGCTCCACGTCATCCACGTTGGAAGGATGAAATGTGCAGAAACACTTCTAGACTGTAGTGCTGGGTGAATGTGTTGTGACCATTGCTTCTGGTGCTATTTGTAAACACTAAACGTTTTTGTCTGTTGCTATTTGTGTTGTTTAGTTGTTATTGTAATTATTGTTCTACCTAACACTAAAGTTTTTCTTTAAAAGAGTGAAACTGGCAGTAGTTTTGATGGCTTTGTTTTTTGTTACTGCTCTTTTGATAGAACTCTCGAAGGTTCTGCCCTAATTTGGGGTTTCTGTGATTTGGGAAATCTTGTTGGCAAGCTGATATGGTTTCTAGGTCTGGATTTCCCGTCTGTAAGTTTCTACTCCAGGGCCAGGGAGGGCAGAGTGCTGGGCAAGTTGCTGTCCAGACCCGATGTTTGCATCTTCCCATTTGTGGCCCTGCGTGACGCTCAGCTGCCACACCAGAGTCCTTCAGAAGCCACAGTGACGCTTTTATGGTCCTGCCAAGTGTCTGACTTACAGTGACTTCCTGAGATCTGTGATCTCGGCAGTCAGTTCGCCCTGGGCCCTGTCCTCTGGGTACAGTGTCATAGGAGCAGTGCCATCACCCTCGTGTCCCCTGCAGGCCCTGCTAGAGTCCATGGTCGATGCTGCTGAGAACCTCTGCCCCAACGTGATGAAGAGAGCCCACATCCGGCAAGACCTGATTCACGCCAGCACTGAGAAGATCTCCATCCCTCGCACCTTTGTTAAAAATGTGCTGCTGGAGCAGTCTGGGATCGACATCCTGAACAAAATCAGGTAGGCTGGCTGCGTTCGCGAGCAGGACCTGCAGGGTCCGGCCGTCGAGGCAGTGTGAGGTGTTGTGGGCGGAATCCTCCCCAGGCGCTATGCCCAGGCTTGTCTGGTGGGCAGACTGTCTGCAAACGTAGCTGTGCATAGATGCACAGGGTTCATGCATTTCCAACATGAAGGCCACATGTCTGCCTGCATGACTCAAGAGCATGGTGTTATTGGCTCTCTTTGAGGATTTTATATTGAAGGGGGATGGTACACGTTTGTAACTGCTGGTTTCTGAGAGTCATCTTTTACCTTTCTAAATTGCTAGCTTAAAGATCGAAGAGCTGGCTTTCTATCACCCATCAAGAGAAAGTGCACAGCCTATAGTCAGAGGCCCACTCTGACCATGTCACATTTTCTTTCCGGATTATTTTGGTGGGTCTGTGCTAATGTGCTAATGACGTCTTTGAAGTATTCATATGTCTGTTTGAAAAAGTTTCAAGAATATACCATCATAAAAGCATTCTGCTGTGATTGTTGACAAACCTTCCCGAGCTTCTGCAGAGAGCCATGGAAGACACTAGCACTCCAAGATAGCACAGCCAGGTCCCATTGTGTTTCTGTGTTGGAGAATCAGAGGGCTAATAGCCAAGCTCCGGAGCATTTAAAATTTTCCATTTTAACCATTTCTGAATATTGATGGGACTATTTTGATGTAGCAAAGATAACAGCTCCTGTCTAGAGAGTTGGGTTGGTGCTGACACATAAAGGTGCTCCAATCTGAAATAGACAAAGTGATGATCTTCACGAAGAGCAGAACAAGTCCGGCCAGACCCACCATCGAGGTCCTGAAGGCGGGCTGAGGACATGGGCACTTGGAGCCCTGCAGCAACCTGACAGTCTCAGGTCCAAGATGCAGCTGCTGCGTTTGTTATTTATTTTACACTAAAGCTCCCAGAGCCTTTCAGCTGAATTGTCAGCAGCTGGGAAGACCTGAGAGGGTGTAAAGCGATTTCCAGAAGCCAGGCCTGGTATCGCACGCCTGTGATCCCAGTGGCTCGGGAGGCAGAGGCAGGAGGATACAAGTTCAGGCCAGCCTCCGCCACTTAGTGAAGCCCTAAACAATTCAGCAAGACCCTGAAAATAAGAAAACATAAAAAGGGCTAGGGATGTGGCTTAGTGGCTATGTGTCCCTGGATTCAATCCCTGGTGCCAAAAAGAAAAGAGATTTCCAGAGAGTTTAGGTTGGCAAGTTTAAGAACTCCAACTCCAGCCCTTATGCATTTCTAATATCTGTGGTTTCAGATGTTTTTATTGAAAAGTTGTTTAAGTATTACATATTTAAAATATAAACAGTTAGAATATAAAATACAGTATATCAAATGTCTCCCTTGAAAAGGAAAAACAAAGACACTTTGGCCACCGCTCTTTCCTCATAGTGGGTTCACCCACCAACACATCCCTCTCAGGGGTCTTTGCTGGGGTATCACATTCTCCTGAAAATGACAGATTCAGAAGGCTGACACAGGGTGCAGGTCTTCACGTTGGGGAGCACTTCACGTCCGTGGACTCCTTAGTTGGCTTCTTGTCCCACACTGAGCGGAGTGCTGACAGCAGGGTGCTCCTGCGCCTGCAGGTGCACGTTCCTGTGCACACGGGGTGAGCAGCACCCTCCCGCAGAACTCTGCACCCTGAGCAGTCAGGAGGACTGCACTGGCCGCAGGACGACAGACAACCCGAGGTGTGACAAGATCACATTTTTTGGAGTCTGTCTTCCTGGTGCTCCAATCTGAAACAGACAAACCACTCCTTCCCACCTTCAGAGAGTGAGAGAGAGAGAGAGAGGAAAAGCCCAGGAAGTGAGTTTTATGAGGAAGTAAAATTCCCGGGCAGGCCTAAAAAGAATCGGAGGAAATACTCGTTGAAATCAGATTCCCAGCCTCCCCAGGAGGTTGGCGCACTCAGGAACTTGTATTTTGAGTATTTTCGTGTTTTCGATATGGCACCTGGGGGATTCTTACCAGGGGACACTGTGCAGAGGAATAAAGCATCAGATAAACCGAAAAGCTAGTGAGGGCTCCGTCCCTTCATCTTCTGCACAGACGGCTCTCATCATCAAGATCTTCCTAGAAGAGAAACCGCAAGCCTGACTACTACTGTGAGTTAGAAAGAGCTTTCCCTGTTACGCAAATACCCACCGTTCAACCTTGGCTTCACGATAAATGACTTTATTTTGACAACTTCTTTACCTGCTCTAAGGACATGCAGATTGCCGACTTCAAAAGAAGGCTGACCCTAAGAGACAGTATTGGACTGTGGGTACTCATCTCTCTGGCACATTTGAATTATTGGGTATTTATAACAACTGTTCAGATGTGCATTAAAGCAGGGCTGTTAAGCCTGGAAACACACATGGAAGTTGAATTCTTAGGAAGACCACATTGTTAAATTAACTAAAATACCAGCTGTAGGACAGAAACCTTAGTGGCCAAGTCTGTTGGCAAGAACTCCAAACCCCTTCTGTTTGGGCAGCTTTCTGAGGTCAGGTAAAAGGCACCCAAACTGAAAATTCTAGTGACCACTGTTCCTAAAAGATAAAGACCCAGTGCATTTGTACCTTTTCATTGTAAGCTGGTCAGTCAAAGCCGAAGCAGTGTAACATGGTACCATTTGAAGGTTTTTTAAAAGGCTGAGGATATGCATGTTAAAATCCTAACCAAACCTTAACAAGCCGACTAGGCTTTCCTGATTTGCTCCAGCCTGGGTTTGCTTTTGTTCACATCAGTGGGTGACCTGTGTCTGGTCCACGTGGCTCCCCTCCAGCCCGTCTTTATGCAGATGTCATTCATTCCCACCATTATGTCTCCAGCTGTGAAGGGAGAGAGGCAGGTTGCAGTGGGTAAAGACGGTCACACCTGGGTGTTTATGGCCGTCCTCAGGCCTATTTTGGGGGCTCCTTCCCCTGTTCACGTTCATACCGTCCCTTTTCAAAGACAGACCTTATCACCACGGGGGTGGGGGACAGGTCTACCCAGCTCAAGGTAAAATGCTGTTCTCCCTTTTGATTTCCACACAGTGAGGTGAAGCTGACAGTGGCCTCCTTCCTGTCGGACCGAATCGTGGACGAGATCCTGGACGCACTGTCTCACTGCCATCACAAGCTGGTGAGTGCTGTGCACGTGTGGGACGGTCTCTGGGCGGGCCGCCCGCCCGTGTGCGGGTGACGCTTCTTTCCCACATCCACTCCATCGCAGCCTGGCAGGCTGAGTTCTGGTTTCCTCCTTCCACTTCCGCCGGCCCCAGCCATCCTGGAGCGTGTCAGAGTCTCTCTGTTGGGACTGGCAGGGCACAGCAGAAGCCACCAGACCCAGAGACCTCGCTCTTCGTTTAGGATGCAGGTCAAAAGTTTTGGTAGGAGATGATGTTGAGGCCAAAGCCTAAAATTCACATTTTTAGTACATTTTAGTACATTTATGTGTGCGGATGTGATCATTTCTGAACGGACTATTCTTGACAACATGGAGGGAAGTGGAACGTTTGGAGTTCAAAGAAAATATGAGAGAAAACTGGGACGGAATCCAGGATGGATAGGTGCTAAATGCCCGGCAGGTACCTTGGATAGAACCACGACGAAAAAATAAATTTCCTTCAGACTAAGCAAAGCATGGGGACTGCATTTCCAATTTCAGTGCATATGAAAAGTACATCAGAGGATTCTCATGTGCGGAACTCGAAGTCCTGTGAGACACGGATAAGGGTTTACAGCTGGTTATATCTTGTGTCTCCAAAATATTAGCAACATGGTACAGCAGAAATCTTCCAGGTGATTTATGGCAGAGAATTTATGTTTTCTCCAGAGAAAGTATTTCAGGTTAACTGTGTGGGCAGAGACACCCAGTTTTATGGAGGTGAGTTTTGGGGTGATAATAACAGAGAAGAGAAAAAAACAGTTTCTTCTGCATGCAGTAGACAGAAGAGAATAATGTATAAGACTCTCTTCCAAAATCCAGAAGATCAGGCGTCCCTGGCACTGCTCAGATGCTGCCTGGGAATGGGGTTGGCCCACCAGAGAGCGCTTACCAGAGCACCCTGATCCTCAGCTCAGGAGACATCAGGAAACTTCCAGAGCAATTCCACATGGATACAATATCCAAACCACATTTTTTTTTCCAATTTTTTTTGTTTGTTTTGCTTTATCAACGTGTTGGTTTGTGCCAAACTGGAAACATTTAAAATCCTGATTCATCACCACGTTAAGCCGAAGAAGCTCTTTCCTGGCACAGGGAGGAGACACATCATGCAGTCTCCCAGCGCAGACTTTCCTTTTGTAAAAAATAAGCACAAGTAAAATCTAGAGAATCCACTGTAGAAACAGTTGATGGGTAAACCACCGCTCTAGGAACTGCCTCAAGACGCTTGCTCACGACACAGACCCTGGACACGTATCAGCAAGCGTGTGTGTGACAGCCACCCTCAGGTCTGAAGTGGGCACTTCTTTGTGTTTTCCTTCCTGGAGGAATTTACTCAAAAAGTATTGACATTTTCTTGTCATTTAATTGAAATGAATTGAAAAATAATCGCAGGAGTGCACTTATGTTGTTGTGTTAAATGTCCTCTTGACATTATAATCTCACGTGATAAAACGTGTCCAAGCTGGGATTGTGTGCAGTGCGCTTCAGATACGCTTTCTCCACCTGAAGTCTGGAAGTGCTCTCAGGCTTGGATCGACCCCTCAGCTGCTCCTCATTGTTTCAGAAGAAGCCAGATTTCTGGTGTCAGATCTGTGCAGCTCTGCAACCTTCTGATTACAGCCCTGCTCATTCCACCTCTTCACATTTAATTCTGATTTATGTTGAAAATATAAAAATGGAAGTAGTAAGTCATATCAAATATGATATTTCTTATATGAAAACTAGCAGTAATGATAATTTTTAAGTGATTTTCTTTTAAAAATACTTAAGGTTGCAATCATTTTATTTGTCTCAGTAGATACTTTTAAGCACTAGACCAAAATAAATCAGGCAATATGAAATTAGATTTCTAGCAAATTAGATACGAGCAAATAAATTAGTAATAGATATAAAGAGTCTCAAATAAAATGAGAAGAACACTACCTATTTTATTGGACCAAGTAGTCCCCTCATTTGTGAAGGGAGAATGGTAATTTCTTAGAATGGTGACAAAAGGCAGGTGGCTCTGTGTGGCCCTGCTGGGAGCTGCTGTCCTCCAGGGGCCCCCTGCGGCGACTGTGGAGGCCACGTCAGGCCCCCCCAACCCCCCCCCACCCTGCCGTAACTGCTGCTGGTGGTCTTCACCCTCCAGGCCGACCATTTCAGCAGATGCGTGCAGACCCTCCCTCAGCAGGAGCCTGTTGAGGCCGAGTTGGCCGAGAAGCCGCCCAAGCGCTCCCTGGTCCCAGTGGAGGACCTGACGGAGGCCGAGCGCTTGGAAGACCTGGACGCCTGCATGGTAAGACACGGCCTGTGGGGCCACCCCATCCCACCCTGGGCCTGCACTGTTGTGTTTTAAAAACTTTCAGTGTTTGAAATCAGAGAAACAACACTCCCCTACCCCACGCAGACATTGGCTCAGAGGCTGCTGGCACCAGGGGTGACAGCCCCTTTCGAGGGGTACAGATCTCGCCTAGCATGCATCCTGGGAAAACGGTCCCTGAATTGATTAGGAGGAGATTATGTAACTTTATAGATCCTCTGTGATTGGAAAGTGTCTTCAAATGAGGCTCCAAAAGATATGGAGAAGGACGTTTTCCACGAATAAAGTGTGCTGGGCGGCTGTGTCCTTGAGTCGACCCTTTTGTGTCTTTCTCTCTGCTGTAGCTCCCTGTTCTCTTGCTACCACTTGTTGATCCCCTTCACATTTGGATCTCTGGTTCATGCGAGATCCCTTCCCATCCACTAAATTGATGCGCTTGTGAGGCTGAAGCACACGCTGCCATTCACCCCACAGCAGGTCTCCGCTCCTCACCCAAGTGGTGCATCCCGTTGGCTAGAGAACTAGAGCGATCTGATTGTGGACGATGTCACGGCAACAGCTCATTACTTTAAAATTGGTATCACTGTTAAGCTGTCTCTCACTTTATCATGAAGACAGTTATATGAGGTGGACACAGTGGCACATGCCTTTAGTCAGCTACTGGGGACACTGAGGCAGGAGGATCACCATGTTCAAGACCATCCTGGTCGATTTTACAAGACCCTGTCTCAAAATGAAAGCTAAAACATGCTGGGAATGTAACTCGGGGTAGAGAGCTCGCCTAGCTGCATGAGGCCCTGGGTTTCCCCATCACTGCAAACAGACAACACCAGACAAGACAAACCCCAGACAGCTGTACGTGAGTCTGTTTCGTCTCTGTGTCCAGTGGGGCTTACAAAAACATTCGACTTTAGCGACTCCTCCTAATCTGAGGGCATGCTGTGAGACTGGGTTTGGGTTCTCATATGTCCAGATCTTTCTACATTAGCTTCTGAATTTAGTGAATTTTACTTGCAGCCATTGTTAAGGAATGGTGCTCATTTTTAACTTTCAAAACCAAGGGTCTGGTATGGAGAATATTGTTTTTCCAACTTGAAAGACAATTTAATGCACTTAAGTTCCTTTTATTTCATAGAATACTGTTACCATTTTCTTAAATCCTGAGAATAAAATCCCCATGGGAAGCCCTATCCTCTACCAGGAGAGCAGCAAAGAACGCCTCCAATAAAATCCAGCATTTCAAGTAAAACTAGAATCACCAGAAAACGCTGAAAAATAATTTCTATGCAACTATATAAGTCTACAAATATATTCAATATGTATGTAGGAGATTATCTAGTGTTTTAGAACCTCGCTAGTCCAGTTGTCAAATGGGTATTTAGTAAATATGTCAGGGTTTGTTTGCATTTTGAGGCATTGGAAGTGCGGCACGCGCTGTATCATCACAAGGTAACTGTTCCCGATGTGAATTGAAAGTGGAACACCAACTGTACCGTGCATGTTCCCTACCAGGATGATTTGTGAGATGGAAAGGGACAATGGGAATGTCGGTTCGGGGCGCAGGGGGCTGGCTCCTCTGTGCTAACGTGGCTTTGGTTTTATAATGCTGCTAGTAGTAGTTTGGTTTCTCTTACTTTGTTTCTCAAGAGGAAGAGAAAAGTTGTTCCCTTTAACTAGAGCTGTCCGGGTGAGGGTGGAGGAGAGGGGACCTTTCTTAAAGGCAGGAGCAGGGCCACCATCAGCACCTGGGGGAGAGCTGAGCTGTGGGCTGTCTGCAGCGTGGCGGCCCCGACCCAGCAGGCGGGAGGACCTCAGGATCAGGAGGGGCCTTCCCCAGCCCAGAGGGCCAGGATGTAAGCACGAGGCCCTTCCTGAGACGAGCACCCGCTGAACACTGGGGCCACCAGCACGGTGGTCTCACGTGGGTGTCAGGGAGACACAGGGCAGATCTCCGGAAAATGACAACAGCAAATACTTAGGCGAGCAGGACTTTTGTTGTGAAAATAGCAATTTTTGTTCTAATATTTTTTTCCTTCATTCCTCTGGAGAGCCTAATAAGTACTTAAGTAGCAGAAAGCTGGAGTTAACTTGCTACTAGTTTAATGAAAAATGATAAAAGTTGGTGCCAGTCAGTGGATTAGTGCTGTGACAGTCTCCTCTGCACCTGCAGCCTGCCCGTCCGTCCTCAGCCACGCACAGAGAGCACCTATGGGGGCTGTTGTCAGTGGGAGGGTCCCTCCTGAAGGGTCTCATTCTGAGCCAGTGTACAACTCTCAGCTCACTGAGAAGTAGACAGAGCCTTAGTTTGGTCTTTTGCAAAAGCCTGCCCTGTCACCTCTCAAAATCAAAATGCAAATCATCAGTTCCTCCCCAACAGCTTTTCCCAAACGTTTTAGTTCAGGGCTCAGCCTTTGTGACCATTTTAGTTCAGCCTTTGTCACCATTTTCTAAGTGGGCGTGAGGGTTTCCCTGAGAAGCATTTCATCCTGAGTGATGGAGGATGTCAGGGCCCAGATGGACTGCTGTGTGGATGACCATCAGCGTCCCATGCGCATGGCCTTCCCACCTGGAGCTAGAGGGCTGGCGGGCTTCCCAGCTGCAGCTGGAGCCTGTGACATTGTTAGGGGAGATGTGTGCTTGTAGCTCAGATAATGTGAAGCTCTCCATAGGGTCTTGCAAAGCCACTGTGACAGGTCACCACCTCTACTTGCTGATGTGGGCATTGGTCCTGGCTCTTGCCCAGGATGGACATGATGTCTACTAACCGCATTTTTGAACATTTCTTCAGCAGAGTTGGTAGAGATTTTGAGTACCTCTTTTTCTTTTCCTGTCCTTGGATTTGTGATCTTCATGCTTTCTCCTCGGTCCAAAAGTCAGGGCCGTTCAGTGTTTAAGTCTCTGTAATGAACTAGTATTACAGTCGCAGCAGAGAAGGTTGAGGGCATATGTTAGGCAGATATTCATGTGGATTGGAACTTAAGGATTACCTTCCAGGACTTGGGAACAATGATCTAATCCATATTATTGATTTCTTTGGAAGAAATCCAGGACTTACTCAACTATTAAACTTAGGCTGTGTCTACGTGAAACTGAAATAAGGATTTTCATGCAGAGAGCAGTTCATCTGCTTACTGCAATTTCCTAGGAATAGAAATTTAAAAGGCTTGAATTACTATGGAATACATTTTTGTGAATCCTATCCCCACTGATGAAGCAGCAATTATTTTTCCTTAACAATTTCAACCTCAAACTTCAATGTATAATTTTTGAGCTTTTTAATATAGACTGAAATTTAGCAAAGGTCTAGTTGACTTGGTCTAATACTAATTTTTAACCAGTCTAAACCAATTACTTCATTTTCTGGTACCAACTATTATAAATTGAACAAATCTATTAACAGTGCTACCAAGTACAGACTCTTGTCAGTATGTCTCATTTAAATATTGTCAGAATATCTCATTTAAAGTCAGCTGCACTGATATTAGTACAGAAGGTTGTTCAAATCAGAATGACTGGTTTCTTGTGATTTTATTCTGTGATGTTCTTATTGTTATCTTTAGAAAATGGAGGTATGACTTTTAAAGCACTCGAACGCATATGAAGGATATTGTATGTTCTTCAAGATTTCTGATCAATTTAGTGACAGCCCTCTGTGCAAATGTAGGGGGCACACCCCACATGTGGGAGAATTCTTCTGGTTCCTTGAGACACAGTCACCTTAATTATTTAGTTTTTAACTAGCATGAAGAGCACTGGCAGAGGCCCTATTCAAGGAATCCCTAGAGATCTGTCATACATGAAACCTCATTAGCTACCCAGGGACACACGGGACCCCGGGGGAGCCCACTTCCTGCCCCCTGGGTACAGATTGCTGGGAGGAGACCCTCGCCTTCCCCTGCAGGGGGCAGAGGGCTGTCCTAGCAGAGCCCTGTACACCAGTGGGAGCCCAGCTGTCCAATGGGAGGTAGGGAGGACCTGAAAAATCCTCTTCATAAAATGACCTGGACCATTAGCCAGCTGTGCTGAGGCAAGGCTTCTGCAACCAGTCTCTGAATTGGCCTCTGACTTGTGGATTGAAAATAGCAATCTTGTCAGCCAAATTTTGACATGCAACGATAATTATAAAAGATGATTTGGGTCTTCCTTTATGAGCTAAATTAAACAAATGATACTGCAGCTTTATAAAATAGAAATCATTCTATTAATTGCTGTGTGTGTGTGTGTGTGTGTGTGTGTGTAACATCAGAGCATATCTCTAAAGAGAAAATGTTTGTAATGGGTTTCAAACTAGCTAAGTCCTTTACAAGCAACCAAAGATTCAGTGACTCCTCCAAATTCAGCCTCACTTTGCAGCGCTGAGGAGTCTCCTGTTTTGAGTTGTACCTCAGTGACGTTTTCTCCAGTGAAAGAACACTCCAAATTATCACGTCTTCACAATTGAAATCAAAGACTGAATCCCTTCTGGGTGAAAGATTTTGTCTTCCGAATTCATATTTAAATTGGGGAGAACATTGTCCTTAGATACTAAGAGATGTACTTGCGCACGTGTGTGTGTGTGTGTGTGTGTGTGTGAGAGAGAGAGAGAGAGAGAGTGTGTGTGTGTGTGTGTGAGAGAGAGAGAGAGAGAGAGAGAGTGTGAGAGGGTGTGTGTGTGTGTGTAGTATGCTTGAGAGAATAGTCCATCCAAAGAGGAAGAAGATGGGGAGTCCTTAAAGTGGAATTGTTAACCAGTGATGGACAAAGGGAAAGGCTGGACGCAGGTGGCTGCTGGCTCTCAGGAGGGCCCAGGGGAGGCAGAAGTACTTCATGTTGGTGAAGTCTCAGGTGGTGGTGAGCTCTCTCAAAAGACCCCTGAGCTGAGGACACAGTAGGCCATTTGTTCATTCTATAAATGTTTACTGTCCGTCTGCTGGGTACCGGCACTCCATACATCTCAGTACAAACAGAAGCTGAACCCCTGCATCACCCACTGAGCT